GCATTTCAACTCCAACAGCAGATCATTACCAGTGCGAGAGAGAAAACTACGAAGCGCTTTGCTTTCTGTCGCATCGTCTCTCTTGCATGCAACTAACGAGAAAACCGTGTACTTACCCTCGCATTCACACGCGAACTATCAAACACGTCCTGTGCGGCATGCTGATCAGGTAGTGCCATGTATGTGCTGTACAGTGTACTCTCAGTTGACATGCCCCCTTTCGAACCCAGACAATCTTTTCGGGATTGGTCTATTCCAAATAGGCAACTACTCTACGGACACAGTGTAGCTAGACTCTACTACCCAGCTAGCAGATATCCTAACAAGACACTAGACAGCAGCCAGTATGCACAAAACACGGACACAGAAAATGTTACGAAAATGTTTGGCCAGACAGGTTGGCGCCAATGCTTGACCTATGGACTGTAAACCATGGTAAACAATGCATGCAACAAGAAAACGACGAGCAGAAAGAAACACAATGCAGATAGGAAAATATTGACGAAGAGAGTGGATGAGGATATGGTTTCACTTGCGTGGGCCTTCGTGGTTCTTCATAGTCGGCGATCTCCGAAGGCGTACATACTCCGCCAGCGATGTAGTGGTGGACGTTTTCCGCTGCCACCAGTGTTAGCTGCTCCCGGCTAATAATGCCCCCTCACACCGGAACACAAGGGTATTATGATTGGATAATTAGAAGTATTCGATAAGAGTGTAAACAGAAGGAGAACAGGACAACGACAACTCAAGACTAGACTAGAACAGACAGAACCTGGAGCATGCGCTCTTCTATGTGAGTGGCTCATTGCCAATGGGAACGAGCGGGAAATACAAATGGTGAGTATTCAGGTCGTAGCATACATACACCTATTACAACTCCGTCCCCGGTCTTCCAAAGAAATCGGTGATATCTGCGATCCTCAGGCTGTAGTGATACCTGAAGGAACATCTCCGACACATCAGCAATCAGTGCCACAGGGTGCATGCAGAACCGGATCAGTACTGTGACGAGGTCATTTTGCAGTCGTGGCCCAGCGTACATGTGTTCATTGATGGACGTGCCGTTGAAGCGAGCTGCAGCATCAAACACAACACGGACCTTAGTTGTAGCCTTGTCTTCGCGGACTACTGCGAAGTGCGGCAGAAACCATTGCTCACGGCCACATTGCTGGACTTGATCAGATGTCAGCTCCTGAATGTACGCCTTCTGTAGGTACTCCTCCAGCACCTTTGCATAGCGAATCTGAACGGTTGGTCTTCTCTCTAGAGACCTCAGTAGCGAACGCAGCCGATCCTCGGCCTGCACTCGGTTGCTCGTGATCTGAGGACGCGCTCCATTCTGCCAGGGAATACCGACAACGAATCGACCATCTGCGTACCCTAGCTGCTGTCGAGTCATTTCCTCAGCATGGCGTTCGTCAGGTGACAAGTAGCTCTCAGCAGACGGTCGCATGCCGACCGCTTCCAAGTCCCAGAAGTTACGGACAAGCGAGTCGAGACCTGTCTGTGTTAGTTCCAGGGCATGATGGGTGTGCTGGACAGAGCTGTCTTGTATGGCTGAACCGAAACAGACTCATCCCAAGGGTGTGCGCCTTGCAATGGGCTCACCTGCCTTGCCAATCCGTTCTTCCTGTGCACTGTGCAGTGCTGCTGAATTTAGCCCGATTAGGATGTCGATGGCGCGTTGATTGCTTGCAGCAGGGAAATCAATGTCTGCTAGATGTGGCCACTGGTGACGCAGACGGCTCCAATCAGCAACGTGCACGTCGCTTGTGATCTTTGGCAGCACATATGCCTCAACTTCTGATATCTCCTGGCTGTCATATTGATGAAGGGACAGAGACACCACCTCTCGCTCGCCTGAGAGAACTTGACCGCCTAGCACACCAACATGCACTGGCTTGCGCTCTCCTCGCAGCCGTAGTCGGTGTGCAAGCCTCTCTGTGACAAAGCTGCATGTTGATCCAGAGTCAAGAAGGACGTTGGCTGTGGCAGTCACTGTTCCATTAGCGACCTTCACCGGTATCGTCATGAATGAGGTCAAGCCGGCCTCGTCGTCATTGGCTGGCTGGGATTCGCTGTTCACATGGTGGCTAGCCTCTTTTCGCGTTGGTGGTGATGGTGTAAAACTGCCTTGTCGTTCACGGTGCAGTAAATGATGATGCTTGCCTTGACACTCTCGGCACACCGCTGCCATGCAGTCTCGTGCCCAGTGCCCATCTCCCAGGCAGTTGACGCATAGCCGTAGGTTCCGGATCGTGTCATTTCTCTTTTGCACGGGCAGACTCTTGAATTCGCCACAATCTGCAATATGGTGTGCACCCTCGCACTTACCACAGGCATGGCTGTTGTCTGCATGCTGTCTTTGCTCTGAGGCAGCTTGCTCTTTTCTGGAGTTGCTGCGGCTGCTAGAAGCGACCAAGTTACGTTTCGGCCCAGGCTGTGACGAGTCGCTTGAGCGTGGAGTCCCAGGACTGGAGATAAACGTGCGCTCCCTGACTCCATATTGCCTGCTGGGCAACGGCCGATTACTCTTGTTTTGGTGCTCCTTGGGCTGCAGTGATACTGGTGGGCGGTCTCCCAGGCCAATTCGTTCCTCAACACGCATCTGCTTCTGGACGTGTGTTATTAGGAATTGCGAGAATGCCTGTATGTCACAGCTGGAATCATCATAACGATCGAAGTAGCGTGCCAGGAGCCGTCGAGGAATCTTCCGGGTTAGTGCCAGGTATAACTCTCTGCCTGGCTGCACCTGGACTGCTTCCATGTTAAGCAGGGTATTGCGGAGCCGAATGGCGAACTTTTTCAGCTGGCTGACGTCACGCTCATTGGTCAAGACTGGCCACTCCATGAGCTCTCTTTCCTGGTTGTTCAGCTCTCGGTCTTGGCCACCGTACCAGCGTTCCAACTCGGCCATGATTGCTTTATATGCGCCAGGTCCATCCAAGACATCAGCAATCAGCTCCTCTGCAGAACCATCAGCAAGGGCCTCCCTCAGATGCGCAAGCTTGTGGTTCTCCGACATCGCGTAACTGTCGTCAATCAGCCGAAGGAAACGCTGCCGCCACTTCAGGTAGCTTTGCACCTTCCCATCAAACTTGGGCAGCTCTAACGCCTTCAGGTGACTGGTAACAGCATAAGGCGAGTTCCATGGCATGAATCCAGGCGATGCCATCTGGTGTCCAGGCAGTGCCAGCTGAGGTCCAGGCAACAGTGTTTGCTTCGCTGGTTGGAACGGCACTGCTCCAGGGTTGAGTGAGAGTGTCTCCGTCATGGCACTGCACAGTGAAGCTGCTTGCTCGGCTTTGTCCTTGTTCTTCTGTCGTTTTTCCGATTTTTTCTTCTTCTGAGTCATCAGTCTTCTCGGTGCAGCGGGGCTTGGCTGGGCCTGTCCACTTGCTTCCAGCAGCATTGGACGCACGGCGCTACCAAGCACATGGACTTGCTGCAGCTGCTGCTGCCGTGGCGGCTGTGACGGCGGCTGCTGCTGCTGCTGTGACGGCGGCTGCTGCTGCTGCATATGTACTGGCTGGGTAGTGCAGGCAGCTCCGCCTCTGGACGCAACTCCTGCGTTGGCCAGAGCACGTGTACCAACACGCCTGGAAGCAGGCCCATAGTGACTAACAGTACTACTATCAGTGTGGCTGTTATCACTTTCAACACTACTGGCGTTAGTTGTAGTTCCAGTAGTTGTAGAGTCACCAGCAGTGTCACTACTTGAGGCGCTACTGGATGACACATAGTGGTCTGACTCTTCAGACACACCGTCAACGACGTCCGGGACATTCTGCGATAGCTGAGCAGCTGCTGTTCCTGCTACCAGTGTATTCACATTTTCAACACTGGTGCGCGCGAGTGGTAACGGAGGATCAGTCGTAAACCTACTACCGGTAACTGCACTGTCCGACTCCGCTCGTGGTGGCATACAAGATCGCAGAGTCGCACTTGCGCCGTCACGACTTCGTTGGAAGACCACGTCCCCGTCCGAAGCGATTTCTCTACGAGGCGACGGACTAGCTCCTGCCGCCGACTCGTGCGCAGATTCTTCTTCGGAACGAGCTTGCTCCAAGGCTTGCCGTTTCTGCAGGACAGCTAACTTACTCTGCAGAACTTGTTCCTGCAGTGCAGCAATCTCCTCTGCCACTCGCACTTCGGCCTCTGCCCTTTTTCTGGCCACTCGAGCTCTCTCCAATTCTACGAGTTCAGTGCTCCCAGGACTGGCACGAGTACTCGAGCGCTCACTTCCAGAAAATCCATATCGCTTGGGTTCCTTTCCTTTCGTCGATCTGTGGCTGATACACCGCTCCTCACTCATGGCGACGACTCTCAGCAACCACGGAAAGGCAAAAGGATCCCGTCGGAGGTGCCAGTTTATGTTACTTTTCCTCAGCGCCCAGGTCAACACACTTTCGTCAACACCGGGTTTCCGCACACAATCGAATCACAGTTCAGTTTTACTCCACTCCGGAGAACACAATAATTCAGACCCATGGAACATAGTAAAATCACAACAGCTACAAACTACTTTACTTGTAAGTTGTAGAATCTAGAGCACTGGTCCAACACAACAAGAACCAAAACATTACCACGCAGCCAGCAACATGTGCATGCGAACAACAACTCACAGAACAAAAGGCACATGCTTCCAAAACCAATACACACTCCGGCCCGGCCGGCCCGTGTCGCATATGCCAGCGATACATGCATAAAAGGAAGTACAGTGAGAAGGAAGTAACGCAGGTCACATGAAAGCGCGTAGCATTCCCACGTGTAAGCTAACACGCACCACAAATCACGTATCACAGACACAGGGCCTAGGGCACGACTGCAACTGTGCACTACGCACACATTCAAATACAGCTGTAGACACGCACTGCATAAATCTACAAGTACTCGTACAAACTGTGCAGGTCAGCGACACCTGCAGCATCTGCTGGAACAATGGCACAAGGGAGTACTAAGAGTAAGAAAACGTAACACCCTGCTCCGAGTTCACTCACCTCACCAAGCGTGGCCTTGCCAAAGAATTGCTTGGGTGTTTTCACTGACACCTTCAAAATGCAGTTGGATAGCTGAGAGAGGCACAGGCATATCCACAATGACAGAAAAGACATAGTGAGAGAACCGTATCGTGTTTACAAGTATGTATCACATCAGTGAGCATTATCTTCTCTGCACAATTCATATGCAGTCCTGGATGCCAACACGCTTCTTCCGCGCACAAGCCAGAACATTGTGTTGCGGATTTCGTCTCGTATTGATTTACGCATGTTGTTGTATTTGGTTCTTGTCTTGTGGAGTCCAGTGTCTGATGTCATATATGGTCTAAGTGTACGCGCGAGTATGGTGTGATTGATGTGTGATGTTTATGGTATGTGGGCCCGGCTAGCTCAGTCGGTAGAGCATGAGACTCTTAATCTCAGGGTCGTGGGTTCGAGCCCCACGTTGGGCGCCAATGTGTGTTGTTTTCCTGTGTGATGGCATTCCCCAAACTGTCTCTTCTAGTCGCGTGCATGTGTGATATGAGCATGCGCGATTTTGTAGTCGAGAGTCCTTTTGTCGGTCTTCTTGTTCGTCCCTTTGAGTGTTGTCTCCATTTCCGTCTTGTCAATACAAATAATGTAAAACAAACAAGTCTTGTCCTTTGTGTCCTGCGTCCCGGGGAACGGAATGGCTGTGATTCCGTTACAACGTGGTGCCGAAACCCGGGACGCAGAGGATGAGTTCGTTTGTAGTGAGTCTGTTCGTCGTCGTCGTCAACAACAAAGTAAAACTATAAAGTATGCGTGGGAATGGAGGAGGTCAAGAGAGGAGCTGGTGGGAGCGCAAGACGGTGGAAGAGGAGGCAGAGCAGGTGGTTGGACCGGCAGAAGCTGGGGATTGGAGCATGGGACGGCAGGTACCGCATGGAGCGTGTGGCCGTGGCTCGCCAGAGGCCAGTGGATGAGTCTGGCATCACCGACTGTGTGTCGTCCTTTGTTGTTCGTCTTGTTGTTGTCTTGCTCGCTGTGTTGTCTGATCGTGTTTCTCTCGCTGTTCAGTTCGTTGCTGTGTTGTTGAGTTTGGTTGTCGGTATGTTGCTCTTCTCGTCGTTTTGTTCTGCATTAATTTGCGTTGTAGATTTATTTTGCGCTGCTGCGCGCATGTTGTTATTTGTTGGAGCTTTAGCTCTCGTGTTTCGATTGGCCTTGTGTGCCTGAGTTTAGAGCGTCGGCTCTTGTGTTTTTTGGTTTGGCCCTGTGGTGCGGCTTGGTTGAGAGCATCGGCTCTTGTGTCTTGGTTTGGCCCTGTGTCGTGGCCCAGTTTTGTTGTGCTACAATGTAAGCTGTTGGTTGGTTTTGGTTGTTCTGTTTTGCTGTGGTTCCTTTTGCTGTTGTGCATGTGGAACGTGGTGTCGGTTTATTATTTTGTGGAATGTCATCAAGGGGGCAGGTGTTGTAAAATGATGTGTTGTTTTCCTGTGTGATGGCATTCCCCAAACTGTCTCTTCTAGTCGCGTGCATGTGTGATATGAGCATGCGCGATTTTGTAGTCGAGAGTCCTTTTGTCAGTCTTCTTGTTCGTCCCTTTGAGTGTTGTCTCCATTTCCGTCTTGTGAATATAAATAATGTAAAACAAACAAGTCGTGTCCTTTGTGTCCTGCGTCCCGGGGAACGGAATGGCTGTGATTCCGTTACAACGCCCGCCACATCGTGTCGTGTCCTTTGTGTCCTGCGTCCCGGGGAACGGAATGGCTGTGATTCCGTTACAACGCCCGCCACACAACAACGCAAGCTCTTGGTTATATCTTCAGTACTTATATTCTATCAACAAATTGTGTCAAGACGCATGCATCACAGGCCATGGATAATCAGCTATGCTACTGTCAACAAAGAATGGTGAATACCTCCTGTGCATTCAGAATGCACTGAACTGGTTGCAACCATATCATTTTTTGGACATACGAGTCGTAGCACTGGTAATTGGATTAGTCAGACATTGGTGGGTGAGACCATTTTCTCCTGTTGAGTAGGGGATTTCCCCCCGCCGATGAGTATCAGACACTTATAACCTAGCGTAGGCAGTAAACCCCACCCCGGTACTACATGCCGAGCACAGACACTCACACTGGCTACAGTGTACTTACCTCACAGTTGATTCTGAAGAACAGCTCCTCGTGCCAGGCTGTCTTGCCTGCACGCAAACATTGCTTTGTGGAGGATGAACTGGCGTCCAGCAGAAACAACAAGCACAAAATCAGGAGCATGGTAAATCAGAAGTCGGCAAGGCAGGCCTTCAATGCAAACTAACACAAAGCCACACAGCAACGAGCTGTACTCTCAAAATCCAATCAAAATGTTTTTTGTGACTGGCTTCATTCTCCAGACATGCCCTGGCTTTTGGTCGTTGGTCATACATTGAGTACATGTTAGACATGGGTTCAGGTATTCACAAGGTTCAACAATAGTTTCGTATGTATTTTTGCAAGCATTGTTCAAAGCTGCCTAAGCCTTTTAAAACATATCTACGTTTTTCCCCCGGATATCATCAACCAGTAGAGAACCGTAGAAAGACCTACTGTTAGAGCATCGCTGGCCTCAAGCGAAGGTCCCTGGTTCGAGTCCTGGTGGAGCAGTCAGATTATTCTCCAGGCGTTTCCCTTTTCCATTCCCTCAGCTAGTGAATACCTATCGTTCTAGTGACGGCTCTCTTACTTCTGCCCATTCAAGTTAACCGAGACGGAAGGTGAAGTGCCAACACCGGGCTTTAGCACGGGAAGTCGCTCAGCTTCAACCACCATCACGGTCAAGTCACTGCTAACCAGCTTCAGCTTGAGCTGTAGCAAAAAAAGGTCATAACAATTATTGACTAGTGAATCTGAAGGGAGGGTGACCAATGTTTTATAATACTCCTCCCTCCAATGAACCACGCGTGCACTAAGCTCAATTCAGGGAAACACAGAATATCCGATATAACGTTTGGACACGTCCTTTGTTTTTCTCCCGCTGGTAGAGTACAATGTGTAGTGGACGCATCCTTTCTTTTCTCCTTCTGGTATCGTGCGATGTGCAGTGCCTTTGAAGTTTCGAACCAGCATATTATCAGGCATATTATAAGGTGTTGAGGCCTTGAATCAGCATGTGTACACCGGCGGCCTAAGTAAAAGCCTACTAAAAGGCAAGTCTCAGGGGCGTAGCAGCCGCTCCGGACGGTCCGGCTTTGGCCGGACCACTTTTTCGCCCGACCACGACCACCATAGTAAAACAATGCCCAAAGTGCCCAGAATGCAGGATTTTGCACCCTAATTTCAAAAAAAATCCAGGGGGGACATCCCCCCAGACCCCCTCTGGCCAGACCACCGCCAACGGCGGTGCTACGCGCCTGAGTCTGAAACAGCAACGGGAGAGGAAAGTCATATTGACTTGTCACTTACCTTGATCCTGCCATTTGGGTACGGCAACGTGTCTCCACCACTTGTGGCCTATCAGCACACATCGCATAGTGAACCAGAAGTAATGATGTAGCCGAGTTTGCAAAGACAACTCATTCAGAGCATGCTCACAGTTGCCAGATTTCTGGAAAATGCCAAGCCTAGCCGACCCCACCTCTCCAAGTTGATATCAGAAAAAGCTTTAGGAAACCATTCTCAGTGCACCTGCATGTGAAACACTCGCCGGTTGGAGCAGGATGGTGATGCAGGGTTCAATGTACTTGTTCCCAGCAGCAGCAATGTTACCTAAGCCGGATGCCGGCTGGACACTAGCTGCTATAGGCGCCCTCACCTGAAAAAGTCCATCTGGAAACCCCACCGCCCTGGGATCAATAAGCATGCGCTGGGCAAGTGCATCGGCGCTCACCGAGCCTAGCAACACACGAGTACACAGGTACACAGGTACACAAGACACATGCATATCTATAGCACAGCACACACTCGTGATACTACGGCACCAAGCTGCAAGCCTTAATCAACTACTGACGAGATCATTAAAAAGGCACACACTCTAAACCCCCCCCCCCCCTCCCCACACACCATGTACATACGCACACACATAAACCAGACGTGGAAAAGTCATCATCACCCCTTGGCTCAACAGTCGCTTCAACCCTACATTGACATGAATATGAACTGCTTAGCTCCCCATGCGTCACAGCTTGGCACTGCGTCCGTATTCATGTTACGACTTGTTGATAACTCTAAGCTACCAGCAGTGCAGGTGAGTGCAGTAAATACTGTACTAACAAAACTCACTAGCAGATTGGCAATCCACCCATACCGTCCTTTCTTCTTCATGCCCACTGCCGAGAAGTAAAAAACAATAGGAATATGTAACTGTTTGCATGTAGTAACAAAGTATTTATGTGCCTCAGACACACAAACACACAAACACACACATTTCACACATGTACAGGGATGCAGACACACACACATGCACACACGCACACACAAAAGCTCACACACGCACACACGCACACACACACACACACACACACACACACACACACACACACACACACACACAGGCGCGCACACACATTCTCGCTCCACATATACTGGCACACACAGAGACATAGATGATAAAGTCTAAAGGCTGAAATCCCTTTCACCGCAATCATGTTACCTTTGTGCCTGGCCACAAGCTCCCAATCCGCTGTGGGTCGCAGCACGATTGGAAAAATCCACCCTCTTCCAAGCACATACCTACTTGAAGTATGCATATCAAAATACTACACAGCCATTTCTTTCTTCTTTTTTCTTCTTTCCGAATACATTGACTTGCTTGCAACCCAAACACACGCACACACACACACACTGATGGATACTGCTCCTTACCGTACATATCTACGCACAGTGACTGAAATGCGCCCACGGCAAGATTGCTGCACCTTCTCCAACACACTCCTGTGTATGCTGCCAATCAGGAGCTCATCACACCACTCTAGCACTTCATCATCTGCCAGAAAATTATGCATTGGCAAGATAGCACAGCACAACCAAGAACATGTCGAGGAATCACCATGCAGCACTTTCTCGTCCCTATCCTCATCTACTGGACTCGGGGAGGAGAGACTCAAAACATCCAGGCCTATACCCACTCACTAGACAAGATAAAACAAAACCGTTACAGTATGAAGTTAGTATTGTGCAATTCCTTAGTACTTTCGTTGGGAACAGCCTTGCTGTCTACAGCATTGGGTACATTATACATATCGAAAGTACATGCACTGAGAATTCCACTGCATCTCGGTTAGCAGTCATAACACATCAACCAGCATACACGCGACCTCACATGGCCCGCTTATCCTGCCAATCTTCTTTCTTCTTTGCCTCCCGTGTATATTGTGTCAAACCTTTCTCATTACTGGAAGTATTATTAGTAAGCAAACTTCTTGCTGAGTGTTTGGTGAGTGATTGCTTCCGAGGCCAGCCATTACAGTAGATTGATTGGACTTTTACATGCAGTTGCACATACTTTCCATTATGCCACTCTGAAAGGCCGTGCCACCAACGGGTGCTTCAACCACAAACGTTCTCAAGACTCCTCCATCGCACTTCAGACCGCACACCAGTAACATGCCATAGCCAGGCATAGTCGCTATGTCTGCCGAGCAAACACAGTGAAATAGAGCATTGCAGACATGGAGACATAGTTGCTATGTCTGCAGCTCAAACACAATGAAATAGAGCATTGCAGACATAGCCACGATGAAATAGAGCATTGCAGACCACCGGGTTCTGTATGTTTTAAAAGTCGACTTTTCATACATCGAAAATGGAACCAAATCAGGGGTTGACTTAAAACGGGGATTCACTTTACGCTCAGGAATTCGTACGAAAAGCCCAAACTCTTTGCATTGTGGCCGCCGCTCTGAGAGAGTATTTGTGCCACACACCTTCATCAGCATCTCGGTCGCCATACTTCCGCCAGGCACTTGACGTCAGGAATATCTGCTGCTTCAGAGCACACGCCTTGCAGAATACCTGAGCACCAAAGGAGACCAGACTGCAGTAAAGCATGAGAAACTACTAAGGCTACCCCATGTGACACGGTTTATTAGAGATTGGGTATTCCACCTGATCATCTATAGAAACAGCTGACAACAACGCGAATCGTGCAGTCCAAAATGCATGCTAGTTCTTGAATTGATTGAGCTTTTGAGTCCAAAATAGTGATGCATTGGTACTAGGGTGATGGCATTACGACCATATTGGCGGTAGCAGATACGTCTGCCTGACTGACTAACACTTGAGTTGTTCACTGTTTTCTCTTTGGTTCGTCTCTTGTCAAAAGAAGAACATATCACTACTCAAGTCCTCCCTGTGCACCCCACCCCCATCAGGGGCGTAGGACGGTATTTTAGGGTGGTTTGGTCAGCCATCTGAGGTACAATTTACTCGTGGGGGAGGGTTGCTGACCCGGAAATTTTGGAAATTTAGAGCCTAGATCAGTGTATTCTATTGATCCACAGGGTACCTGGGGCAAAAAGTCGTACAGGTGGAATCCTGATAATTCGAATATGGCTTAATTCGAACATACCGCTTAATTAGAAGTTTTTTCCAGGACCGATTTCTATCAATACGATTCCCACATAAAATGTTCTGATAATTCGAACCTCGAACTGGACACGTCCAGTTAATTAGAAGTCCCACAGATTCCACTTACATAGAAAATGTGTGGGATTTGTGCTGATAATTCGAAGTTAGCCAAGTGTAATTCGAAGTTCACTGTACACTGTACTGGTCGGTTCAGTTTGCATGAGCAGGCTGCGCCGTTCAGTTCAGTGTCCGTAAAATTTGTGTCTAAGGTCCATAGCGCAACTCTGCGTGACCATGAGAGCATTTTGACATACATATTGAGTTGTGGGTTCATGTTTGGATAATTAGAATGTCCGGATAATTAGAAGTTTTTCCTGGCATTTTGAGGTTCGAATTATCAGGATTTCACCTGTACGGTCAATACCATAGCAGGGGCGTCGGACACGGTACGGTCACTACGGTATTAACCGTACCACATTTTGTCCCAGGTACCCCGTAAATCAATAAAATACACTGCTCTGGACTCTAAATTTCCGACGCCCCAGCATAGTGACCCTAGTGTATCCGACGCCCCTGGCATCCCCATCCTTTTTAGTGCCAGCCATTCCGGATTATCGATCGTCCGGAGTCGATGTCTGGATAGACAATGCTCTACTGTAATAGAATTCTCAGCCTTTGAGGTATGACTGTGTGTGGAGGGGGGGGGGCATGAATTGCACACCATGCACATCTCATTCAAGAAGTCATGCTGTACCGAGCAGACGTCTACATGCCAAGGAGGCACCTTTTTCATCACTCACCTCCGCTTGTGCCGTCTTAGTTCCGGCGTGCTGCTTTCTCCTGATGGTGCAGTGCTGACATGCCATACCATCACATACAATGCATACATGGCACTGCTTGCGATCCAGCTCTTTGCAACACAGCAAGCATGCACCATGATACGTGGCCTTGGATCGACGCAGTAGGGCACTCTGCTGGTCCTGCAGTTTCCTGGAAAGTGTGATGGCACATTGTGACGCACACAAACACATACACACACGTACACACACGATACACACACGTGCACGGGCACACACCTTGACCTTTGACGCCCATCGCCGGAGGCGATGATAGCAATGCTACGGCAGAAGCCATAGCAACTTGTGCTGGGATTGCACCATTCAACAGCTTGCAAGACTGAAGAATTGACCATCACTATTCAGCCTGGTCTACACCATACAGCTATTTGAAGTGACTTTTTTTCTGGCCAGTGAATCCCTATTTTTGGTCTTTTCATGTTTTTCCCGCACACACATCACACCACATACTCCGGCATGCACTGGCTGTTGGTAACCACCCAGGAGAATGAAAGAAAAGTCAGGAAGAGTCTGAGAAAGAGAAGAAAGACGTGTGTGACCATAATCGTCGGGAATCGAACCCGCAACCCATCGATTGGAAATCGCTGCACATACCACTGCACCATATGGGACACACACACACACACACACACACACACACACACACACACACACACACACACACACACACACACACACACGTACGCGCACACACACCACATGAGACAGGTCAAGTAGAATTTCGGGGGTAACTTCGTGAAAGGTACTGATAGAATTGTTGCCCTTTTGACCTCAACATGTCTGAGTGCCCTTTTGTCTTGCTGCTGCACGTGGACCGCTCACGGGTTGTCACGGCTACTGCACGTGGACCGCTCACGGGTTGTCACGGCTACTGCACGCAGACATTGTACTGCATATATAGGCATTTACATTGTCCAGTTCATTCAGGGTATTCTTCCTGAACTCTCCTTCCTTACAACTTCAAGAACCGGTGCTCTCTGTGTGCGGGTCGGGGGGGGGGGGGGGAGAAGGAGAAGAGCCCTATCGTTTAGCTTACTCTTGACAACACTTGATTGGTGCCCAATGTGGGTGATGATTATTCTAATGTGTACACGATAGCGATGTTTACGGTAAAGTCATTGCATTTCGTCCCACCGTGTGCAGTAGAATTGTAACGTTGCGAGGTGGACCACGACAAAGTCATACCCACTGAATCAACAGGTTTTTGCTATATCTGCAAATGAAGTACTCCAAGTGCTCTAACGTTCTTATACATTAAAAATACATTTCCTGAATGGGAAACTCAGTTGGAAAGTAGTGCCTCCGCAGGATGGACAATTCGAATTCTGAATAAGTACAGCAGTGTGTATGAGTGAGGACATAGGTGCGGTCCGCATACCGGCAATGGTTCGACACCTTCTTTTCGGCTTCCTCAGAACGCTGGATCACAGCAAGGATGCATTGTTGCTCCGTGGGCGTCAGCTGAGACAGATCCAGCGAGCCTGCCAGCGTGCTCTTTCTCGCTGCTGCAGGTGATGGTGAGCCATGAATGGTACTCTGTGAAATATACAAATAGCGCCAACAATACACAACAATGTCATCAATATGCATCAGCCTGAATGTACAAGAGAAGACAGAGCCAGCCTGGAATCCCCACCGGTAATACTGCTGCTCAGAGACTCGTAGAAAAGAACTAAATCAGGCAACCGATGCCAACTCAGAACATACTATGTTTAGATTCACTATTCATCTCATGGTGATAATTATAATCAACCATGAGATAAAGTGGTCACAAACAGGGCGTTGACCACACTGTTTGTGACCACTTTATATTGATGGCCGAAAAGTCGTTCCAATAATGGAATTAGTTTCGTCCAGCCATGTGAAGAATAGAGTACACATACTACAAAGTACATCGGGATGTAGAGCACATGTCAAGTGAACATGCCAAAACATTGCACTATAATGTAGAGCGTAGCTACCGGTTGTAGACCAGTTACAGTTCTGCAGCATAATGGTATTGCACAGCAAAAAAAGGCAAAAAGTGGATTTGCACAAGAAAAACCTGAACAAGGGCACCACCCGCAAGACAGCATGCTCTTGCCCGAGGCAAAGATAACCTGCACGACACCGGGTGAAGCAATTGAACTGTGGCTATCCTTACTGCTGTATGTCTACCGATCATGCTGCCATTATGCAAGCCGCTTGAGGAATTGTTGGGCAATAACACTACGGACTACCTTCTGATACTGGTGCCTACAATTATCTACACATTGATAATGCTATGCATACAATGCTCAGACACACACGCAGACAATGTCGCCGCCGCCCTAACCAACAATGAATGAGAGAACACAGCAAGCATCAGTGCCCTCGCTCACCGTGCCTTGCTTGCGGCTCCGCGGGCTCATGTCTGCGGAGAACGACCCTCCGCTATCATTCTCTCTGAGTGGCTGCAAGTGATCCATGTTCACAGCAATAAGTAGGTGGTTTAGGTAGTCATGAGCGAATAACTGAGTCACCCGAGTCAGAGTAACACTGTGTGCCGCAGGGCTACATTCTCAAGATATGACAGTTGCAGGGTACAGCCCACACATGGAACTATGGGCAAACGGAGTTGCAAATAAAGTGCTGCCTCTTGCATAAGCTATTTCCCTGCTATTTCCCCCAAAGGACTAAGTAATACTGAAGACTAGTGAAAAGAATACTTCACTTCTCCAGTACACATATGTACACACACGCACGGAAACACAAGCACGGAAACACAAGCAAAAAGCACTTCCATCCGTTACCGTGGACAGCGCTGCAGTTTGGCCAAGCACTGGTTCTGAGCTGCATGATCACTTGATCCGACAATACGGCATTCTAGCAGAGTACAGGCTGTCATGAGCGGCCTGTGACTCCTGTCAAAGTGCCTGGATGGCGCTCCGCTTAGCTTCCGCACGGCAGTGTAGCAATGTCATGACGATGACAGGCTACAACGACAAGCGATGACTGGTGCGAGCAGATCTCAGTCACTGGTGGTGAAGCCCTCCTCCCCATGCGTGCTCAGTGGAACTCCCATGGCGCTTCACTCAAAGCACTCCAGCTGGCACACAGCAGGGTGTCCTCTGCTCATGGCCCAATGATTCAGAAGACCACAGACTGAGTCGCACGGCTGCATGCCGGGTTTATCCTAGTGCAGTGTGACAAGTGAGGAACGTCAATCTCTCCCAAACACCTGCAAACAGTATACACACACACATAGCCATGCCAAAAGTCAGTGCCAGCAGTTGGCAGGCACACAGTATGTCCACAAATAGCAGATCAGTTTGCTATTCTCAACCAGCCTCTAGTCAGCTTAGTATTCAAGCAGAGTCCGGCTTTCACTTGAGAATGGCCTTCAAGAGCTTGCTTAACTCATAATGTCACCCCCTTTCTGCTATATGAACATGGAACAGCATAAGAATAATAATTGTTACACCGTCTTATCGTATCAGGTATGTTTCTTGTATTATAAGAAACAAACCTGATACGAGAAGAGCATTGGCGCTAAATTGCCCCCTCTAAATGATAAGAGGATGGTTTACAATTATATTATCAAACTACCCCTATCCTGGGGAAGAGTGTGTTGCTCCCTACATGGGAGCTCGTGCCTGCGGGTTTTCCTGCCGACTTGAATTCTCACTTGACTGACTCACGACTGCCATCCAGAGCACACGAGAAGTCCATCGAACTGTCCACTCGGCAAACCTGCAAGAAAGCACCATTCCCTGCTCAATACATAGTCGTGAGTCAGTCAAGTGAGAATTCAAGTCGGCAGGAAAACCGCGAGCTCCCATGTAGGGAGCAACACACTCTTCCCCTACTATCGCCGAAGAGTCGCACCAAACCTCTTCTCCACATTGTTACCCCTATCCTGGTCTTGTATTCAAGCACACGACACCATTTGAGCATGCAGTCTATTATCATCGAGTCAAGGAAATACGGCAGTCCAGACCCTGTGATCTAGCACATCAAAGAGTGGCTAGGTTGCATGGGACTCTTCCCAATAGAAAGGTTGCGATGCACAGGTACCTAGTGAGCAATTAGAACTAGCCAGGGAGTCTCGATCTGAGGGTTTTTTTTAACAGTTCGAGACTCGCTGGCTTGTACCTATCCTACAATGTGTTGGGCAAGCGAGACCACTGCACTGGCAAGGTAACACAGTGGCCCCTCACATCCAAGATGGAGGCAACCTGGCAAGGCAGCACTTTAGTTCAGAAGTCAAGACCTACTATAATTTTGTGTACTTCATGGCACGCTCGCAAACCAGATAATAAGATCCCTCGTTTTGTTCAAAACTTAGTCAGTATCGCACTCTCACAACTCTCACAACTCAACTTCTCAAGGCTGCATATATTATGACTGTGTATATGCAGTCACGAAAGCTGCAACCGCCGGCCCTTTTAAGCAATACGTTAGTTATAATTAAACCATCCACACGAAAACTGCGCATTCGCCACTAAGGTGAAAAGGCATAGTGGTGGCCTGCGGAAGCGAAGGCTATACCTTGTGCATGTGTGTTTCTGAACATCAGGCAAGTGATGCTCACGCGGATCCCGCGAATATTATAATTATATACACGAAAACTGCAAGTGCACCAACCTTCAACGTGACTGGCGCCCTGCATACATCTGGGTGACCCCTTCCCGCGGGCAGTTCCGTGCAAAGTGAACTGGCTTGAAACGCCTGAAGGATGAAGCCGCGCCGCGACCCTCTTTCCAAGGTGATCTTCTCACGCTCTTGTCTTGAGGCAAAATCCTGCCGATCCCCCGCACAACGGTTTATGTGGGCCCGAGTGGCGTCGGGCGCAGGGACTGAGAGCGCTAGAGCCTGGCGGCGCATATTATTAGCGCTGACGGAATGGCCCTTCCCCTTGGACAAGGACGTAGGACGTTAGGTGGTCGGGTGGTCACGCAGCACTAAAATAATGTTCCCTGATATGGTCGTGGAGGCCATTTGCAAACAGCAGCGCTCTCGAATCTTCGTCCAAATCAGGATTTGCAGGCTGAGCCGAGAAAAGGCAGCAATAATATACGATTCCCGGAGTCTCGACATTTTATGGAAAGTAAAGTAACGCACGTGTTATTTTTGCCCAAACACCTATGTCCTTGGCCAGCGCATCTCTCACTGTCTAAGTGATATGAAGGTCAGCCCGGGAATGTCTCACCAGTTTCCACTTCCAGAGAAGAGATCAGCCATATGCGTTGCCTGCGAGGAAATAAGCAGCATAGTCTGCTTCTCGGTCTCGACTTCCAACTTTAAGAACCGTTGAAAAGTGCCAATGCGAAGGACCAGGACTACTCCTAGCTCCCATCACAACAGAGCCAGAGGACCTGAGGCTGAGGTTCCTTGGAGCAGAGACGAGGTCATACTCATAGCCCGATTCTGGTTGAGCGCGACTCGGCCGCCTTCACCGGAAGCCGCAGTGGGTCTGGTTGTGCAATCGTTACGTCATGTAGGTGCTGAATAGCTTGTGAGAAACTACTACTAGTAGTACTAGTAGTAGTAGTACTTAGCTACTACCTGACTACTACTAGTACATTGTAGTACTAGTGTACTTGGAAACTCGTCGAAGCTAACGAATAGCGACATAACCCAGCAAGTCGGGTAATACTAATAGTACCAAAAGCAAAGACGATGATTGCGATCGGCAACCAAGCTGAGCTAAACGTAACCACCCTCTGTTACCCGTGTAAACATTGGCTGAGGAAACATACTTGATAGTCCGGGGCCACAAGCATGCATGCGGTTATCATGGTTATAAGGTGGAACTAGAAGTAATGGTATGAAGTTACTAAGTTCGTAGAAGTAATGGTGTTAGAATTAGCAGCGAAGTGATAGAAGATTATACACGTAGAGCAAAGCGCGAGCGAAATGTGAAAAGTTGTTATTGTTGTTGTTGTTGATAAAGGCGCAGCACAAACAGGTACTAGGTGGGAGCGCAGCTAGGGTAAGCGTGGTAAGAGTGCTCTGCCATGGTCCTGAAGCCTCAGTGTGGAGGTGGGAGCCAAATCACCAGAGGATGCACACTCAATCACAGTGTGTTGGGAGTGCTCCGGAGGCAGATCGCATTACACAGGACAACCAAAACTTGGCAAAAGCACAAGGCTAGTTCTTTGTAACTGTGTGGTTCCAGATGCACGGTGCTGTTGGAGTATTTGGCGTGCCTTCAGCCTTGTCGTAGTACAGTGGGCAAGATGACTCGTTTCGGCAGTTGCAAGGGTTTCCGGTTTCTTCGTCGTCGGGTGGAGTATTGCCTTGCTGTGGCTCTTGATGTGTTCTGCTATGTTTGGCATGCAGCTGATTTGGATGGTATTTCTCTTGAATATTTTCCGAGCTTCGTATGTGTGGGGTGGGGGAGCTTCTTGATGAAGGCCGGCCAGGAAATTTCCACCGATGTTGGTTTTGACATTTCGACCGCAAAGGAGGTTGTACCAGATTATGTTCCTCTTCCTTTTCCTCTCTTTTCTTTTCTCTGCTCGTTTTCTGTGTGAATCCTAGCGTGATGGGGTAGCCGCTGGCGTTGAGGGCCTCTAGCTCTGCGGCTACCGAGTCGGAGGTGTCAGGTTACGCGCGTTTCATTTTGTCTCGAGCCATCTCAAGGCACTAGGTGATCATCGAGTGACCATTTCTGCGGCTGTGCGGTTTCACTGCTTGATTTTTTCGCCCCTGAACGCATTGGCCGGTGAGAGTGAGTACACGTACATTTCGGTCAAGTAATCATCGCTGACCCTGCCAGTGCCACCGAATGTTACTGTATATCCGTGAGCTCAGGGCACTTGATCCTTTTTCTTGGTGACTCAATCATCATGATCAATTGATCATAGACGCTATTCCCGATTATACCGTGCTGTAATACCTAACTCCACGAAGCGAACCCACCCATTACCGAACTCCACGAAGCGAACCCACCCAAACGTTTTAGGAAGAATACACGTACAGGTAGGTGCAAAACAAGAGAAGAAGAGATGAGGCCGCTTACACTGTATCATGGTTTATTGGAGATGTGAAAAGACAGATGAGCTGTCCTGCAATGTATGGCTAGTGCCAGAGGAGTTCAATTGAATCTGCATGGGAAGAATACTACTGTATTGTGATTGAACTGAAGCTGGATGATGACCGTGTGGTGAGTGTGTGGGTTTTTTCAAGATACCGTCCTGGGGCAGGGATGTAGGTCCTTTAGCTTGGACGGATGTTGTTACATTCATTGTAACATCTTGTCGTTTTCTGTGTGCTTTGCTGTGCGACTAGCAGAGTATCTTTTGCTTATATTTCTTATCTCTATGCATATTTATTTATTTTTAAATCAGGAAGAGGATAATTATAATAATTATCAATAAATAAAGCCATTGCCGAGCCACCGCGTACCGTGCTCACAGCAGAGACTTCCGTGTGTGTGTTATTGTCGTGAAAGTGGACCATAAAGACTCATTATGACTCCCTGGTACGAAGGCCGTGATCGTGACACAAGCCACTACGCCTCGGAATTCATCCCGGGCCCCAGACCCCAGCCCACCAGTGACACCAGATCGCCAGGCACGTCACTGGGCAAGTGGCCACAGAATTACTTACCGTCTTTATCTCAGTATCTCGATCAGATCTGAAGCGGTGTGCAGTGCCCTAAAAGTAAAAGCAGCACAGAATGTTCCGCTCACACCATGCAGCTACATGTAACTATCATCAGTTACTTGGCGGCAGTCGTGCTACCAGGGGCACACTCAAAACCACAAAGCGGACAGACGTTCCTCCACGACAGTGGCCCAAGGCTATAATCGTCTAGCTGTTTATTTTGTCCAGCCTAGCCTGGAGCCTGACGGCCTGGAGAAACGATGCAGTTCTGCACATGGGCGGCACTTTCAAGACTACGTCGTTGTAATGTTACCACAACAATTTCGCTTGTACACTTTGACTCGTGTTGGCACCAATTGCCTCGTAGACAATTCGTCGAAGTGCTTTTTCCCTCTCCTATCCTCTTTGTTTGCTCTTCAATTTGTCTTTCCGCTCCGGTACGCTTCCCACGGAATGGAAGTCTGCCGTTGTTGTTCCGATCTACAAGAACAAGGGTCGACGCACTCATGCCAGTCATGCTATAAACTATTGGCCCAGTTCTGTACACGCGTATACGCTCTACCCTGTCTAAACTCTGCGAGCGGGTCTTCTATGAGTCACTATACCACCACGTAACTCCTGCCCTCTCCCCATCCCTTGGAAAGACTGCATGCATCCCTCCCAATGTTTGTACAACCTTGCCCATGCCCGCCCACTTTCAGTTCGATGCGAGCGTAATCTTTGTATCCTCCTCCACAGAATACGTCTTTGCTGCAAGGTTCCGCAGCAGCTCACCTTATACAATTGGTGTTCGTCCTCTACCCAAACACGTTATTCCTTTACCGTTCCCCGTGCTTCATCATCTCTTTACCTCAACTCCCCTATGTTCTCTGGCTATGCCCTCTGGAGTAAAATATCCTCCCAGACTAGAACCTCTGACACGATAAGCGAGTTCACGATTCAGCTCTCCCTCACGAGCATGTAAAGCTAACAAAACCATATACTCAAGTCACCCTCTAGCTCAAGTTACTGCCTAGGACACCATAATTATGGTTCAAGTTATTGCTGGTCTTGTACTCTGACTAGCTTTCCTCATTTATGACACCATACGGTCCAAGACACTGCTTGTCTCTTGTTAATAGTTGCACTCTGACTAGCTCTCTTTATCGCTTCGATTGTTTCATCCTATAGTCCATGGTTGGCAATCACCCGTATCTCTATATGCAGTCTCAACAACATGCTATGAGATATTGATATAAAAAATAAAAATAGCAACAAAATCCAGTCTGCTTATGCAGGAATTGCTATGCAAGGTGCAATTGTTATAACTTATGAGAAAAGAAAAAAGAAAAAAAAGGTTTTGTTTCAAGCTTAGAAAAGGCATTCGTACTACCGTTAGTTAGATTTCTCAACCATTTTTTGCCATGAAATTCATGGTGGTTCTGGATTTAGCACAGGATTATGACGGTTACGGGGAGAGAAGCGGGGGCATCAAAGGAGAAAATCAAGCTTGAAGTGAGAAAAGCATTTGAAAACTGAGTGACTTTGAAAACAATGGCGAGAAAATTGCTGGAATCTTCAATAGAGATTTCTGATGACCACGTAGGCAGCCGTAGTAGGGCCTAGTGAAGACCAACTGCAGGAGTGCGCGACAAATGCACAATTGTGTACATGATCTGCAGACTTCCTTTATAGTTTCTTGGATTTGGCGAACACGTTCACGTGTTCTCTCTGTGGCTGCCCGAGGGCAAGGTCTCGGTCCTGGAACGGCAGCAAACAGTAGGCCAGCACGGTGGACTTTCTCTTCAGCAGTGAGCGCTTCTTCATCTTTGCAACCACCTGAATCTGTAGACAATAATCAGCGTGCCAGATGAAAACAACCATGACCGGTGGGGAAGGAAATTCAACTACAGGTGGAATCCTGATAATTCGAATATGGCTTAATTCGAACATACCGCTTAATTAGAAGTTTTTCCAGGACCGATTTCTGTCAATACGATTCCCACATAAAATATTCTGATAATTCGAACCTCGAACCGGACATGTCCCGTTAATTCCAAGTTCCACGGATTCCACTTACATAGAAACTGTGTGGGATTTGTGCTGATAATTCGAAGTTAGCAAAGTGTAATTCGAAGTTCACTGTACACTGTACTGGTCAGTTCAGTTTGCATGAGCAGGCTGTGCTGGCCAGTTCAGTATCTGTGAAATCTGTGTCTAAGGTCCATAGCGCAACTCTGCGTGACCATGAGAGCATTTCGACATACATATTGTGTTGTGGGTTCATGTTTGGATAATTAGAATGTCCGGATAATAAGAAGTTTTTTCCTGGCATTTGGAGGTTCGAATTATCAGGATTCCACCTGTACTATTAATTTTATAAAGCAATACCAATGCTTTACAAAGCATGGAGATTCTGAGAATGTTGAGCAACCAGCTCCCTGGTAGTATTCAACATGCCGTCTAGCCGAACATACACCTAAAAGTACAAGTGTACTGTGTCTATCGTGATCAGCGTAGACACATCCGTCCTACCGAACTGAATAAACATGTAAGTACAAGCGTAGCGGAAGTGTGACAAAGGGATCTACACATATTCTATAGCATCGCTCTCTGTGGCTCTTGTCTCCATGGCTAGCAGTTCGGTCCAATATAGCTTGTAGCTGCCCTGATGAGACTGCAGTTCAGTGGCTGAGACAGTTAAAGGGGAAGTTAAGGCTAAATCAAATTTTAACCAGTTGTAGCCTTCGGGGTGCTGAGTCGAATGGTCTTGGTCCGAGGAAGCTGAGACGCTCCCTTCCTCCTTTATTCCCAATCGAACTCGCGCACTTCCACCGAAACTGGGTGACTGCGCCCTACTAGATGGGGATTTGTATGCAAAATGTCACTAAAAGCGCCATTTCGTTCTTATAAAAACACGGATGACCGCGATTGGCCCATATGTTGTAGTCTTTTGGACGCTGAGTCGACTGGTTTTGGTCCGAGAAAGCTGCGATGCAGCGTTCCTCCTTTATTTCCAATCGAACATGGTTGAACAAGCGGTTACGTGCTCCTGCGTACATCAGTCACCTGGTCACCATGCCTGCAGGGTACAACTTACAGCCTGTTTGACCTTTTTTGGGTACAGTCCTGTCACTCGAGTTGAACTCGAGTTGAACCTTGGTGTGAAAGTTGTCGCCTGCTTGCGCGGTGACCAGGTGACTTGGGCACGCAGGAGCACGTAACTGCTTGTTCAACCATGTTTGATTGGGAATAAAGGAGGAACGCTGCATCGCAGCTTTCTCGGACCAAAACCAGTTGACTCAGCGTCCAAAAGACTACAACATATGGGCCAATCGCGGTCATCCATGTTTTTATAAGAACGAAATGGCGCTTTTAGTGACATTTTGCATGCAAATCCCCATCTAGTAGGGCGCAGTCACCCAGTTTCGGTGGAAGTGCGCGAGTTCGATTGGGAATAAAGGAGGAAGGGAGCGTCTCAGCTTCCTCGGACCAAGACCATTCGACTCAGCACCCTGAAGACTACAACTGGTGAAAATTTGATTTTAGGCTTAACTTCCCCTTTAACTGCCTGCAGAATCAGACGAGCACCAAAAAGATGGTAGCGAATGTGCTCATCTAGAGAAGATATCACTGCCTTTCGGTTACAATAAAGACGACCTGCAAAAGAGTCACTACATCACTTCATCACAACAGAACCGCGAGAGAATCTCACACATTCAATGGCTAAACTAACCCGTAGCGTGTACAGACTGAGCGTGATGGACGTGTTGAAGTCAAACTGAGCGTTGAAATCCAGGCCACTAGCCAGAGGCATGGTGCTGGTCTTGCGTTTCAGCTTGCTGGCGCCAACCGCATGCATGGATACCTTGACACCAACTCCTGTCGGCCAGCATGGAGAAACAAAATGGCATACAGTACGACTGTAAGTCTTTCTTGCAAATGCAGCCATGCTGCAACGTACATCACAGCTACCAGTAGTTTATGCAGCCATGCTGCAACGTACATCACAGCTACCAGTAGTTTATGCAGCCATGCTGCAACGTACATCACAGCTACCAGTAGTTTATGCAGCCATGCTGCAACGTACATCACAGCTACCAGTAGTTTATGCAGCCATGCTGCAACGTACATCACAGCTACCAGTAGTTTATGCAGCCATGCTGCAACGTACATCACAGCTACCAGTAGTTTATGCAGCCATGCTGCAACGTACATCACAGCTACCAGTAGTTTATGCAGCCATGCTGCAACGTACATCACAGCTACCAGTAGTTTATGCAGCCATGCTGCAACGTACATCACAGCTACCAGTAGTTTATGCAGCCATGCTGCAACGTACATCACAGCTACCAGTAGTTTCTGTTGCGGTAATCGTGATCTAGGCATCTAGGGCTTGAGTAGCAGAGTGATCACAAACATAACACCATGATCCACATCTACACTGTACAGTGTACGGATCTCGAGGTCGCAGCCTCTCCTTTGCCGCGTGTCTTGTACGAGCACGATACAGGTCAACAATTACGGATCTCGAGGTCGCCTCTCCTTTGCCGCGTGTCTTGTACGAGCACGATACAGGTCAACAATTACGGATCTCGAGGTCGCCTCTCCTTTGCGTGTCTTGTACGCGCACGATACAGGTCAACAATTACGGATCTCGAGGTCGCCTCTCCTTTGCGTGTCTTGTACGCGCACGATACAGGTCAACAATTACGGATCTCGAGGTCGCCTCTCCTTTGCGTGTCTTGTACGCGCACGATACAGGTCAACAATTACGGATCTCGAGGTCGCCTCTCCTTTGCGTGTCTTGTACGCGCACGATACAGGTCAACAATTACGGATCTCGAGGTCGCCTCTCCTTTGCGTGTCTTGTACGCGCACGATACAGGTCAACAATTACGGATCTCGAGGTCGCCTCTCCTTTGCGTGTCTTGTACGCGCACGATACAGGTCAACAATTACGGATCTCGAGGTCGCCTCTCCTTTGCGTGTCTTGTACGCGCACGATACAGGTCAACAATTACGGATGGGCCCTCACAGCAAAACAGTGACCTGATCACGGTACCCTGATGCCAGAACAGTGACCTGGTGGGCCCTGATGGTGGAACAGTGACCTGGTGGGCCCTGATGGTGGAACAGTGACCATTGATGGAAACAGATGGAAACAGTCAGCTACAGTGTACAGAGTTCACAACTACAATGTAGTCTAGCTGATGCGGGCATGCACCGGTAGTGGCAGGTGTCCATAGTACCCGCCATAGTACCCGCCATAGCACCCGCCATAGTACCCGGGCCCATAGTACCCGCCATAGCACCCGCCATAGCACCCGCCATAGTACCCGCCATAGTACCCCCCCCGCCATAGCAAGCCATAGAGCATAGTCACAGGTAACCAGTGTACTTACCAGCCACTTCGGAATCTTTCAAACTTGCCATCTGGATAAGGTTGTGCACCTTGTCAACCTTTCCGACCATAACACGCATGTTAGTAGACTGTGGAACTAAGGTCAGCGCAACAGTTGCATCTTGCAGGACACCACCTGTGAACACGCACGCACATACATGCATACATGTACATACACACACACATACAAACAAATACACACATGCATACATGTGAACATACACACATGCATACATGTGAACATACACACATACACATACACACAACCATGGAAATACACACGCACATGCACACACATGCACACACATGGACATACATACAAACACCATAAACACAAACACCACAATCCAGTTTATACCGCAGGCCATAAGTGAGGGTCCCTGGTTCGAATCGTGGTGGTGGCAGTCAATATTTCTTCAGACTTTCCCCGTTTCAACGCCCTCCACCTTAGGAATATCCTTTTATTAGTTCATTTTTCCACACGATTAAAATGAGTGTGCAGCAGTCTGTTGCTTTGTGCATACAATCAATTGTAACAGTACATGGGCAGAAGTTAGCCTGTGCAATGATGCATAAACTGTTTCTACATAAGCTACATGCTCCTGAGCAGCAAGCCGGATGTAACGCAAACATGGTCATGCGTGTTGACAGCATCAAACAACACATTCCCGGACTTCACTGCACACATACCAGTGTAGTTGGCAACGGAGACTTCACCCAAACTGCAGAAGGCAAACACACATTACATTTTAAAAAAAGGAGAAGGACAAAAATGGTACGAATTATCCTTTTTTAAAGTTTTTATCCATGATTACATGGGCTCACCACCTGAGTTCAACTTAACACAGCATTGGCTTAGTACAATACCAGGGTGCGCACAATGGCACCTATGCATAACACATGGCTGCAGCCTTTTTGCGGGGCAACTTGTCAGATATTTGGCAGGTACACGCAAGCTCTAGTACATGTGTGAGTATGAGCGTACACAGTTCATAACATTCTATGCAGGGCTGATAACTATTATCACAGTGCGGACGGCTGAAGCGGACTTGCCCCGCAAAACCAAACGGCGGGAAGATCACGCATAACTTCCGTTCACTTTGCCAGCATCCAAATCAACCCAACGGTTCTAAGCAAGCAATCTACGACATTGGCCTATTGCCTGGTGCAAGACACTGCAATCCAGGTTAGAACTAATACATGGCCACCCTGCACAATACATGGCCACCCTGCACAATACATGGCCACCCTGCACAATACATGGCCACCCTGCACAATACATGGCCACCCTGCACAATACATGGCCACCCTGCACAATACATGGCCACCCTGCACAATACATGGCCACCCTGCACAATACATGGCCACCCTGCACAATACATGGCCACCCTGCACAATACATGGCCACCCTGCACAATACATGGCCACCCTGCACAATACATGGCCACCCTGCACAATACATGGCCACCCTGCACAATACATGGCCACCCTGCACAATACATGGCCACCCTGCACAATACATGGCCACCCTGCACAATACATGGCCACCCTGCACAATACATGGCCACCCTGCACAATACATGGCCACCCTGCACAATACATGGCCACCCTGCACAATCCTCACAACACAAGTAAAGTTCAAACGCCCATGTTACCACCGGCTTTACAATTGGGTTCGGAAACACAACCAGCTTAGAGACGTTTCACTCGTGCTAGGCAACCACATCCATACTTGATTATAGACATAATCTGCGGACAGAACTGTTTCGTATAGACATAGATACAAGTAGTTATTAAATACACGACAATAACAGCTAAGAGGTAAACTTGAGAGACCACACACTATCGTACCAACCTGTCGACAGAGCCAGAGGAGATCATCGACAGGTTGTCATTGCTTGCGGACAAGGAGCTGCGGGCGGACAGCGTACTGCGCTGGAGTATAGCTGAAGCCACCGAGCCCGATCTTGTACGCTGCAAGCATACGCACAAAGCAGTGGCAGACTGAATTGTCTTAGTGCCCCTAGTGTTAGCTATCACGTGGCCAGGCTTGGATTTTTAAAACTCTATTCAAAGTACACGTTAGCCAGAAAAGCAGAAAAGCACTCTGCTAACCACTAAACAAGGCAATTACTTACCCCAGTGGCCGATCGAAAGCCGTCTCTCTCCTCCACACCGAGTGACTGCCCAACTGTGTTCACAGGGGTCAGGAGGATGGTTGGAGAAACCTCCTGGTGTCGAGTGCCAAAATCCAGGTCGGTTCCACTCTCATCGCCATTCAGTGACGACATGCTGTGCGATGGCGTGGGCTTTTGGGACCAGTGGTAACCGTCCGCTGACGAGTAGCGCGCAGACGACGGATGTCGCTCACGATCGTTGGGCTTGATTCGCTTTGGACGCTGGCCGACTGCAAAGCCTGTTGGACTCAAGCCCGGTAGTAAGGTGATAGACTGTTGTCTGTCAGCCGGGCTGCTCGATAGTAAGGCGGCAGACTCCTTTCTGTCATTCGGGCTGCTGGAGAAGAACAATCCACATAGAATATCACCATGCAAAATGACCGTTTCTGTCATGTCCTGGACATGGACCATATGTATGTAGTGCGCATGCTCGCACGTGAGCTGGGTCTTTTTCGGATATGGAGTTTGAGACGAACGGAAATCTGTAATGGCCTCGAGTGTGTGTGTGATCGAGCTGGATGAGTCCGAGTAGAACCCACCTGGGGTAGGACACAACAACTGGCGACGAAGATATGGCTCGGATATCATCGCTTCAGCCGTTTACCGGCGGCGACTTTGAAGAGTTTGAGGAAAGACTTGAATTCTATTTCTTTGCCAATGATATTGGAACCGTGGCTGCTTCGGCCAATGCTGCAGACAAGTTGGCTGCCAGCAAGAAAAGGAAGGCTGTATTAGTGAGTTTGCTGTCTGCGGAAGTCTACTCGATATTGAGGAGCCTCTGTCTGCCAGCGAAAGTAGCTGACAAGAAACTGTCGGAGATTTGCGATCTTTTGAGGAAGTATTTTCAACCTGCAATTTCGCAAGTTTCGGCGACGTTCAATTTCCATCAGTTGAAGCAGAAGGAAAATGAGTCGACTGCGGATTTCATCATTCGTCTGAAGAGATTGGCTGTGAGGTGTGAGTTTGCTGATCACCTCGATCGAGCGCTTCGAGACCAGTTTATTGCTGGCTTGAGCAGCTCATCCACTCGAAATTTCTTATTGACGAAAGAAGATACTTCGGCACAGTCGTTCAATGACATCGTCAAACTAGCTTTGACGCAGGAATCGGCTGCGCGCGCGGCCGTGCAGCTGACCTCTCAGCAGGAAGTGCACAAGGTGAATCACCGGCCAGTGGAATCGCGTTCGCAGGCGCAGTCTGGTGTTTCTCGTCAATCTCATCAATCTCGAGAGCAGAGATTGTGCTACCGCTGTGGGTCTACTCAACACTTGGCGGATAAGTGCAAACACAAGGCCACTGAGTGTCGTCACTGCCACAGGAAGGGGCACTTGGAGCGTGTTTGTCGGCAGAAATCTACGTCAGGCGCGTCGGTGCACAATGTTGTGACTGATGACGCAGGTGAGCATGAATCTGCTGATCTTGAGTGCATGCCAATGTTCCACATTTCGGATCAGGACGAATTGAAGAGCAAATCTGTGCTCTCCTTCAAATTGGAAATTGCTGTGAATGATGTTCCTGTTGTAATGGAAATCGACACGGGCAGTGGCATTTCAATCATTTCTGTCCATGATTTTGAGTCACTTGGGGTGTCTCGTACAAATTTAACCAAACCGAGTGTACGCATGACCGGTTTTTCTGGGGCAGAAATCAAATGTATTGGTGAAGGGAAGTTCAATGTCAGCATTGATGGTGTGGAGAAACCAACACTACTCCGTGTGGTGGATAATGGTGGTCCGTCATTGTTGGGCAGGGATATGTTGTCCCAATTTACTCTACCGTGGAAACAGATTGTCAATGTCAATCATGTGCAAATGGATGGTAGGAGGAGAGCTCTCATTGAGGAATTTGAGGAGCTGTTCGATACGACTCAGGTTGGCAAGCTGAGGTCGGCTCAAATCACCCTGAGAGTGGATGATTCTGATCCAATTTTCCACAAGGCGCGTCCCGTACCGTTTTCTATCACGGAGAAGTACGAGGAGGCTTTGGAGAAATTGGAAGCAGAGGGAGTTATTCGCAAAGTTGCGCACTCCAAATGGGCATCGCCTACTGTGCCAGTACTGAAACCGGATGGTAGTATCCGAATTTGTGCTGATTACTCTCGCTCAATCAATGCCAAGTCTGATTTGGAGCACAACCCGCTACCTACTATTGAGGAAATGTTAGCGAAATTGTCGGGGGGAGATAAATTCACCAAATTGGATCTCTCCCAAGCCTATCACCAACTGGAGCTTGATCCAGCTTCTCGGCCGTACACGACAATCTCTACTCACAAGGGGTTGTATGAATACGTGAGATTGCCGTTTGGCATTCACTCGGCAGTGGCAATTTTCCAACGCACAATGGAATCCATATTGGCAGATCTGCCTGGGTGCATCGTCTATGTGGATGATATCCTGATTACTGGGAAGGATGAGGATGAACACCACAACAACCTGATCAGGGTACTACGTCGCCTACAGGAGGTCGGGATGAAGCTTAATCCCAGTAAGTTTCATTTCATGATGGATGAGATTTCCTACCTGGGTCACACGATTTCTAGTGCTGGTGTGGCTCCTACAGCGGATAAGATTGAGGCAATGCGGGACGCTAAGGCTCCTTCGAATGTTAACGAGCTTCAATCATTCATTGGAACGGCGAATTTCTTGCGACGGTTCATACCTCATTTCGCAACAATAATGGTACCTCTGTACAATCTGGTGAAGAAATCTGCTGAATGGCAATGGGACCCCGGAATTTCAGTGCGGTCAAGCTGTCCTGGCTTTGAATTTCGGCAAAGGAGGAGATAAGTGGGCCCCAGCCGTGGTCACGGCAGTTCTCAGTCCGATGACGTATCAGATACAAGTCGGTGATGCAATGTGGAAACGCCATCGCAACCAGCTCCGTCCTCGGCAAATCCCTCAGTTCGATGCAGGGGCGTCTGAGCAGAGTGGAGCAAGTTTAACAGCTCAGGTTCCGTCACAGCCGTCACTCAGCAGCAACGACGCCAGTGTCACGGCAGCGGAGCTAGGCGCGCCGGTCTCAGCAATAACCGGTACTAGTGAGTCTGCGTCGGTTAGCACTTCACGTGCCAGCTACGGCAAGACGTCGTCACCGCAAGCTGAACGACGGTCGACCCGCGCTACTGTTCGACCAGTTCGTTTCAAGGATTGACGTTCAGAACACACAGTTCATATGGACCTATTCTAGTCTGTAGAGTTTAAATGATATATTTTGGACTCTGCTGGATATTGTATATAATTATAATTTATGGTGTATATAATGGGGTATAGTGTATCATGAAATATTATGTCTCGGCAGTTTTGAGTTTTGAGATTGCATGTTGATATGTTTACTATTGCATAGTTCTAGATGCTTCGCCTCAACTAGTGAGGGGGAAATTGTCATGTCCTGGACATGGACCATATGTATGTAGTGCGCATGCTCGCACGTGAGCTGGGTCTTTTTCGGATATGGAGTTTGAGACGAACGGAAATCTGTAATGGCCTCGAGTGTGTGTGTGATCGAGCTGGATGAGTCCGAGTAGAACCCACCTGGGGTAGGACACAACAGTTTCTTTCTTTGTTTCTTTTTGCGACGGCAGTCTTTTCTCAAGGATAAGACATTTTCAATAATGTACGTTCACAATCATCTCCAGTCGGAGCAGCTCAAAAGAGTATTTTATACACCAGAGTGCAGAGCTGTATGTACAAATCATCAGACGAGTAATCGTCCGATGATCACTCAGCGTGGGAAACTTGATGCTCCCACGCTATATATATATATTGAGGAGTACTCAGTAAAGCTTATCCATGGAGAACTGCAACTTGCATGCATACAGTCATGTGCAACATGTATTCTCACTCCACAACAAAGCCGACTAGGCTACATAAAACCAATGTGCCATTACACGAGAAGGCAAGGTATTACGTGCGCATGTGCCCCGTCAGGCGAAATTACTGGTCACTCGGCGACACGCATTTTTCACAAAAATTTGCGTTTCACCTGCTGGGAGAGTATGCATGTACTCGAGTCTCATCCTGACCACGTTTTTTTCTTCTTTTTTTCAGCTCCAGTATAGCTGTATTTTTCATTGCAAAGCCGTCCCTCGATTATTGTGTTCGTTGTTCAAACGAAGTGGACATTCAATCATGAAGGCAGAGGACATAGGAGCCTGATTGGAGTTTCTCGTGGCATAGGACGGCCACACAGAGACACTTTGGGATTTTCTGAATATAAAATACCGTACGCACGATGCTGAGATCAATTTGTGCGATATCAAATTGTTTGTGATCTACCACATCGAGCAGAACGGGATCCAAACACAAGCTTACCGACGGTTAGGCTGCCGACCTGACTGGACAAATGATCCCTGGCTTCACCAGATGCCAGGAGTCGGACACCATGTTTTTTGCCGCGACGTCCATCTCCAAAAAGAACTCCATCTTCGTCGTGAAAAGACTTGAAATACTCAATATTCAACCGAGATTCGCGGTCTCACCCTTTCTCAGATCGAATCATTTTTTGTTGTAGCAGTTGCAGGGCAGATCCCCGCCACTACTTCAACAGAAGATGGCTCCAAAGCATGCCTGGAACAAGCCATATCGAGGTTGCAAGCCACCCCTCTCAGCACTTTTTTTGAAGAAATTCGAAATTTCAATGGTGGAAGATATACTATGAAGAGAATTTCAAAAAGTATGTTTCGCGGAGCGATCGCTCAACCTACGTCATTCAAACTTTGCAGGATGGTTCAGACGTACATGCTAGGCATGGAACCACAGAAGATGATATCATAGCTGACACACAGAGTCACACACACAGCAGATTCGTGTGCACAGATACAAAATTAGTGGACGTCGTCATCTTCTTCCCGCTGATCTCAAATGTACTATGACGTGCTATTTCGCCTGACGCACCCTGACCCATCGGCAGGGAAGGTTCGCATTGACACGCTTATGTGTTCATAATAGATTGGGACATTGCACACTACATAGTATAAACTGCGGCATGCAGGATAAATACGACTACCGAGTAATGTTTCGGGTCACTGCTATTCCTACCTTCGCGGGTCCTCCGCCGGGGACATTGAACCGGCCCACCGATGCTGCTGCTGCTGGTACTGGACACACAGTGATGACATGGAAGGGTTACTGGTCTGCGAATCGTGCACCTTGCGAAAGTGCGCGGCCATTACAGCCCGGGTGAGTGACTCGTCGGGGCTCAGGCCCAGGTACACGGCGTTGGCACGGACCGTGTGCGGCTGCAGAGTGTACCACTGGCTGGTGTGGTCCAGCACAGCCTCGTCTAAACAGATCTCACACTGTACACGTCGCAAGCACAGAGAATACGCAGAGAACCCAAAGCAGTAGATCGTGTGATCATGAAAATGATCAATGTATAAATGATCTCAGTATATTTTCATGCTTTGAAACCAGGGTCACCGTCAAACAATAGCCCGAAGGTCTGCCAAGTCCAAGAGCATGCGACATGCACAAGAGAAAACAATAGAATGAGCTAGCATGCCAGGGTATTCTGCCCCGTCGGCCTGGCAGTACTGTCTGCGACCAAGTGATGGTGACTTTGCGGCCGGGGTGGGGGAGGGGGGGGGGGGGTGGTGGTGGGGGGGGGGGGGGGGGGTAGCACATAAGCAGTTACTTTCTATGACCTGCCTGCTGTCCACCACGTATAGTTCAAATTGACCTAGGAATACTTACAACGCCAAGTGTCAATCTACCAAAGAAAGTCTTAGGAGTGGTCACGGATACTCTCAGTTTACATCCAGTCAGCTTCTAACAACAGACACAGAGAAGAGAAGACACACACGCACCATGCTTAGCAATGCTATATGAGCCGAGCCAAGCTAAAAGGTGGCTTAGGCATAATTTTTGGAAATTTCTTTTTTCATGCCAAAGTGATGTCTATATATCCAACTTCCATCATGGAGATTTCGGTGCCCATCTGAAATGTATATGTGCCATAAATAAGCATACATAATGCACATGTCACAGAATGGCTGGTATCAATGACACTAAGGATTCCAAGACCTTCCCAAACTCCAAGAAAACATGGGACACCAAGTGGAGACAAAGCTTAGCAGGTGTGCAAGCAATACAAGAAAAATGAGAACTTGTGTTCTAATCAGAAGATCCAAGAAAGAAGAAATAACAGATCTACATTATTTTCATCATGACTCATGTCATTTTATCATGCAATACGAATTTTCATATATCCTTCATCATGATGTTGTGACTATATTTTTCGCTGGGTTGGGGAACGTCGCATCTTACCAAGAGTCAGCCCGTCATATTCTCTCCAATCACCTATGTCAGGATGAACTAATCCTTTCATGTAGCTCGTAGTGCTGTGTCAGAGATCTAGCTCCATTGGTGTACTGCCCTCGCACCTACATAGGTCCAGTAGACTGCACATCGCTAACAAGCGGCACTGGTTCTTTGTCCGTCCTAGTCCTTGTCATTCTCCTTCCTTGCCATGGATACTGGTAGAAGGCGCCACGGGACAATATGCTAGCAGGTAGAGTCAATGCATCGCTTCGTCGTGTGGCACTATTTCCTTGAATCGAGGAAATTTTGGAATCCAGCATGCCACGTCATGAACACTAAATTGAAGGTAGCCGAAACAAAGTGAAACATCGCAGCAAGAGCCAACTCACCAGGCCGCTTGTCAGAATGATAGTCGGAAGGCTTGTACTGTAGACGTCTCCCCATGGCTATACTCGCCGCTCTAGTCGTGGCCACGATAAGAAACACAGCCACTATGAATGAGCGACTCTTCCTCGTCAAGTAGGTTTGGGCGCACACGGATACAGAATGTCATCCTGCTCACCTCCACATTCTCTAGAAGCTCCATTACGATCTCTGGCAGCGCTGAGGAATCCCCCCATAACGATGAAAGAGGGAACACTGAAGAAGTTTTGCTCAAACATAAAAAGGCTTCTCTCTTCATCCGCTTGCAAACATTACTTGAAAGTGAATATTTTCGCGATCGCGCTCGAGTAGAATTTTGCCAACTGTGACGTTTTGGTGATTTTCTCGATTTGTTGGCAAAACACGAAGCCACTTTTTAGCTTGGCGCGGCTCATATGTTGGGGATATTTCGACTGAGGCTGAGCAGGGACAGGAACAAATTCAGAGATGAGTTGGATCATTGCCCGGTGACTCTGCTGCAAGACACCCCTGACACTAACCTTTTGTGTAATAGAGAGGGCTATCTCCTCGTCCCACACTGGATTTTGCGTCCGCCGACGCTCGGACGTAGAGAATTGCCTGAAGAAGACAACAGCATATCACATGGCAAAAATTCAATCATAATTGCAGACATACATGAACTTTACTGCTAATTAGGCCACACCAAGTTTTTTCATTGTTTCTCGTCACCGCGCGCGTACCTTTCTTGAGGATTGGACCAAAAAAATCTCGCGTCCCGGTAAACACGCATAAAAAGGCGTTGTAAAAGTACGCGCGGCGTCAAATCTGGAGTGCAGTGCTAGTGCACGAACCGAAGGTTTCTGTTTTAAATTTTAGCACAAGCGCGCACTTGGCTGTTCTTTTATGTACCCCTTGTATAATAACTTTGGTTTGCTTTCTTTCCTATTTAAATAACATGCAACACTGGACTTCCTCACCAGAGGCCGGTGCAGGAGCCTGGTTTTCTGGCTGTATGTTGCAATTGACTGTCACGCGTGGTGTATAGTCTGATTTTAGGTCATAAATTGGGCCTTTGTAGTGTAAATAGCAGTTTTTGTTTTTCAAACCCTATTTTGTTTTTTTTCCGCCCGCCCGCGTTCCTTTTGAGATTTTCAGGTGACGAGAAACAATGAAATAACTTGGTGTGGCCTTACTTGAAAACAAAAAAAAAGAGGTCGAGTTGATTCCAGCTACTGGAGGCAGTCATTGGTAATGCCACTCAGGCCGCGACCATCACAGCAATCACCACCGCCAACAGCTACGCCGTGGCCTGGCAAGTGTGATTGTGCACGACGTAAGTAGAGGAAGGTCATGCAGAGCAGCACAACACACAGTCAACTGCTGTACTTACTCTCCATCACAAATAGCTATGGTCACAGCCGGGTTAGGGGGCACGCCGGGCTTGAACGACGGCAGGCACTCGGCCCTTATAATAGCCACCATGAAGTCAGCACCATCGAAACCAAGGCGAAGCTGCAGCAGGAGTACAAAACAGGTGGTGATACGAACAGCAAGTTGTGTGCATCAACCAAACGATCGGGAAAAACTTAGCTACTCACTTCACTATTCACACATACGTAACCTGCTGATACGGCACATATAGCCTCCAGTATCCAATATCCTAAGTTGAGTACTTCTATTGAATGTAATCTACAAGATAGCAGTTGCTCTGACATTGCCATACTACACAAGGACAGGCTCGGGGTAGAACCAAACACAACATGTTGCCACTATGCCTACTTTTGCTTAGCCTCTCGCCTGAACGAACACAGCAAGAACCAGTCATCAAAACACACTGGCGTCACCAGATCGTCAACATCGGGATAGAGAAGATTGATCATCAGGAGAGAGCAATAAGAGATGGAAGACCTACCTCGATGCGACCATACGGCCGGTACAATGGCTCACTGTTGCTTATCACCTACACGTCGTCCATGGCAGAAGGCGAGCGCCAAAGGACAGAGCAAAGGAAAGAGGGATGAGACACACATAGGAGTAGCTGCTTGAACTGTGAGGCATGTTCACTTTGGTGTGGTATCCTGCATTTCCCGTATGGTTCAGAACACTCAGTGTGTTAGACTGCATCTTGTAGTGTGTAGAAGCTATAGCATTATACTTCCTCCGTATACAAAAACTTCGTGACTTTTTTTGAAAGCTGCACACAGCTCTGGAATTGTTCCGTTTGACTTGGAATAACACTTGTGGCATTGTCTAACCTGTTTACGAGCTATATACAAAGAAAAAAGCAACTCAGACGAATGAGATTGAGTTTTTCCAGAGTCTTCGTCGCTCGTGTCATTGTCACCTGACGACGCTGACTCCGCATCGCCAACAGTCGCTGCTTCCGCTCGCATTCCGTTCAGATTCTTGACAGCTGCAGTGATGATCCGACGCTGGACTTTGGCTACATCCTCTTCATCTCTACAGCTGTGTACGGATCGATGTCGACTACATTCAATCGTTCCAACCCGCGACCTCCATTATGCCGTGAAACGAGTCGTACAAGCACATCCACACGCTTCGCATTTTCTCGCCATGATAATCCTCCCAGCATTCTACAACGGCTTCGAGGAGGTCCCTGCGATTCCCCTTGGCGACAAAGGAGACGTCTGACTGGAGAGAGGCGAAGAAAGCCAGCCCGTCGACATTCTGATCCGGAGTCTGCGCTGGTTGCACGACGACTGTTTCATCTTGCCGTGCGAGCGGAACCGATTTATGTTCTCATGCTGCGAGGGGCCGCGCACCGCAAGTACTTACGACCCTGGCCAGCTTCAGCAGTTCAGGGCAGCGAGTGCCGCGTGACTCCATCAGTCCGTGTTCCACTTCCAGCTGCGAGCTCCACTTCGTCACTGTGTCAGTTTCGAGCAAGTAAGTGTTAGTTTTTTTTTCATTTGACTCTTGAGTTCCTGTCGGCAACGTCCTCAAACCCATGGCTTCCGTGGAGAATCTGTTCGGGATCAACGACACTTACCTCGACATGAACGTGGGTTGTCAATGAGAGACTTCGGCGCGGTTTGCGGTTCGTTGAGCAGGTTCTTGCCAAAAACACCGTAAAAAAGTCACGAAGTTTTTGTATACGGAGGAAGTAGTACTTTAAATATGGCACTGTTATGTGCAGTTGTGTGCAGTTGTGTGCAGTTATGTGCAGTTATGTCACCTTCTATCCATGACCGTCAAGCCGCAGAATGTAGTTTGGTTCGGGCCTTTTCCTAACCGCCTCATAAAGTTAGCTTACACATACAACGTGCTCCTTGCGTTGTCTGTTGGGGCGTCGGGGAGAAGGTGGGTGGGTGGGTGGGTGACAGTTGAAACGCAATCATTTCACTTGGTAAAAAGAAAATATTGACGGGTGGCCTTGCAACTATGAACGAATCCTTGCAGCATCATAACAACATCTCAGTATACCGTGCACTGCGTAATACTGGGCTAACTGTGCCCAAGGTCTCACGGAAACCCACTAACTTGAGATAGGCCATCAGGAAAGCCAATAGCATCTGGATTGGCCAACATCCGGTGGACAAAATAACTTGGCGATACTGTCGCTGGAAAAGCAAACAAAGACAGCGCAAGCAAGCAAAAAGGTATGAGTTGGGAAGTAAACAGACTCCAATATCATTGTCAGCCATTTTTCACTCAATACGACTGTGCAGTTCCAGGGTTGCACACAATTATGTCACCACTGAAATGTCTGTAAGCGGGTTAATAATGTGTTGCTGTGTACTAAGGTTTGCTATTTTCACGAGAAGAGCACAACATGGAAATTTACCAGCATGAAGTGACACTTCAACAGCGGGTGTACACATGTGGCTACAGTGCTCCAGTGCAAATATTTGCCATTGTAAACTTATGGGTTCTGAGAAATTGTGAAAAATAAGTGACGAGAATACTGGGCAGTTTTACAGTAATTTGATTTGGGCGCATGTTCAATTAGGAATATCATTCACCACCGTGTTAATCAAGTTGCTCATTGCTCACTAAGCAGGTCCCCACCACTTACATGGAGTGTTAATCCGGTGTTCTTCCTCATAGAGCCGTCCATCTCTGCACACCATACAGATGAATACAGAAAACTTCCAACCGTTGATGAATTGCTTAAAAACAGAGCCGGTATAGCATTGTCCTGCCGAGACCAAGTAGTCTCGATAGAGAGACATTCGCATCACAGAGACCATTCAGTATGAGCGTTGAGACTGCGTTTCAGTTCGCGGATTCTTAGAAAAGACTATTCAGGGAGCAAAAATAGGTAGGCGTGTGAGAAGAATAGTCCAGGCTGGGCATGTTTGGTATTTAAAGTACATGTTAGGTGTTCTGCACTATATTCAGCCCATTCTGCATTTCTGCACTGGTGGTTTCGCATTCCCGGCAGAGACCAGAGCCCGGTTGTCTATATTTGGGGCTAAACAGGGCTAGCCCCTACCCCACTGCACGTGGACAAGGCCATGTCCCGCCAACTTATAGCACATTAGTTCATGTGACCGCACTTGGCTATGAGTCCCTGTGCTGGTAAGGTTGGCCAACTGTAAAGGTGATAGGTGGCTGTCCTTACAGAATACGAGATCTTTTTCGCACCAACTCGATACCCTAGATTCATTTTGAGCATCCCCTCTTTCCGCTGTTTGCACAACACCGCCAGTATAGATCAATTCCTGTTGTTAAACTGCACTGGAATAATGTACTGGAAGTTTCAGACTTAAAGTCCTGCTCTAGGAATACAGGAACTGCTATAAGCGCAATGCAATCTCTTCTTACGCCAAGTACTGCCTCGTCTTCAGCCGGATGTTTCGAAGGCAAGCATGACGAATGATCTCACAAACTGAGTGGAAGTTACGGCCAACCAGACTGCGACCACACCAAGACACAATTTCGTAACCTGTAGGATGGGACACATAGAAATGATTTAAAGCAGATGAGCAGATTGTGAGCATGCTTAGCCACATGTTTTGAAGTTCTCAGTACTACGGCCAGCCAGCAAAAGTATGCGAGGGAGTATAAGCTTGCTACAAATCCCAATCCTGAGACAATGGCACCATTATGAAACACGCATTACCAATGTAGAAGATGTGTACTGGAAATCATTGTCTGCGACCATGTTACTGTTCATGTACTGCATCAATGATAGCTTACCATCATTAACACCACTCCTGTTCGCAGCCCCGTCTGGAGGCGAATCAATAACAAATGTCCGTAGTACTCCACCATCAGACTTCAACCCGCATACCAAGGTCAAGCCATAGCCTGGCACAGAATCATCCGACGTAGAAGGCTCTGCAGTAGAAACAAAGCATGGCAGGGAGGATTTCTCTCACCCGGAATAGTTGACACGTAGCAAACGACTCATGACACGTTTGTGTTTACTGCACTGCGCCTGGTCCAATCCCCAGAAACAGAGGCCTTGTCAGTACTAATAGTTTGTCGTCAGCAGTGTCTGGTCCACCTGAAACTGCCGTCACAGCAACGAACATGTCAAGTTCCATGTCGGAGATATGTGTCAGACTAACGGCTGGAAATTTTATGGGGACAGGAGAGCCTCACACTACACTGCAATGCACTGCAATACACCAATGCTGATAGTCACCCTCGCATGGAAGCCCAAACATGTGCAGCAAGCTATGCAGATGGGACTGAACAGGATGTACCCCACTATTACGTTCATATCTGCGCCCGCCAGACTATCGGTTGTCCAACTGCCAGGCTTTCTTCATATGGTCATTAGCTGCCAAACTTGTCATAAGTACCTCAGACTGCTCCTCCACCGCGGTAGACCATATTCGAGCCACAACACGGCAAAGAAAACAAACCAAAGCAATAAACGAGCTACAGTAAAAGCAGCTGCATGGAAGCTCACCGTCCTCCACTTGGTCGACAGGTGCTTCGTCTCTCCAGCTGCAGGTAGACAGTACTATCCTTCGCCGCACAAAGCATAACTTGCAGATACTCTGCAAATGCAACAGCCAAGACCACACGCATGCATGGGTAAGGAAACTGTGTGTTACGGAGTACTTGAGGGTCCGGACTGCCAGGGAAAACATGTCTGCCGCCGTAGCACTAGAGAGAGAGCTAACCAATGGCGGTGCGTCTAGCACACTAGCCGTGAGACAGCCGTAAGGTAGGGGAGTCTTGCTTCAACACATCCCCGTAGCGCTAACCAACAGCCTTCCAACTCGGAAGATTCAAGGTTAACTGGGATACAGTCAGACCTCGCTTATCCGGTCCTCTTTTATCCGGATCCCTCGCCATCCGGAAGAAAATCGTTGGTTACCAATTTACAGCATATGCCATGCATGCATACAGTATGTGTGTTCGATAATCCGGTTCCCTCGCTTATCCGGATATTTTGTGGAAAACGGATGTGTGCGGTTATGCGAGGTCTGACTGTAGACCAAAGAGGGGGAGGTAAGCGCAACGAAAACGAGCACAAGCTACAGTCCCACCAGAACAAAGAATGTCACTTCTTACTGGACGATGATAAGACCAGTAAGATACTTGACAAAGCGGTCTAAGTACAATCCGAAGCAGCAAAGCAGCACACCACCCAACTTGGGTGGCTCAGAAATATCAAAGATAATAACCCTGAACCTTCTGAGTTGGAAGGCTGTTGGTTAGCGCTACAGAGATGTTTTGAAGCTAGGTGTCAGGACGTCGAATGTCTCAGTACTCAGTCTGTCAGTGTTGTGCCTAGTTGTTGCACTTTCTGACTGTATATAGTATATAGTTGCAGTGGTGGACAGTTACTCTTAACTCGTATCCATATGTCCTTTTCCTTTCTACATTTATTATTGGCTCAACAAGCGAGTTTCAAAGTAACAGCACTAGTGACTTATCAGAAGAAAAAAGGACCAAAGAGCTACAAGTTACGCTATAATTATCCACTAACACCACCAGTTCACGGTGACTTCATGTGCACCAACTAACGACATGGCGTCCTTTCATGCGGTTTACCACACGGATTTATGAAGTCGGACATATTCCGATTTATTTGCATCAATCGCACAAAATTAGGTACATTTCTCTTGTAAACCCTGTCAGTTTGAGAATTTAGACAAACACCGAACAAATTTTAGCCGCGACGAGGATCGGGAGGAATCCATCATAATTATTTTACATAGCTACTACCATCACGTCGACCGAGTGAAGATCGAAATGATAATGGAGTGGAGAGAAGAAGACCTGAACTGGAGTGCTTGAGAGACTATGTAGTGTCACATGAGAATTGCTTCGTTAGGAAGGCTCTCCTTTTGAATGGAGAAGCCCAACGTCGCTGATTTGCATCGCCGTTTTCAAGCGCTGATCTGCAGTAGGAATGTTTCTGTAAATTATTCGTAGTTGTGGACGTGGATGGATTCAGCGCTCTGTTCTCTCAGCAAGCCTACTCAGTCCAACACGAAGGACTTCCATGAGCGAAACAACGTGCTCCTCGAGCAAGTGCAGCTCGGGGTAATATGGCCAATGCCACGGGAGACCACCTCGTGCCTGCATAAGGCCAAGAATTGATGGCAAGAAATCTTTGATGAGCGCCTTCGACTTCAAGGACGCAATATTATATCTCCTCAGCAGTAACTGCAGCGCTCTTGCTGAAAATATCACTGCAAGCATGCACTAGGCATGATTTAGTGAAGAGCTACTTGTACTAGCGATTGGAGATTTGGTGTTGGCATATCTGCTCCATCATGGTAACTGGTGCGCTTGTCAAGGCAGTGCAGTTTCTGCTGCTGTTTCACAAGCCATATGCGCAGTGAGTAGGAATTTGTTGTATGATAGCTGAGGATCACCAGCCTTCATGGACAAACCTATATTGGGACTGGTTGCTGAACAGTGCACACCTAAATCTCTCAGCAAGCTCTCTTGCTCAGCTGGTGACGAACACTATATACCCGCTGCTTTGGGCTTGCAGCCCCGTCTCCCGACCGTAGACCGATCGAAAGGCTGTCACGGTCCTGTGACCATCGGTGTACAGTTGACACTGATGGGGCATCGGATAAAGTGCTGGCGTCAGTAATTCTCTGGTATACCTGGAATCTACATCTACAGCTGGTTTCGACTTCCAGCCATCCTTCGCTAGTTATGCTTGTGACTATCATGCCAGCAAGTCGATCAGCAGCATCACCTCGCATCTTTGATGGTGAGGCCTGCAAAACGTCACCGACCAGTGACGATGCTCAAATAGGGCACCCTACCAGAGCTGGCGCAGTGTATGGTGCAGTCTTTCATGAATCCATAAACTATGCTGTTTGGCTGCTGTAGCTCTGACGCTTGCGTGTGTGCCTTACATTAAGGACAGCGGGCCGTCTGCTCTAGCCATTTGCCAATGCATGCACGGCTGAACGTCTACCAGCAAGCTGCAAACACTTCTCTCCCTACCTGTGACATAGTGGACATTGTGCGTGTGTTATTGCATTCCTATCTGAACTGTTCTGGATGCAGAGATTTACCCACTAAGCCCTAGAGAAATATGAATAAATACTATACTACTACTACTATTACTAAACTTGGTATGCGGGTGTGACATGCTGCTGCTCATCAGATTCGGTCCATGCGACGCTCGTGTTTTTAGTTTTGTTATTTTGTCTTCCTTTTTTCAATTCGTAAACTGAACAGACTAAACTATCCAGTGATCAGGTACTGGTGTGGTGGGGCGAGGTTTTGTTGGTGATGCTGCTGTCAGTGGTGGCGGCGTGCATGTGCTCGTGCTTGCGGGCGATGGCCCGCGTTTTCTCCCATGCCGCAAGTTTGTCTTGCGTTTGTGTTTTGCATTTGGACTTCCTGCCAGGCTTGGAAGACTTGCATTTCAAACAGTTTGTCCCACTGTGTGGCTCCCAGTCTTTGAACGGTGTACATCCACCTCTGGAGCTCCAGAGAATGTTGGGCCCCTGGCAGTAGCAGTGCATTCCATGCAGATCCATGGCCAATTTGCAAGTGTGGCCAAAAAGTTCAGGGTGTATTTGGTTTCATCCACATTGAGATGAAACACTGCCAAAATGGATTGAGTATGATCTGCCACACGATACTTCGTCCGTCCACTCCTTGACGCGAATTTCTCCCCTCCAATACGACAACACGACGACAGGAAGCTAACATGAGCCTCCATTTCTGAACAAAATAACGTCTCTAACATGGCCACGAAAAGCTACAGTGATGCACGTCAAGCTTAGGAATACACAAAATCGAAAGGCTAGGACATCGAGGTATACTAGAAAATTGTCTGCGAGGCGGAGAAAATTCGCTGACGAGGTTGGTGAGCCCTTGAAATCGAGCGACGATCCAAAAATAATTGCACCCACGTCGAGAAAGAAACCATGCGTAGCGCGTGGGTAACCCAAAAAGATCGCTCGAGCGGCGGCACAGTCGAAGGCAAGGCCAGTCCAAGCTCTAAACTCTATCGAATGACCTGGCAAACACCCGTGGTTTCGGTTGACCTTGCCCGTTTGAGATGGAAGTCGAGCGAAATTGCAAACATACGACTAGGCCAGATCGCGTAAAAAATGAAAAAGATTAAAATTTGGCCGCCATATTAAATGAACGCGCTTCGCATGCATGGGACAGCCGTGAGTTACTTTGGCGTAACTTGTAGCTCTTTCGTCCTTTATTTTCTTTTTATAAATTAATCCTTGGCTCTCCACCCGAGTACTAGTGACTCTTACTTAATTTAAAAGCTCTGTAGTGACAACAGGGAGATATGTTGTCCAGCAAAAACTGCTGTTCAAGGGTGTCTACCTTCCCCTATCTTTCCTATCCTCGTTTGTTGTTGTCGAAGCAGGACACTTTTTTGTTCTGCGATTTTGAAAGTTTGAATTCTCGTACCCTATCGCCGTGTTTGTTACCCTGCCGAATCATAGTTTTTGAGTGAATCCCACAAGATTTTGAAACTTTTTTTCAGTTTTCAGAATTCCCGTGAACTTTATCACAAACCTGGGCCTAGATCCGTAATTTGATATGGTGGCCGTGAAACAGCCGTGAGGTAGGGGAGTCTTGAATTAAGTAGAGAGGTTTAGCGACTCTTAAAACGAGTACAGAACGAGTGGCGGACCCATGCTTGCATCCCCAATCAAGACCAACTGCAGTCAGCAATTCCAAATTCCAATGTGCTTGGCGAGTTCATCCCGTGTCAGACTGGCTATGCACTCACGTTTTAAAGAGCTGCTAAACCTATCTCATGGTATCAAGTGCCCACTTACTCCTTGTGGGTTCTTTACAGCATAATAATTATAATGAAATGTGATAACTGCTTGGAAATTTGTTTGAAAATGCACCAACAATCCAAGCTGCCATGGCCACAGGAACTTTAGGACAATCATGCAAATCGTAGTGCAAACTACGGTACTTTTACAATGCAGGGGCCCGGAAGGAACAGGTGTGCTTCTAGAAGCATTCCAAAGATCACAAAATTACCTCGCCCTAGACACTGCATCTCCCACCATGGTATGTCAGGCATGGTAGTGGCCTGGCACAAGCAAAACTTCCTAAGCTGGTTGTGCTTCTCAACACAATCCTCTAGCCGGTGGTATCCCGGATGTACGAACTTGACTTACTTTATAATACTCACAAATAGAAACTTATTAGTGCGAAAATAGCCGAGTGCATCACAATATGCAGAGCAGGCTCTTTGATTGACTTTCATTACATTTTCTTAGCATGGCGCCATGGATAGGGGTGTCATATACATTGCTGCTGCGCTTTTGCCCTTGCTGGTCCTAGCTAGCTCTTTGCTGCTTTTTTCACTATAACCTCAATGGTCAGTAGTATAGGCGGGGGGAGGGGGTTCTGGCCCAAATTCTTTGGGGAGGCTATGGTTTATGTAGCTGGTTACTGTGATCGTGCAATGGGCAATCCCGGACATGTACGTGCAGGAGCTAGCACTGTTCCTCGGAACATAGTTCTTGTTCCAACGTGTTTTCATCGTGCAAGAAGCAATCCCTACATGTGTGTGTGTATGACTGACCAGAACCCATTTGAGTTGTCCTGACATGCTCGCTTGACCCGTCTTTTGTGGTGTATAAAAGGCCGTGCTCTCCTCCTCTGGACCATATCACTACTCCGATCAACACCTGAATCTTCTTCTTCCTTTTACCTAGTGTAAATCGTTGTCTATCCATTTTCAAGCTATGGATACCTTCACTATTATTACCGATGGCGTTGAGAAAGGTGCTCAAGTGCAGCACAAGGTTACTGGACGCACTCAGTCGCCTTTCACCAGGAGCCAGGTTTCACCACACGAAATTCGCTCTACCTGCTTTCTCCGCCACTGCAACGGCTCGGCAAGATAGGTTTGAGCAGACCAGGGTGGAGATCGAGATGTCGCTCGACCAAGTTGTACGAGCACTACGAGCACTTCTGAAGTGCTCGTCAACAGTGCGACGTGCCGTGACATGTGCGAATGTGAAGCGTATTGGGATGAATGTCTTCCCCCAATCCTGTCGGACATCTGACGGCGAGACTGGCGGTGACAGGAGATTTGTCACCGCGATATATGTGCGAGGAAGTGAGATGGTGGGGGCGAAAGCCTTCGTGCTGGACAAACCCTTTCAAGTTTTAGTGTGTCCCTCATCACTGTCATGAGAGCTGCAGGAAAGTTCAAATGTCTGCTGGCAGCCATCCCGCAAGTCTATGCCGAAGAGGCTGATCATATTCACCTGAGGCCATTGGAGGACACTGATGTAACACTTGACATCGGAGAGAAGGAACTCGATCAACTGCTCGAGGGTTTCGCGAAGAAATCCAGGAAGGTGGTCTTCATTTCCTCTTAGCACCTGTTCCCCTAACAGCGCCATGTCCAGTCATACCTTCAAACGTAACTCAGAGGTACGTCAGGTTGAAGTATTTATCCCAAAGTTCCCCACTCCCTCCAGTGTTCTACTCCATGCGTGAAAGTAATGTGCGAACGGACACTTGAGTCACAAACACACGCAGGCGATCATAGCGGCACGCGTGAGAATATATTTTTGAAAAATAGGGAACAATAGTTACAAAACTCTGCCAACCTACCATGACTTCATCCGAGGATGGAACGGAAACATTTCGCAAGCAGTTTTCACACACAACCGATGGGCACATGCTGCATAAGGTTTTTTTCAGCAGAATCAGCGAGCGCAGGCAGAGGGGACAGCTTCCTGGAATCGACTTTGCCGACTTGCGTACCATCAACAGCTGCTGGTCTTGCAAGTACCTGTAAACACCAGTAAAAGACACGTACCACAGAAGTAAGACCAGAGGTTGCAGGCAGCTCGACACACATGCAGAGGGAGGAGGAGTACAGCAAGAAGCAGGCGTCCCTACCCCCAGAAACCAGGCGCAATCACATCAACACCAGTACTACAATGACATTCGACACGCACACAACAGGTTAATGATCGGCAATCTCAAACAAAGTTATCATTCTACATAGTCTAAGGACAACCCTTTGCCTTATTAATTTCAAATTCCACGGAAGCCAGTCCAGCAATAGCAAAAAATCCACAAAAGCCAGCCCAGCAATAGCAAATTCCACGGAAGCCGCCAGCCCAGCAATAGCAAATTGATCACCATGCATTGTTACAGACATGTCACAAAGGCTGATTCCATCATTGACGAAGGTACTGATTTGCTAAATTGAGTCCTGGTAGTGACAGTTATCCTTTTCTTTAGAATGTTTCCCTTTTTATTCCCTCAAACTGATTAAATATTTCCATTTCCATCTCCCTCAACCTAAAGAATACTGATTAAATAATTACGATTTCCGAAAAACTCTCAATGTGGCCACGAGACTTTTGTTGCCGTAAAAGAATATTCATCCCTAAGAGTGAAAGCAGTGGAGTGACCTAGCTCTGAAATCATGTGTACATGCATAAACATGCGCTCGGTCCAGAGACCAAGTATGGCATGGAGTGACAGACAGCATCTCTCTATTAGGATTTGCACACCAGCCGGAAATCTAGGGGTGAAAGGGGTGATCCGGGTAACCCGGGTACCCGTCTGTTTAGCTGCTGATCCGTTAGCAAACGAGTACCCGATAGTCATGTAGGATGGTAGGGTACAGTATTGTAAGCTTGCTTGTACAGTCGTACAATGCGGTGTACAGTTTTGATTGTGTTTTTGCTTTTTCAATCCTGCTACATTATCACTGTATCCATTGTAGCTACGACAATTTTTGACTGTTAGCATGTAGCGCAGTGAGTGTGCACGCTGTACTTGTCGCGAGAGTGGCTGCAAAAAGTTTGCAGGTTCACTGCAAAGCTCTTTTCATGTTGCATGTCCAACGAGCAAAATTATAGCACAAGTCCTGTATCATCTGTTATAACATATTAGCACACGGAAGTTCTTACCTGCCATGACGTGCCACGTCCTCGTCCGCTTGCAGGGCTTGCTCCAGTACACTACGTACTTTCTCCTGCTCATAGCTAGAGAGCTGAGACAGGTCGACCGCTTCAGTCAGCTTTCGATCCACCGTCACCATTTCGTCCGCGAGGTGACTCAGTAGGCTGCTGGATGATGAATGACTCTACATAAGCAGAAGAGACAACATTGGAAATACACACACAGAAACTGTATCACATGTGAAGTAGCACAGCAGCAGCAGTGCGGCTGCTTCATGCCCTGTCATGTCCGCTACCGCAGTGCTCAGCTGATACTAGTGCTAGTAAAGTATCGTTGACACTGCACAATCTAACACTAAAACGATGAGACAGATGGTGGCCAATACACAAAACACACGCCCGCGAGTATGCCCAGCATGCAAAAACGAACACACACACACCCACACAGTAACACACACACACACACATACACACACACATTTACACATAATAAGTCATTACCAGGCACCGGTACATCCAACACACGACACATTTCGGAAAGATGGCCATATCAAAGCGCCAGCTCAGCGGGAGAGGCAACTTGAGAACAAGCCACATCTTCATTTCAGACCATGACTACTACATTATCTGCTAGCAAGGGTACCTCTCTCACCTTTTCCTTGGGGCGCAGATCCTTCATACTGAAGATAGCAAGCCACTTCGGCCGTTTTAACTTACTACCTGGGAAGTCCATATCAAAACGAGCTACTCCACCAGGCTTTATGACCGCACAGTTTAGGGGCAATGGGACTGCCTACAGTGCAGGAATTGCGTGGCAGTGTGAGTAATCACTTCCCTGTTACTGCTGCTACTACTTGCACTGGGACGTCCCTCAGCAAGAACACGGTGTGCAATTCAGACAACCACCCGCAATCACATGGCTGATGACAGAAGATGGCATGAGCCAGCAGCAAGCAAACTCCAGAAGGGATTGACAAATCAATACTGACGCAGCAATGTCATGCGTTCTTGGTAATCAATACTGATGCAGCAAAGCTATGCGTTCTTAGTAATCAATACCCAGGAGCAAGGCTTGGCCAAACTTCTAACAGAGAGGTACAGACTGTGCTAAGCCATATGGATCAAACCGCCATGAAATAGTCCTGATCAAAGGGTCCTCATCCTGACAACACGCCTGGGCTGGCTGGGGCACAGCTCACTCCCCCAGTCCAACCAGCCATGCATTTATCATACAGAGGCGTCCACACCCCACAGCACCATCACCAGTATCACACAATACCAGAGAGACCAACACCCTTCAGCTGACTTTGTAGGAAAGGCGGAAACAAACACTGTCACACATACCGGATGCCTGGAGCAGGTCTCCCTAGCTTGCCGCCGGATTCCCCCCAGCAAAATACCATTGCATGCCATGCCGTACCATTGCATACCATTGCATGTGGCGGCATGGCTACAACCATACCTTGCTCCATCCTCCCCAGGGTGAACACAACAGACTCAAGTGATTTGCGAGCAATGAAGTGGGCTTCAAGTGTCCCCTCACACTTGCACTTGGCGCTTAGCAAATGTGTGTCAGTCAAAACTAGGAGCCTTTGAGCAGAAGGTAGAGCCCAGACCATGACAATTCTAAATCTAGGCGTACATTGCCCATGCCAAACACCTACTAGTACACTGCAGTACTACTAGCATAGTACACCACAGCCGGACACCACAGCCGGGTCAAGTCCTGACCTAATTGCATTAGTAACAGGACAATACTTGAGTGCCACGTACTTAGTAGTTCTTCTCAAGTGTTCCTACATACATACAAGGCAGGCCGCGGGCCACTAGATGGTATACCTAGGCTACAGTCCTGCCCAAGGCATGTGAGCCCGCAAGAAAACTTTACCATCAGGCATGGTAATACTACTACTACTACTAGAGTGCCTAGGCTAGGGCCCTGTGGATCTACTCAGTGAGTCACAACTCTGTTCTTGAATATTACTACTTCATTACCATCAGTCACTACTATACTACTATTACTAGCTATATTATTGTAGGTATTCTAGTGCGGGATGTGCTAGTCTAGTGTTATTATACCTATGGCCACAGCACTTGTAGTGTCTACACTCTACCAGTCCAGTGCCAACATAAAAAGAGTCATAATATTATTACACTTAGTGACTAGTACATTGTACTACATGTACCATAGGCATGTTTTTCGATTTTGACAGCATGTTACAAGGCGAGGACGCGTAGTGCTCCTGACTACAACCATAACCCAGTTGGCAGAGTCCCCGGTCTTGCGACCATTTGAACTGTATTGGGAAAAGCCAGGTTCGGACCCTCTTACTCTAGGGTTGTAGTCAGGAGCACTACGCGTCCTCGCCTTGTAACATGCTGTCAAAATCGAAAAAAAAGCATGTTAAACTACCAAGCAAGGCTTCTGTGTATATACCATGTACCATAGGCGTAGTCCATAGCTGCCAAATACCCTATTGTGCTCAACACTAACTGAGTTACTAGTAATACTAGTACTTAGAAGTAGTTAGCAACCTAGGTGTGCAGCTTACATGATTGTACATGTACAGTGAGTCACAGGTACTAGGTCAGCACTCTTGACTTTAGGTAGGTCTGCCAGATGCAAGAATGTGGACCACCCTCAAACTCAGACCAAATCACAGCCATCACTATGGCAATAGTGCCAGCAATGGTTATGTGATGTAGTACAGCATGTGACTATGACTCATCACATGTATGCGATGTGCAGTACGCGGTGTGCAGTAATGCGGGTCTTTCAAAATAGCACCAACAGGCAACAGCACGGACCAACCAGGTCTCAACACCTCAACCTAGACCTACCATTATTTAGAATTGATGACACATGCAGTTCCCCATGGATGTCCTGGGGAAAATACCCCTATAGACCCTAGCCAGGGAAGCTCAACCAATGTGTTACTTCTCTCAAGTATGCAATGAGTTACTCATGGCCCCCTCCTATGTGTTGCCACCAGGCCAGCTTCTCTGAGCTGGTCTCAGCAACCTCTTTTGATTTCCGGCTCAGTATCCTGGAGTGCACAGCTTCAAAACGTGACCTCTCAGTCTGGAATAGTCATACTCAATAATCAGTATAAAACACAAGCAACTCAAACTGGTCAGGTACGTACTAGTCACAGTATGCGGAGGTCATGCAGCAATCGCCCAAGAGATTGATGAGTTGCACAAACCCAGGGTCTTTATGGCTCAGCTAGCTCCAAGGTTTCCACTGTCCCCAGACATGCCATGGTATTACCCATGCCAACCAGAACAAAGTGCATGTGCATGTACGCTATGCAAGCAAGGCCACCGCCTCGCCTAGAAATACTCTAGCCTCTAGCTACTGTATAAGCAGACATATTTGTCTGGAATTTATTTTCGTCTTTTTCGTCCAGGGACTTTTGGACTAAATTAAATGTCGGACTAATGTCGATTTCTATCCAGCTTTTCTATACACTCTTATGATCCATGGACGAAATTTTCAACCGGACAAACTCCCTTTCTTTGGAGTTGGACGAAATTATTGACCGACGAAATGTTCTGCCTCTCCAGTACATGTATCATGCATGCACAATCATGTACAATCATGTACATGACATTGTATAGAGCATGACTGTGTACTTTCAACCAAGTACAGACGGTGCTACTCTTTGTTGTACTGCCAGTATAAGTACAAAGTTGCGTTCGGAATTAACTTTCGCTACATTCGTTAGGGGCACGAAATAACTAAAGTTTGCACCAAACTAGTTTTTTTCTGAACATTCGGGGTGACAGACCTCGACCAAAAACGAAATTTAGTACGTAAGAAACCTGCTGGTGGAGTGATCTAACGAAAGATTTCGTAAACAAAAATGTGCAGTTGTACAGTACTATGAGCATGAAAGCACTGATAGTTCTCATGTACATGTAGCAGGATTTCGCAACTTTAGCTGAAGCAACCCGCTGCCACCACCCCCCCCCCCCCCCCCCCCAACACCCTTCTTCAAAAGTCCAATGCCAATCTTGAAAACATGTGCAGAGAATACAGTTATGATATCACTGCATATGCGTAGTGTCTGTCCTTTCGGGAGTGATGCATGGCGGCGCAAAGAAGAGCAGGCTAACAATCTCATATGGATCAGCCAGGGCATCAGCACATGAACTCCCGTAGCGACCTGACGCTGAACTCCCATTTAGTTACTCAATCACAGATCTAAAGCCAGAGGTGGTGTAAAGGCTTTCTTGTGATATGCCTGTGCATCCGGAATCCTCTTTAAAATCTGTCAATGTACGTCTACCCCCAAGTGAAGGTCTTTAGGTCTTTTAAAAAATCGGGAGCATGTCAGACAAAACGTGAAGCACTGCGCACCCGGATGGGGAATGGGAGCCCACAGGCAGTGACATGCATTGACAGTCACAGGGGGAAAACTGACAAAAGGAAACAGGCACTCTAGTACAATAGTAGTAGTAGTCTACCAACAAACTCGTGAGATCACCACAGCAACATCCCCAACAAAAGCACGTTTGGTTTGTATGGAAAGTCAATCGACAGACAGTACTTGTTGGACTGCTGATTTCGGTCCCGAACGGACCTAGTACCTACAACAAGTAAACCAGCTTGGTTGTGTGCCAGGCCAGCACATGTGCACACGACATTGTCAGGATTTAGTCTAGAAGTCACTACACTACACACAAACACACGTCATGAAGTGAGTCCACTCACCGTTTCAGATCGTCGACCTCCAGCTCCGGCCCTGGCCCTGACCGAGCCCATCAAGGCCACATCCTTTTCGTCAGTGATCGGCGACTGGTCGACGAGTGGAAAGCTACGCGAGCGTGGAAAGTTAGTCTCCAGACTGCTTGCACTGCTGGAACCTTCCGACCTAGCTCCGTTACGCCCGCCATAGCCGCCGCCCTTACCCGGCACGCCGAGGTGATTCAGACCTTCCGACACGCTACCGGGCAAGGACAGGCGAGTGCGCTGCGGATCTGTCGTGACAAGCAAGTAGTCCCAGGACCCGTGGCGGATGTTGTCCATTCTTATTCCACAAGCAAGGAATTACAGCTGTCTGCCCTCATTTACACGTACAGATTGGGCCGGCTGGAGATACGCTCAGCTGACCACGCAGCAAACTAACACGTCGTTACTTCATCCCGCCAGGAGGTTGGAGGCTGTTTTGTCCAACACTAATTTTATGTGCCAAGGGAGTTTCCAATCGACATTTACTCCGGGCCGAGAGAGTTTTGACTCTTACGCCAACCGGCCGTTGAGGTTATACAGTGTAACTACGCCTTCAGCTCCACTCAATGAGCGCAGCCCAACTGGCAACAAGCTGAGTTGTAAAGTAGTTATGCCCAGGAAGTACTCCACACATACGAGAAGTCATAAAAGTCATTCACAGTTGGCAGCACTCTAAGACTCGGTACTCGTGTCGTCGTCAACAAGTCAAGGATATTGAAAAGCAGCGGAAATGCCAGACTAAGTTACTTCCACGCATCGAACTCTTTCTTCCTCTGCCCGGCCTGGCCTGACACGGGGCAACCGCTTGGAAAGCCAGGTGAGATGGACAACTAACTAGGAAATGCGTAGATCTACTCAGTATTCGGTCGACCACGGTTTTGATTGATGATCGATGATTCTGCTGGGTGGTTGGTTACACACCGTCGCGTTACATAATACTAGTCATTCACAGACTTTAGTTTGCACGCCTTTCAAAAGATCAAAACATTTTCACTAGCGTGGTTTGCATGCTCGAGCAAGAACTACGAAGTCTTGTACTTGTAGTAGAACCGATCGCTATTGCAGTGCGAGCCTTGCAGTTGTGCAGAGGCAGCCTGGCCCCTTCCCAGCCGCATCTAACTCGCAAAAAGGTCTTGTGTTGAGATGGCTGGGCAAGACGACTCTCGCCTACTGCCGATCATCTTGAAGCAGTCAGTTTTCAATGGCGAATCGGAGTTGCGGGCGCTGCGCTGGAGCATTGACGGAAACTCTTCCGGACATGAAACGGTCAAGCCGGAACAAGAAGCACCCATACATGTATTATTTTCGTCTGCTGCCGAGTGCCATGTCATGATCACAGCACGGTAGATCTACGGTGGCATCAAGTGCTTGCCATATCATATGAACTAACAACTACTTAGTCTTTGTAGGTGAACGACAGTCAACAGCTAGATAGATAGCAAATCATACGTAAGAACACGTCGCGACGTCTCTGTTATGATACAAGAATGTTGACTTTGTGTAGTGTGATGGCGAAAGCTATGTAAAGCTGCAAGTGTCATGTAACGAACTGACGTCTGACGAGTGACGATACGATCTGCGACTCGAGTGACGCGAATACTGTAAATATGCAAATTTTCGGCAGCTACATGTATTTAATTTCGGCTATATTCGGCACCGACCCAAAACGCCTAAATTAAAGGGGAAGTTAAGGCAAAAATTAAAATTTCACCAGTTGTAGTCTTCGGGGTGCTGAGTCGAATGGTCTTGGTCCGAGAAAGCTGAGACGCTCCCTTCCTACTTGAATCCCAATCGAACTCGCGCACTTCCACCGAAACTGGGTGACTGCGCCCTACTAGATGGGGATTTGTATGCAAAATGTCACTAAAAGCGCCATTTCGTTCTTATAAAAGCATGGATGACCGCGATTGGCCCATATGTTGTAGTCTTTTGGACGCTGAGTCGATTGGTTTTGGTCCGAAAAGGCTGCGATGCAGCGTTCCTCCTTTATTCCCAATTGAACATGCTTGAAGAAGCGGTCACGTGCTCCTGGGTGCCCAAATCACCTGGTCACCACGCCAGCAGGTGACAACTTTCACACCAAGGTTCAACTCAGGCAGGACTCAGCCTTTTCGGACCAAAACTAATCGACTCAGCGTCCAAAAGACTACAACATATGGGCCAATCGCGGTCATCCGTGCTTTTATAAGAACGAAATGACGCTTTTAGTGACATTTTGCATACAAATCCCCATCTAGTAGGGCGCAGTCACCCAGTTTCGGTGGAAGTGCGCGAGTTCGATTGGGATTCAAGTAGGAAGGGAGCGTCTCAGCTTTCTCGGACCACGACCATTCGACTCAGCACCCCGAAGACTACAACTGGTGAAATTTTAATTTTTGCCTTATTAAACTTCCCCTTTAAAACGCCGATGAAATTTTTCACAGCATCTGTCGCACCATGCCCTCTATACCCCACGCCGAAAATAAATCGCCGCCGAAATGTCAAAAATCGTGAAGTGCCGAAATTTTGCAGCGCCGAAATTTTGTATATTATTAATTTTTACAGTATCCGGAATGGATCAACTTTCTGTATTGTGCAGATGTGCAAGGAGGACAGAGCCCAGACTAGTCTAGACAGTGCCAGTGGTATACGTAGTCTACGGTGCCAAATCTGAAATCTCCGTTTTATTTCAGGTGACCGAGCTACCGCATAGATCTACGTACGCCCACTGTCTGTGATACCAACTTACTTATGAGTACATACCCCCCCCCCCCTTACATGTATGTACTCTTGGTGATACGCGTGAGTGCTAGTGCTGTGGTGCCCTCGTTGCGACGTTGGTGTGCACAAGTACAGTCATGATATTGTTTTATGTGACCATGCCACCATGGTGACTGGCACTCAGTACTCTTTCCCTATGCATGACAATGCACTGTTAGACGTGCTCACGCCCAGTTTTACCCCTGGGCCTGGCCCTAGCCGCCCTACATGTACATGTACATGTACATGTTGAGGGCAGGAGACCTCCCTCCCTACAGACAGGGGGGGGGGGGGGGGGGGGCAGTACTGGTAATCCAGCCTGGTAATGGTAATGGAAGGAGATTTCCCTACCTCAGAAAATTTGAAGTCGTCAGGTCTCAGGTGCGCTACATTCCATAGGCCCAGGACACTATTACAGTATTAGTACAACCAATCATTTACCACCTTTTCTAACGACAAGGCTAATAATTATGTGGAGAGAAATGGGTCAATTCTTGACATGCACTGGCAGCTAGATGCAAAGAAGAAGAGTGAAGTGACAGTCTTATTTATAGCTGACACTCTGACAGTGAATGAGTGGCAGCAGCAAGATAACCATGATAACAGAACAAAAGCCATCAAAGGTCCTGTGCAGTCTTCTTGATCAGTACAGCCTGTCAGGAGTGTAGTGAAGCACATGGCCTCCACTCCAGAACCTACCAGTGGCAGTGACATGACTCAAGTTGATGTTGCACACTGACGGTTGATGCTGCACACTGACGGTTGATGCTGCACACTGACACTGACTGTGACTTTGGGAGACTGAAGTGTCCATCCATGCTGGCAATGCGCTGGCCACTCAGGTCAACCGTGCCAGCGAAGGAAGCAGATACATTGTATGAATTCCTGACCTGGAAATTATAGTGCTTTGCTTTGATATCTGCTAGCTACCAAAGAAAAGGGTGGGCTTTACCTGAGGAATCCTAGATTCTCATCTTAGATCTACCGTGACTCACTCAGCACCAGACACACACACACACACACACACACACACACACACACACACACACACACACACACACACACACGCGCGCGCATGGCCACTATCCAGGAGGAAGGCTGGAGGAGTGGAGCACTAAGTGTGTGTGTGGGGGGGGGGGGGGGGCTCCCAGGTACTAGTACAGTAGTAGCACATTTAGAAAAGCAATCCTGTCAGCTTTTCTATTGAAGCAGCGGCAAAGGTCCTACACGGCAAGTAAGTTTAAAACATAACAACCACGCAGTCTGTGTTTGGGTACTGCACTGTGTTTGGGTACTGCACTGTGTTTGGTGCTGCACTGTGTTTGGGTACTGCACTGTGTTTGGGTACTGCACTGTGTTTGGGTACTGCACTGTGTTTGGGTACTGCACTGTGTTTGGGTACTGCACTGTGTTTGGGTACTGCACTGTGTTTGGGTACTGCACTGTGTTTGGGTACTGCACTTGCCTGCGACCCGAGAGGTCGTGGGTTCGTGTCCCGCAGTCGCACATCTGACTGCAAAATCCCCACATCGCAGCTCACCAGATCAAGGTATGGGTTCTCTTCACTCAGTAGAGTCGAGCGAGCTGCAACTCCCGGTGCCGAAAGGCGGGTTCACGCCCCTACATGCCTACTTCACCTTTACTGTGAGAGGCGACCAAGCTCGATTGGATGTGGTGGCAAATGGCGTGTACGGCGGTCGTTTTGAGCGTTCATTTTTGGATGTAAGGGTTTTCAACCCCTATGCTCGCTCTAATTCATCGTCGTCCATTGCCTCTGTCTACCGCAAACACGAGCAGAAGCGCCGCTTACACGAAGCACGTGTGCGAGAGGTGGAACATGCCTCCTTCATCCCTGTCGTCTACGCTACATCTGGTGGAGCAGGTCGAAGTGCTAATGCTTTGGTGAAGAGGATCGCAAGTCTCATGGCAGAGAAGAAGTTGCAGCCCTACTCACAAGTGATGGCTTGGCTGAGGTCGAAGATCATCATCTCTCTCGTCAGAGCCTCTATCCTATGCCTGCGCGGTTCAAGACGTCCTAGGGCACGCATCCACCTCAACCCAGACAATATTGGTCTGGAGGTGGTTGAGGCTCGGCTTTCCTCATAGATGGACTCATCTTCTTCTTTTGTGATCAGTGTGCAAATTTAACTGTAGAATGAGGGAAGGTGAGACAATAGAAGTGAAGTGAGAGCTAAGTGCAACGGCGGGTGAGAAACTAATAATTATAACGCTAAAACTGTGTAGTGAGACAAACAATCATGCTGTGCACCTACGAAAACAATTTTAACGCAACTACATGTTTCTTCTGCTTACAAAGATCAGGCTTATGCAAACGAATACAAACAGCCTCAAGTACTTTCAACTGACTAGCATACCGTGCACGACAAAGAACAGAAAAACTAAAATCATCATACACCTGCAGACACTTAGGGTGAGACAACAAGTGAAGAAAAACGGCAGACTTCTTACGATCACAATCACCATCTGATTCCTCGTCTCCAACAACCGCAACCTCGTCCCCCGTCTCATCTCCCAACTCGTCCTCAGTGTCGTCCTCCGTGTCATTCTCCTCATCAACACCGATCGGTCCCAGGCTCGCGTCATGTTGTTTAACCTCTGTTCGTTGACTCCTCCTTTGATCTTGATGGTAAATTGTTACCATTGTTGTTGTTGTTGTTGTTGTTGTTGTTGTTGTTGTTGTTGTTGTTGTTGTTGTTAAATCTTGTGTTCCCAGTGTCCTCGCCGGTGCTTGATCTCCAGTACTGTAATAATTCATTGAATAATTAGCCGTTGATCGTTTTAGCGTTATAATTATTAGTTTCTCACCCGCCGTTGCACTTAGCTCTCACTTCACTTCTATTGTCTCACCTTCCCTCATTCTATTTTGGCACTGTATTTTGTTCTCGTAACACATCATTGAATGTAAATTTAACTGTCCTTTTTCTTTTCTCTGTTTATTCTTTTTACCAGGCGTGGGCCATCCCCTGGACTATCAAAATGGGTGCCTTATTATTTTTCTGTTTTTTTTTGTTTTTTTTGCTTCTTCTTTGTGCGAGTTTCGGATCAGACTGTAAAAAGGTGTTTTTGGAAACTTCACCTTTACTGGTCTAACCCCCAAGACAAAATGATACATGTAGTAGCCGACTGGCCGAAATAAAAGAAAAAAAGAAAAGAAAAAAGTTACATTGAAATCTGCCAGTGACACACCATACTGCTGTACTCCTCACAAGTTTATTCCACTACTGAATTACAGCGAAGTAGAGGATGTATTCCGTGAAAAAACATACATCGAGAAACAAGAACAGATTCCATGCTATTATTGTATGTCAGGTCAGTGTCGTCAGAGAGCTGGTGGTATTCACTGCCATCATCGTGCCCGTCATTGTCCCAAGTCGACTGTGTGCCCGACTGTGCCGACACGTTGAGAATGTTGGAGCACATCATGGCACCCTGTATCCGCATAACCATAAGCTAACATAGCCAGCCCCGGACACCGCTACACGTGACAGCCGCGTAAACAACCTGGCCGTTGTGGCAGACTACGCCAGGCAAAAGTTGCCTCGAGCATGGCCAGGTTAATGCTGCTAATGAAACCCCTTCATTGCCTTGTCGTATTGCCCCCAGGTCAGCACTACTCATAAAGTGCCCTAGGTACATTAGTACTGTACATATATTCCCTTTCCAACACCCTCAACTGATAGATAACATACACTGAGTACAATAACTTCTCTGTCTACAACGTGATCAATACCGGTAAGTGAAGAACTTCCTCACAAATAACGTGGAACGAGGGTTTATGAAGCCGCAGTAAAACCTCATTCTACCGCATTTGCACCGTTTTCGGTTACGTAATGTCTCTTGTATTAAAGTAGGAGTGAAAGTTGGCACTGATATACCGAGTTCGAGTACTCTGATTTTCTCCGATCGAATATTCGAGTATTCTTCATCTCCTAAAAATTGCACACCAAGGGCCTTAAAATCACATGATACAACCCTGATTGAACCGAGTAGCAGTCATTTTTCTCGGGTATATTGGTTGGTGGGTCATTTGGGCTCTCTCTACTCGTGAACAAATGTTCACCACACAGTCTGCACATCAATATCTGCTGACTGCTGCTCTGAACACTGCAGATTTCTGTGGTAAATACATGCACCATGTATGTACGAGTACTCTGATTTATTCCGAGTACGATTATTTTTGAAAAAAACCGAGCGAGTACTCGAGTATTCGGAATAATTGTTTCACCCCTATATTAAAGCATATCTCGAATAGAAGCCTAGCCCTTACATCGGCTTCTACAGGAATACACCCGGCTGTAATACGCGACATTACGATAAGTTAGTATACAGTACGAGATACGAGGTAGTGGTAGGGACTTCAGCAGCGATGATTTCATAGGAAAGGACAAGCTCCGGTGTGGGGAGCACACACCTTTCCTAAGTATTATACATGTACATGTATATTACATCAGGGTTTTACTGTACGCTCAGAGCACTTACACACTTCCATACGGCTGCTGGCAAAATCCGACGAGCAATCCAGGCACGGTGGCTAGTTCTGCACCGTGTTTGGTCTCAATGAGCCGTAGCCTGTGTTTAGAGGGATTGACATTCAAGGAGTGGGCTACTTGAAGCTGCAGTGCAGAACTCAACCAAACACACGCCACACAACACCACCAGCCGGCAATATACAGTCAACTTGGCTAATAACGACTGCGGATATAACGACAGAATTTCCATGCCCAGAGCAAAGTCACATCCAACTGTAATACATATAATGGGACTTCGGGTATAACGATACTTCGCGAATAAGGACACTTTTCTTATGCCCCGCCGAGTGTCGTTATACGCGAAGTTGACTGTACACTCAAAACTCAACTTCTCAAGGAATCCATCACCCATCGGTTAAGACAGTCACGAATGGCTGAAATGAGTTTACCAGTAAACGCCTGTAATGTGCTGTATAGTATAGTGAGGGGGTGTTGAAGCATTCAAACGGATCCGGTTTCATATACAACAACAAAAAACACAGGGAAAATGAGCGGGATAAACCTAAGTCAAATGCTTTATTGAAGCGATTTTCGCTGGCGAATAACCAGACGCAGGTAAAATAGGCGGGCTACTTGTACAAAAAGTGTCAACAATATACTTGGTAGCTAAGCATATAACGTACTATGTGCAAATATCAACGGCAGGGAAGCTATGGGTTGACAGAGTACCCAAGTTTGTACATGCTAGAGAAAGAGAACACTAGTGTAGAGCTACATCGACAGAAGTGATAGCAATGAGTCCAGACCAAGTTCCAGTATGAGAAAATACTCAATGTGACTACTGTAGGGCAGCACCACACATGCACGTGCACACACACACACACACACACACACACACACACACACACACACACACACACACACACACACACACACACACACACACACACACATCACATTGCCTACAGGGAACCTCCAGCTCCAGCTGGCAATTTGCAAAGAATACTACATCACAAGACTTAAAAAAGCATTGACTATTTAAAAAGCAAACTGTGCACGTTAGGAGCAGTTGCAGCTACGACCATGAGTACAAAATCAACAGGATAATGCAGCCGGCAATCACAGAGCCGAGGATAATTGAGTCACGGCGCTTCCGAAAGTTTATCCGTTGCATCAAGGAATTAAGAGCCGGAAAGCGAGCTGGTATCACAGGTCAAGGATCAAAGTCAATCGACGATCCATGTGAAGCGTCAGTTAAACTGACCAAGCAAATACAAACAGGTCACCCCAGGTTCTAGGCAATGCCCCCACATTGCTGGTCTCCCTAAAAGTACTTGCAAGCAAATGAGGTTGTACCAGCTTCATACTCTATGCGTGTTCTTCTACCCATGGTGCAAATTCAAACAAGTAAAAGTGCAGCATGGCGTGCATTGCACGGGGCATGCAATGAGAGACGGGTGGGTAAGGAATGCGATTTCGTCAGTTGTAGCAGTGGCTGTGAATCTTAATGATTATCTTTTCTGTCTATTTTACAATAATGCACGTCATTTGTTGCTTGGGCTACCAAAGAGATGGGAGTAGACCAACGCAAGTGCAGAGGTAGGTTGCACCAAAAACCTTACATCACAGAGTCATCAGTTTCTTCACCAGTGGATCTTGCCCGCAAAGACACCCAGCACCATTCCACATAACACAAGAGAGAGGAGATAGAGAGATAGATAGATAGATAGATAGATAGAGAGAGAGACACACAGACAGACAGACAGAGAGAGAGAAACCCAACATGCCAAGAGGATACAGCTTAGCCCAGTGACCTGACTGTTGATGGATGATAGGAGGCGGCGCTGACTCGATAGGCTTTCTCTTGCACCCATGGCAACCCTGCAATACACACGGTGGTCATAAAAACAAATGGTGGTCATAAAAACAAATGGTCATACAAACAAACACCGACACCCAAGAACATACACACGCATGCACATACACGTGCACACACCACTTACCCTAGTGCTTCATCCGCTGCTTTCTCAGAGCTGTGGTGAACGAAAAGTTAAAAAAGAAAAAAAGTACTGATTGTATGCGCAGATAAGGAAATAGAACGGAATATTAGCAACTAGGTAGCCTTCACTGAAAATGCAATGCAATTTGTACATAGCACATTACATTGGTTCCGTCCCGGAATCATGGCAGCCAGGGAGCAGAGGTGCAGTGCGGTACGATGTTGTTATGCAAGGCAATATAATACACAACAAATGTTATTTAACTGAATACATGTATTATGTTAGATGTTTTCATTTGCAGTACTTGCCCAAGAATGGCCTGGTCGCCATGGGAATTTGTCATCCAGCAGGCAAGTCAGATGCACTTAGATGCCAAACGATTCCTCCTATGAGGATACTCAAGATGCCCTTGTCCTGATCGACGTTGGACAGGACCCAGCACATGTACTAGTACTGTATGTACCTAACCAGGAAGTATGACGTGCTCGCAACACAAAACTCATACTCCAGTCATGTATATCTACACTTCGTCAGAGAATATGCAACTTTCGGAAAGCACAGAGTAGAATCAAGTACAGCACACCACATGACACAGACGACCATCCTGTTGCTCCAACAATCTGGATCAGGGGAGTTTTTGTGCTACTGTATTTATTACATGTATAGGAGTACTGATACGCACGTTGAAATCCGTTGAGAAGTCAAGTGGCCACGGGCCGCTGCCCGTGCAGCCATAAGCACTGCTGGTCCATTTTTACAGAGTTACAGTGTGTGTGTGTGTGTGTGTGTGTGTGTACGCGCTAAGCAAGTAAGGGCACCGGCCCCGGTCATTCCACCGGATTTCTACGTCCACAACAGTTCATAGCTCAGCAGTGCACTGCCATACTCAGATATCAGCATCTCTCTCTCTCTCTCTCTCTCTCTCTCTCTCTCTCTCTCTCTCTCTCTCCCTCCCTCCCTCCCTCCCTCCCTCCCTCCCTCCCTCCCTCCCTCCCTCTCTCTCTCTCTCTCTCTCTCTCTCTCTCTCTCTCTCTTCTCTCTCTCTCTCTCTCTCTCTCTCTCTCTCTCTCTCTCTCTCTCTCTCTCTCTCTCTCTCTCTCTCTCTCTCTCCAGCTCTGTCAGTCAGTTTGTCTGTCTCTGTTTCTCTCTTGTCCAGTCACATACCAGTAGACATAAAAATATAGAATGTGCCTCAACTGAGCAAGTGTTCGGACGCACTATACCAGCACAGCTAACTAAACAAACGACTAAACAAAGGACTAAACAAGACTATACTATACATTGTGGAGGTGTTGCAGTGCAACGACAGGCAATCCACTAGTGCATCTCTCTGTGAGAAGAGAAGAACAAACTTACTTACCCTTGTAAGTGGTTATGTTCCTTCATGTACGTTTCAGTGCGGCGGTTCATTGACCCAGATGCGGTCTTGTGTGCGCTGTAACACACAGAAGCAAATCCAGTCAAACTCAACATAACCTAGTGCGATCGGTCAGTTGCCATGGAATGGTGCAATCACAATAATTATGGCCGGGGCATGATCTAACTATCAAGCATCCCATCATCTCCACTGTGAGATTTTCAGGTTAAATTTGTTCGTAGCCACGTACCCATTTTCACCACATTCGAACCTCAATTTTGCAGTCTTCATCTTCTAGGTGTAGCCCAAATTTTCTGATGAGAATGTACACATTGACGAACGACCACACTTACTTGATATCTTGCCTAACAGACCCGATCAAGTCTTCGCGTTCCTGAAGAGCGTGAACATGAGCCTTCGAGCAAACATGGCAGTCACACAATACAAGAGCACTGTAAGATGCATGAATGTGACACGAGAGCCAATCCCAGCAATGCGTTGTGTAATGACTCACTAATACTAATAGACTCGAATAGAGGGCCAATGATTAATTTATAGTAAAGAAAAGGATCAAGAAAGAACCAAGGAACTACAAGTTAGGTATAATGTACATCCGCCAACGTCCTTCACAGCTGAGACTTTCAGCTTGTGCTTGTCTTGATTGTGCTCACCTTTCCCTCCTATGTTTTCATACAACTTAGAACCTTCCAAGTTGGAAGGCTGTTGGAGTGCGCACCCAAGACGTGCTAGAGCTGATAGCCAGTTAGTTGTAGAACGTTACTACAGTCGGTCAATTTTGTGCAATGTTATGGCCGCATGAGCTGATTGTCAACTCACTGGTGGTGTTAGTGGACATCATAGCGCAACTGCTACTTCCTTGCTCCTTTTCTTTACTACCATACTAACAGGTGCTTCATAACGGTCCCGAACACCCTCCTGGTGCTAACAAGAAACTTTCGACTTGACTAATAGGGGCCTTCCGTAAATACCGATAATTATTTAGAAACGAAAACTAGTCGTTTCTCTTCAACCCCCCATCCCCCCTCCCTGAGAAACGAACACATACAAATGGTACATAGTATCGATATTTTTGATCTTTTTTTCTGGACATGCTCATGCATGCAAAATGTACATCGATATTTTTCGAGAAACGAACAGGCGCTCAACCCCCTCCCCCCTAAGGGCGCGTTCAGACTACCGTGAATCCCGTCAAACCGTGAAAGGCGATAAACCGTGAAGGACATTCACACTACCGATAAACTAACGTTACGGGTACGTAAGTTTTGCACTCTCACCGCAGCACTGAGAAGGGATTTTCCCTTTTTCCCAGCCTGAGCACTCTTTTTACTGCCGGAAAAGCTCTACTGCCGCAGCAGCCGCGGCAGTAAAACTTTTCCGCCGGTAGCGTGCCAGTAACATCACGTGATCAAATCACCTTGGAAACTTTCCCATTCCGTCACTTTTTATCGGTAGTCTGAACCTAAACGACTAGTTTTCGTTTCTAAATAAATATCTACAATATTTACGGATGGCCCCTTACACTGCTACACTACAATTAATATCAAAACTACGTGTAATAGGCCATTCACACTACGTGATCATGCATCCGCGTTTTCTCGGTTTGAGTACACTGCTGTGCGACTGTGCGGCAGGGACATTCACACCAGCATTTGAAACCCGGTGCGGGTGTGCGTTTTCACCGCGACTGACCGAGTTGTCTTGGAGATAAAAATGGCGCATGCCTGAGCATGGGCTAGTCGTCTCATGAAAATAAATAAATAAAATGAATTCAAAAACAACTCTTTCTTTCTTGTCTTTCAACACGTGGAGTCAAGATTCTGTAGTTGCTCCGACGACTTGTTCTTGTCGTGGAGCGCTGTGGCTCGTCTTCTGCTACACCTTCCTAGGAAGAGAAGGTTTTTAGGTCAGCACATGTCACAAGTCGTGGGAAATGGGAACTAGAGGTTCTTGGGATATGGAGAGAGCCCGGGCGTCACTTTCCAGACTATGAGGACATGAAGTAGCTGGAATCATTCCGCATGAATGTACCCACTCTCAGTCAGGTATACCACAATTATGGAGTGCACATGAATAAGCAGGATACTATTCTGAGGACCAGCATTCCAGGGAGGAAGAGAATGGCCATTTTCTGGAGTGGATGGCACATTCACCAACCATGCACAGCTTGGCAACTGAATATGCGGTTGGTACATGAACAGTGCATGCAATTGTTCATGCTGGACTTGATGTGTTCAGTACCATGTTGCCAGTCGTATGTCAGTTCCCTACCGGCAGTGAGCTTCGACAAACTGTGATCGACTGTGAAAGTCTCTGCCAGGTGCCTGGCTGCGCAGGGGCTTTGGATGGGACCTACATGCGGATCTGCAAGCCAGTGAATTATGGCGACGCATACTTCTGCTATAAACAATTTCCTGCAATAGCTCGTCTGCTATGTGTTGATGCCAGGGGAGTCGTGACATATATCAATGCTGGACGCCCAGGTGCCATGGGAGATGCCTACACCGGGTACACCTCATCACTGTTAAGAGGAATATCTAAGGGAGGGCTTCTGCCATCATGTGAGGTAGTGAGGATTGGAAATCGTACTTTACGGCCGTACATTGTAGCAGACTCGGCGTTTGCGCTCTCACCAACTGTGATAAAGTGCTATGATGGAAACCAGCTCACAAATGTGCAGAAGAACTTTAACTACTGCATCATCCTTATTAATATCGTGGTCTTGTATTCCTCGTGTAGCGTGGAGTTTTTTGACGTCCAGAGATTTCAATATCTAAATATGCCAATGTCTACTCGCAGCCAAGGAACCGCGGCTCCTCTAGCTCATCCTGAGCCTGCCAGGACCGCCAGACGACGCCCAGCTGCCACCTCCGCCTCCGCCACCTCACCTGCCCCACCAACACCACGCTCGGCAGGTGAGGAGATGCCGTCGTGGTTCGTCTCCGCATTTACAAACCTTTCGTCACAAATCAAGGGAGTATCGTGAGTACATTCTGGTAGACCACTACCCCATGTACAACCCGGTCGCTATGTGAGTGAAAATCGTACTTTACGGCCGTACATTGTAGCAGACTCGGCGTTTGCGCTCTCACCAACTGAGATGAAGTGCAATGATGGAAACCAGCTCACAAATGTGCCGAAGAACTATAACTACTCCGTCATCTTTATTAATAATTTGCCGAGTGTTGTTCCCGACACTTCGTTGTATGCTGATGACACTGCACTCATCAAATCCCACGAGTCCCTGCCACAACTCCAAGCCTTCCTCCAACTGGACATTGACAAGGTAGTTGCTTGGATGCGTTGCTGGCACCTGTCGCCAAATCACAGCAAGACGGAGGCTAGGATTATTGGATGCGCTTCTCCAGACCCTGTCACCCTGTGTTTCCCAGGATCTTCCAACAACATCGGACTGGTAAGAAGCCACAAACACCTGGGTGTGCGTATTGACTCTTCACTTTCCTGGTCAGAGCAAGCTAATGATGTCCGTCGTCGCACTAGCTCCGCCCTTGGAGCACTCACTTCCCACTGTTCCCACCTCCCTCATAGTTGTAAAAACCTTTTCTACCATTGCTATATGTTGCCTCTGTTCGACTACGCTGACACAGCATGGTGTGGTCTAAATTCAACTTTTTCCACAAAACTTGAAACGCATCATAAAACATGAAGAACCGCCAGCAAAGCGCCGGCGCGCACCGGAGCCCAACTAGTCCCTTCCGTCAGTGAGAAAGGAGCAGTCATTGCTAAGCCGCCTTGCTGGAAAGCACAAGTCTGACCATCCTGTATCTTCCAGCAACCCCCAAGCAGCTCAGTGTACAAGAGCAGTTTCGGCTGTACCTTGACACGCCAGGTTGCAACATTGACTCAAGTCCACTGGATTGGTGGCGACTGAATGCTGCTTCATTCCCAGCAGTTGCCAAACTGGCCAAGCGGATCCTTTGTATACCAGCGTCATCGACGGAGTCCGAGCGCAACTTCTCCACCACTGGGATCTTGACAGAGCGGAAGAGGGCACGGCTCAGCAGCGATAATATCAACGTGATTCTCTTTCTCAGCAAGAATCGCTCCCTCCTCCGTGAGTCTCAGTCTGAGCCCGACACCACAGTCCCGAGCCTTCCAGTCTTAAAAGATTATCAAACGGTTATTCGGACTGCCCCAGTTATTTACCAGTGCCCAGTTATATTCTCGGACCGCCTCATCTCCACTCTGTGAGCGCCGCAAAGCCCACTTATGTACCCTTGCTCATAAATTTTCATCTTAAACGAATTCCCCAACACTTGGAAAAGTATGACTGGTTCCAGCATGATAGACCTACTTGAAATCAAGTATCATTGCCTGCTCCTCGTTTATCCTTGTTCCTAAACTCACTTGTGTTTATGGCATATCGATTTTGGCCCTTTCCTATAGTATTCGACGTGCTGAGACACTTGCTGCTTTCAACAAGGCTCTTTGTAAGTAACGCTCCTTTTTTTCTTCTTCTTCTTCTTTTTTCTTGTCTTTAATTTGCATTTTGCCCTCAGTCCATGGTTGGTTTCACCCTCACTTCTCTTGTATTGGCTATTTTCATTATGTGCCATGAAGTGCAGACAGCAAATAAAATCCGCAAAAGACGCGTCGTTGAAAACGCGATTGGCCGACTGAAGGGCAGATGGAGTATTCTCACACACAATTATATCTGTGATCCTACCCTGGTGAGCTACATAGCTCTTGTTGCTACTGCGCTACACAATGCCCTGGAACGTTGCAACTGTCCCTTTGAAGACAGCTGGATTCCAAGAGAAGTTCATGCACCTCAGCGGGACGAGAATGCTGCTGAAAACCAGACTGTTCCGGACGCGGAAGCAGTGGGTCGTACTTTAGCCGAACATGTGCATCAGCATCTAGGTTGATTGATTTGTGATATTTGTACAGGAGATGATAGATTTTGCAAGTGCGGAACAGTCATTCTTCCACCCAGCCGTTCATTCCGAAGACGTCGGCCAAGAGCAGTTTCTTGTTGTGTTCACCAAAGCCAGAGGTACATGTACACAATTACGGACAGCAAGATAGCAACTAAAACACCTCACTGTACTAGAAACGCAGAACATCTGAAAAATATAACGGTAAACTGGAAGAAATTGACCGGCCGTGCACAACTCTGCCGGTCGTGCTCAGACACGATCTCGAGCTGGTTGGGAGGACCCTCAAGACCTCGGCAGATCTTGAGGAGTTGAGGAACATCGCCCAGGACCGTGGGGCGTGGAGCTACCTCAGCGGCCGGATCCTGGAGAGATATGTGACTGCTCACGGATGAACCCAGGGGTGTCGAGGCCGTGGGACAGTTTGCGGGCTCACGTTTTCGAGCCTCCCGCCAATCCATGGTTTCCATGGCCGCCTACCGAGAAACCATGAAAAAGTGACATTTGTGCCATAGTGTGAATGGCCTATAACTTAGTATAAGTAAGTTCTACAAACACAGAAGCAATTTCCAATTTCCTTCTACTACTCAAGTAGTACCTTGGTTTTGTTGAACTCTTGCCGGTAGTCTTGCAGGATGTCATGGTGCCGCTGCCGTGTGTGGAGCAGTGCAGATGAAGCGTCCGGTCCCAATGCTTCATTTAGTGCCTCGTTGACTGTGGACAGCTGTACAAAGAGGTGCAAGCACATGAACGCATATGAAAATGGGAAAACAATATAAAAAAGAATTTGAAGAATTCATGTAGCAAGAGCATAGACTTTGTCCTTTGAAGGAACACCACACATGGTGCTGGTATCACAGACATCAAAGAAGAGACCTAACAGCTCCAGAGTTTTACACCAATCTGCCGTTCTGTGTCACGTGTGGGACTTCGTGATGCTGTATCACATGTCCACGCATGTTACAGCATCTAACAGCAATACAATGCCATGCTAGCTGCCGATCCCAACTTGCACCATACATAAATAGCCACTAACCTTCTGCAACAGCTGGCTGATCTCCATGCCCACTGCATCGCAGGACCCGCTGCCAACAGGAGAGGAGAAGAGCAATGTTACATCAAAATTAATAACAAAAACAATGTGTGAGTAAGTTCTAAACAACACAGGCCTTGCCCTTGAGCACACGTGCACTGCAGTACGTTTCCACAACACGCATATGCTCCAAATACCTTTTTCCCATGCACTGTATACTGGTACAGCTGTGTGCAGTTTACATAATATACACAGACCGGTGGTGTTCACCATCGCAATACTGAAGGCCTTCAAAGTCAAACCTCTCGCTTTCGTATTTCTTCTATTTGTACACGAAACATCTTCTTAGTGCCAATGGTCATACATGGTCTCTGTGGTACACACGTCTTTCTACTGTATAAGAACAAAGTTCCGGTTGGAATTAACTTTCGCTATATTCGTTAGGGGGCACGAAATAACTGAAGTTTGTGCCAAACTAAAGTTTTTTTTCTGAACGTTCGGGGTGACAGACCTCAACCAAAAATGAAATTTTGTACGTAACGAACCTGCTGATGGAGTGATCTAACAAAAGATTTCGTAAACGAAAAATTAGTACTTATACAGTACTTCAAAGTGCATACACCAAAGTTTCGGGTATGACCCATCCTCAAAGTAAAATAATAAAACTAAAGGCAAGTAACTAAGACATGGAGTAGATATGCCGGCGCCCCTGAGCCTGAGTGTAGTGGAACAGTGAGAGATCATGAATGTGAGAACATGTGTCAGCTAAGGTGTGGGCGTGGAAAGTAGGAGTACCGGTGAAAAGTGCCGGGAGAAAGGGGGTGAGAGAGAAGTGGGGAGCTATGTCTGTGTGTGCCATATTTTCTACTTTGATCCACAGGCTATCAAGACTTCTCCAAAGTCCTAGGTTTCATTTTATTCTCATGTGACATTGCATGCATAAGACAGTTTCTCTCCTGGTTATCTCTTCCGCTGCTGCTATCTCAAAAGAGCTCTGCACTCTGGGACTCAGAGCGGGAGTTCCCGCTATCACAATGCACAATAAAGCTTTGTGGAGTGCAAACACACACACACACACAGACACACACAGACAGACAGACAGATAGACACACACACACACACACACATACAGACACACACACACACACACACACACACACACACACACACACACACACTCAGATTCAGACATGCCCATCGCGGAAGCGATGATAGCGAACAGCTATGTTAGACATAGCAACTTGGGCTGGGATTACACCGTTCAACAGCTTGCAAGGCTGATGAATTGACCCCCACTAATTTTTAGCCTGGTGTCCACCACACAGCTGATTGAAGTGACACACACACACACACACACACACACACACACACAAACACATCCACACAAGCACAAACACACACTCACATAAACACAAATGTATAATGGACAAATGTCCAGATGTTGTACGCACATGTTATCCTGAATGCTGTGTAGGTCTTGTCCATTTCTGCGCCTTTGCACATAGCAAAGCTAAGGCAATCCTCAGACAACTGACTTCTGCCTTTGTGGTAATGCTCCATCCTTGTGGTGTTGAGCACTCTAGGCAATCTGGGAACTCTCGCTATTGTCACACCTTTTGACCTATTGACGCCCATCGCCGGAGGCGATGATAGCGATGCTACAGCAGAAGCCATAGCAACTTGTGCTGGGATTGCACCATTCAACAGCTTGCAAGTCTAGAGAATTCCGCCACTTTCTGCTTGGCTCACACCACACAGCTGTGAAGTGGCTTTTCTGGCCAGTGAATCCCTACTTTTTGGTCTATTTCCATTGTTTTTCCTGCACACACATCACACCACATACTCCGGCATGCACTGGCTGTTGGTTACCGCCCAGGAGAATGAAAGGAAAGCCAGGAGGAGTCTGAGAGAGAGAAGAAAGACGTGTGTGACCATAATCGTGCTTCTCTCTCAGACACACACACACACACACACACACACACACACACACACACAAACAGGAAATCCAGGAAGCAGCTCCAACATACCCCAATGTGGGGCTTCCCCGTCTATCGTCATGGTGCCCGGTACCTAGCCTGCTGAACGCCGTCAGTTTATTATCTATCTCATTTTCCAGCCGTCTAGCTTCACGACGCAATGCTGCACAAACAGAAGTCAACGCATACGGAGAATGAGCATGAAGGCATGGCTACAAATGAGGCGTATTCAGTAATCAATGGAGAAAGCAGGAAAATGCCTAAGAATGAAATAAGTCATCCAGTTACTCTAATTTCAGAAATTTTCGGCGCTCAATATTTTCGGTATGAGGGCATAAGGCAAGGTTAGGTGAACAGAAATTTTAGGTACAGAGAAACATGTCCCTATTGGTTTATGTGTGATACTGTTTGTTCGGTGTATTGAAATTTTAGGCATGACACAGATGCACTGAAAGTGCCGAAAATAAAAGTACACCGAAAATTTGTGAAACTACAGTACACTGTGCTTTGCAGTCCCTTTAAGCTCTCAATATCGGGATGTACATGTACTGCCGCCTAACCCACCCATTTCTGCTGACAGGTGACATTTCACTGTCTTGCGCAGTATGAATTCCACTTCCCGCGTGTGTGTGTGTGTGTGTGTGTGTGTGTGTGTGTGTGTGTGTGTGTGGTGTGTATGTGTGTGTGTGTGTGTGTATGTGTGTGTGTGTGTGTGTGTGTGTGTGTGTGTGTGTGTGTGTGTGTGTGTGTGTGTGTGTGTGTGCATGCTGAAGACTGGCTACCGAAGTCTCAGTGCGGTTTTCAGAAGGGCATGGGCTGCATCGATATGATCTTTGCTGCACGCCAAGTACTTGAGAAAGCCATCGAACATCAGTCTGATCTGTATGTCTTGTTTGCGGATCTACGCAAGGCATACGACTCGGTCCCCCGGACAGCGCTTTGGCTGGTTCTGCAGAAACTCGGTATGCGTCCGCGCATGCTTCAGGTGATCCGGTCTCTCCACGAGGGTATGCTGGCTTCTGTTCGCGTGGGTAGTGGACAGTCTGACAGCTTTGGGGTAGAGAATGGTCTACGCCAGGGTTGCACCCTGGCTCCGATGTTGTTCAATCTGTACTTCTCTGCCGTCCTTGCACACTGGCGCTCAACCTCAATTCAACAGTGCCTAGTTTCCCGATGAAACATCGCATCGGCTGCAAATTGGTTGGCGACCGTACTGCCAAGCACAGATTCGCAGACTTATCCGTATCGGAGTCGCTATTCGCGGATGATGCTGCCCTGTACACCACTTCGTATGAGCACAAGGAGACGATGGTGAAGGAATTTACGCAGTGTGCTTCAGGCTGGGGCCTGAGTGTGAGTGTGCAGAAGACGAAGTTCTTGGCGGTCGGTCCGAGTGTCATCCGTGCTGATATTGCGGTGCCTGGGAGTGCTGGTGACATGATCAGCATGGTCAGCAATTTTACCTACCTCGGCAGTACGATTCGTGACGACGGAGAGCTGGATGCCGAAATCACTACTTGTCTTGCCAAAGCATCGAGGGCGTTTGGTAGCCTCCTCCAACCAATTTTCCGGAAGTCGAGTCTATCGCTTGGAATCCGACGTCACGTCTATCAGGCAGTGGTCCTTACAGTGCTGCTGTATGGTTCTGAGACCTGGACGCTGAAGGCACCCCTCCTGCACAGGTTGGACACGTTCCATCGGCAGTGTGTTCGCACGATTCTCAGTGTTACTCGAGACCAGCAGTGGCAGGAATATCTGTCAAGTGAAGACCTGGCGAAGCGCAGCGGCATGCCAACCTCGCTGGAGGAGTCCATTCGTGCAAATCGCCTGCGATGGTCTGGTCACCTCGCAAGGATGGCCGACACCAGGTTGCCAAAGCAGATCCTGTTTGCGGAGGGCACCAACACGCAGCCCCGCCATGGACCCAAGCGTCGTTGGAGAGATGTGGCAGCTTTGGATGTGCGTGCGACCGGCATCCCGGAGCCGCAATGGTACCACCTTGCTCAAGACCGGAGGGACTGGCGCGAGCTTAGTCGTCGGAAGCCACCAAGACAGCCCCAACCAAGAGTGTTCGTCTGTGTCTGCGGCCACGACTTTCGCCGTCCGAATGACTTATCCCGAGACAAGAACTACTGCCTCGCCTAATAGCTATCATCGCCGTTGGCGATGGGCGTTCCAAAGGTCCAAAGGTGTGTGCGTCTTCAAGTGGCTGATCAATATACACTCGTATCTCTTTTATCCGGACCTCAAGCACTTTGGTGTACCAGGCACCCTGTGCGTGACTATTTGTGGAAATATTGCTACCCTTTTGCCAATTTTTGTTGGACAGAGACATGTCATATGCCAGATCTCTGGCCCTTCCCATTGAAACGTAAAGGACTCAGAGTCATGGACATTTTCAAGTTTTGGGCAGTGCCTGGTCCCGGACCGCCCGGATAAGCGAGATATAAGCGCACTAGTTATCGCAGGGTTGCCGGAATCGGTCCGGTTGGTCAGGTTGTCACCGGGCCGACATTTTAGCCAATCACACATGTTCACTGCTATGGATGTCATGTGTACCCACCATATCATATACAAACTGTATGAAAGGCACTGAAACTACCGGACCAATCAAGAACTGCTTTCCGGCGGTCCTGTATCGGCACTACAAATTACAATGTACTGCATCTTCCGATTTGCAGGCCGCTCCGCTTTCTGAACACCCTTTCGTCTCCGGGTGCCCGATTAAGAGGAGCGTTGCGGGTGCGGTTATTTCATGCCTGAACATAGCAACCCCTAGGCCCTGCCCGACAGTGTGTGTTCCAAACACACAATAAACATCTCCTGCTTGCAAAGACCATCTCTTTGCTACAGACTGTGGGTACAGACTGTGTCTGTACTGCAATGGCACGACCCGGACTTTTAGTTTACGTGAGTAGTGAATACATTTTCTCCAGCCACTGATGTACATCAGAATCATCTCACCTTCCCAACTCGTCGCCATTCAAACGGGTAAAATCAGCACGTCATTATCCGGTAGAGGAATAACACGAATGTGTCATTGCAAGAAGTAAGAGTATCTGTCACTGTGGCACTACGTATCTTCTTTGCTGCTCTTCACACTGTGACTGTGTGTGTGTGAGCAACTCTCTTAGTTGTTTCAGAACATAAACTAATTTACAAAAAGGTGATAATTTCGAGTGCTAGCTGTGGGTTGAAAGTAATTAGTTGTTCCAGATTTACACCAAGGTTGGCAGACAGCCTCAAGTAACAGTTCAACTAAAACTAGTCACTTCCACGTTGCAATACGGCATCACAAACAGTCAAACACCATCCATCCATTTGAAAAAAACTATAAATACTTTGGCACATGCATGATGATTATTATGACAGAGGTTTTGAAACAAACACAGGCTGCACTGCTGTACTGACCTGTTGCATTGTGCAGCAGGGAGTCGTCAAATACCGACTCCCTGATGTGCAGTGGCATGGCCCGGGTACCCGACTGTACCCGTACCCGTACCCGTGCATTTTGGAAGCACTCGTACTCATCTTATGAATATGATGTCATCTTCAGTTTCAAGTAGGATGATGGCGTCATTGTGTTTTAGCTGGGAATTCCTGCCGCTAGCGAAAGCGAAAAGCCGTTGAAATTTCGAAATTTTCCCTTCTGATGAAGTCATTGCGAAAAGCTGCATCGATGCTTCCCAAAACCCGGTGGTAAACCCGTGCGAAGTATCCAGAAGTCATTGCGCAACTGCATGCATAATCTCTCTGTCTTGCATAAGCACAGAATCGACGTCTTTGAAACTGAGAAGATAACAATATTATTTTCAGGAAGAGTAGAACTGAAAGAGACGTTTCGTTTGGAGTTTCAAGACAAGAGAGATTTGAGACCTGAGTATATCGATATGCTCCTATAGAGCTTCTAAAATGCTGTCTTCAACCATACCTATTGTTCCTTCGGTACGGGGAATATTCAGTGCTCAAAATTGGTTTGGAAATGAACACTTGGATCACAGAGATTTTACTTGTGAAATTTGCTCTGTAGGCGGCCGTTCCTAGTGTTGGAAGTATCTCATCTACAGCATCCTGGCTGCATGGCAATGTAGTACAGCGATGTAAGCGTTTGTCCTCAACACTCGCGCAAGCTCCAGGGCAGCGTGGTTCTGCTTCCAAGGCGGATGAACCGGTTGGTAGTCTCTAAACTTGATTTTCAGAAATGAACTGCTGTTGAGTCAGTTTCTATATTTTTGGCTGCAGAAATGTTCAATAACGATGACTGCTGAATCTCGGAGCCGAGAAGTAGGAGATTTCGCCAGACCTCAACGGCCATGTAGATCAATGTTCCTACCAACAGCACGATCCGCACGTACTTTCTTTGAGAATAAGCATGGTACGTCAGATGGGGTTTAATATTTCCTGAAAATTAGCTGACTGTCTTCATCTTTCATGATATCAAAAGACGAAATGCTACTTTCTTGTGAAAAGTATTTCTATACAAGTTGTGAGTTTGTTTGATACTGATGCAAGGCCGCTGTGAACATGCATCTCCACAAGCCATGGTATGTTTTCCTGTCAACCATCCTTTTGGCTGAAATGCACTTGTACCCTGTGTTATCCGCCGCTACTTCTCTTGCCATTGACTTGGTGTAGTTAATTTGATGACGTCCAATCGGCAGTGTGCATGTACAGACACATGGAGTATCCTTGAGACTGTCCTTGTGTCTGCTTTTGATAGGCTTTTCGGCGACGGAAGCTGGAATTCGCCGATTTCACACGGATGTACACCCGGTCCTGAAGAATCGAGCTGGCATGTCATTTGGTATGTGACTATGTTCCCGACTTCTCCATGCAGTGCATAGCTCGTTTACTAACATAAGCATTCTAAGCGAGTCTTTCACATAATTCCCTGTCGAAGCTGGCGGTATATTGCAGCTATAAGTATAAGCAACTCCTTGATGTATGCATTGTATCAGACTCATCGACTGCATATGTTGTTATGAACTTATGATCCATGCACTTCATTGTACACTCCGGTCTGAACTCTAGCCAGTTACTGGCATCAGCTGTTCCATAATGCAAGCACATCAACTAGCCTGTGCGGTGATGAGATAAGCCTCCCGGAACACGCAGATATCTCAGGCCAATATTGCACTGGCTTGGAGCACTCATCCTTGCTCAGCTCTGCACCTCCAAGTCAATGATGGCTTTATACGGAGCGATCTCATCTTGACGCTGCTTTTTGATTCATTGGTCCCTGGGTATGCCTTCTACCTATTTTTTCTCTCTCTTGCTTTCAGCTCGTCCACTTAGCACCATCATGCAAAATAGGCGGCTGGCTGCACTCGAAGAGGAAGCAGATAGTAATCCACGTGTTGCCAAGATGCAGGCAGATTACATGCATGTAAGTTTGCGCTCGACTTGAGCAGGGGCCGTTTAAATGCAATTCTCCCTTGCTTTTGTATGCGAACTGTGCCATTATTGTTTATCATGTTTGAGCTAGTTCGTACCTGCATTCCTCTATCGGGCGGTTTATACGTTGTGCTGTCTTGTGCCCGTCTTGCTCAAATCACTTCCGCCTGGTGGTCGAATATCTCTTAGCTCTCTTGAGTGTAGGTATTTCCTATTTGTCGACATGCGCGAGTATAATGTTCTCTTGTGTGTTTATTTATTTGTTGTGGAAGAACCCTCTTTGGAAGAACCCTCTTTTTGTTGATTCTGTGCACTTCAGGAGCTTGTGAAGACCGAACCCCAGTGGGTTGTGGAGAGATTTGAGAGCGGCCAGTATGCAGTGAACAGTGAATGTGCGCGCTACTATCTAGAGGTATGTGCTTATAGCGCAGTGCGGTGCGGGTCATAATGCCAGCAGTCATCCTGTCAGTGTGTGCCGCTGTGGCAGTGTGGTGTGGGGAAAGGCTTGACCGGCAGCTTCTGTTCCATCTACGTGTGTAGTTGCTCTTGCATGTTTAACCTTGGGCTACTCTGCACTCGTTATGCATGTAAGGCGACGTCACAAACATGCCCATAACTGATGTATCGGTGACTACTGCGTGGACCTCACTCCAGTGTGTCTTCTGTTGAGCTTGTCTATTATGTTGATAAACATTCTCTAGACCAGCTAAACATGTTCCTGTTTCTCCCCAATCTTTCTTGGTGCAGGCGTTACAGAAGACCGGGAAGATAGCGTCAAGTGTGCTTGAAACAGAGCCCAAGGTTAGCTTTTTGTACAGCATCCTGTCTGTTTTATCAGCCAGCATTGTGAAGCATTGCCTGTGCTGTGGTGTGTCCTTGTTGGTACGATAGCATGATTGCATTGTTCAGATGTATGCATGTGATTTTCGTCGTCCAACTTAGCAAGCTGCATTCAATTCGGGGGGGGGGGGGAGAAGATGAGGGGTCCGAGTACGAAATGAACGATGTCCGTTTCAGAGACAAGACGAAAACTTTTGTGACGACCCTTAAGTTAGTCGATGATAGTTTGGGAGGTTGCTTTGGTGTGAAATACTTGGAGAATGGGAAACAAATGGCATCCTGTCCAGGGTGTCTTCCACGTTTAGTATGTACTCATAGCTGTGTTCCCACTGTCATTTCTACTTATGCCAATTGTAAAGATCTTGTATCCAATATCCCTGTTGTTATCTGTTTTCCGCCAGACGAAGCGAGGGTTTTTCCGCTTTCGGAACGCTGCTGCTGAAACAAAGGAGAAGGAGAAAGTTCAGCTTCATCTCTCCGGTAGAAGTAAGCGTTGACGAGGCTTGTGACTTGTTGCTGTTTCTATCTACTTTATGCGACAAGCACACGTACACACAAGCGCACTCACTTTGACCTTGACCTTGACCTCGATGTACACCGACTTGGTGTAGGCCTCCTGGACCTCATACGGGCTGGCGAACTAACTTACTTGAGAGAGAAGGGATAACAAGGGGCTAGTAGTGGTGCCGAATCTAAGTCCCGGGGTCGCTCGCCCATACCATGCACACGCGCACATACTTACTCACTAAACCTGGGAGAATATCCTTAGAAAGTCTTTGTCATGTGTTCCTTGTGCACTTTAATAATATATGATATCCTGCTGAGAGTGGTATGGTGGGACTGACAGTGCTGTTGCGTGGCGACTTCAAGTGCTTGTATTTCAAGTTTCAACGTATAATAATTATGCCAATGCTATACCTGCCTTTGTCTGATCTCGCTTCCTGCTTGTGTGCCCTGTTGTGATGCTCAGGTGTTATGCTGTTCTTTGTACTGTGGGCGTTTGCATTAACTCTGCAACTCTACTTCTTGTTGGTGGTGGCTAACCGGTACTCGTCGAGTAAGAGATGTTTAAGGTGGCTCATCATGTGTGCTGTCTTGTTTTTGTTTGCCGATGCAGTGCATGTGCACTGGTAGTACAGTGTAGCAGCAGCCTGATGTAAATATGAAATTGGTGATTGTGCAGGTTCCACGCCTTGTGAAACGAGTGCAGTGCACGTAGGCAAATTCGTAGCTGTGTCTCCCAGTATGCCCCACCATGTTTGACGAGCTTATTCCCAGTCACACTTGCTATGAGCTCGAAACGTACTCGTTTCCAAGCTCTCCAAACATTTCTATAGACCCTGTGCGTAGTGTCATTGTGATATCATTCATTCATTGGCGTGTTCTGGACGAAATGTGTTCCCTGAAGGTCTGAGAACAGGCTACAATTTTGTTGTACAGGATTCTTTGTGTTCTGTATACATTGTGTACCCTGTCCAGTGTTTCCTTTTGATCTAGTCTTGTTACTTGTACATACATGCGCTCTTTTGTGTGTGCTTTTAGATGCTCCTAAGAGCATTATGCCTGAGGACAATAAGAAGTCAGTCACCTTCCAGGATGTGGCTGGGGTAAGTCCTTCTTGATGTGCAATGCTGTTGCTCTGCACAAACCCAGTTTAGCATTTCTTGTTAGTTGTTTTGGTGGCTCACTGGCTGAACAGTGCTATTGCTGTCTCGTTCAATGATATCAACTACAGCATGAGATTGATTCTGGTTTCAACCTATGTGCTTTCTGCACAGGTGGAGGAAGCTAAGGATGAGCTGAAGCAGGTCATCGACTTTCTCAGAAACCCGGATAAATACCAGGAACTAGGCGCCAAGATTCCTAAAGGTGTGTGGTGCATTTAGTCAGCATGGTTGTTGGGTATGAATGGCCTCTGTGTGTGTGCATGCGTGCATGTCACTTGTGTGTGTCGGGGAGGGGAGGGGGGGGGAAGGGGGTATGTGTGTGTGGTTACTGTATGATATGTTTTTCCTCGGGTATCGTTGTCCAAAGGATAGCCTCAGTGCAAGGCAGCTTGTCATGTCTTTCTTGCTGTTGTTGTTTGCAGGTGTGCTGCTGGTTGGGCCACCAGGTAACGGCAAGACCCTGCTTGCACGCGCCGTGGCCGGTGAGGCAAACGTACCTTTCTTCTACTCTTCAGCGGCAGAGTTTGAGGAGATGTTTGTCGGTGTTGGAGCCTCCAGAGTCCGCAAGCTTTTCTGTAAGTCAGGGTTGTGTATGTACCAGTAAAGCTCCCCTTATTCGGGCACGTCCGTCTACCAGGCACCTTTGTGCACTTTGAGAAAGCATTGAAAGTGTGTGTGGCAAGCGGTGTGCAGAAGGATCCCTCGCCTCCACCTGATGTCTGTGATCTTTCTGTTTCTCTCTACATAGTGTTTCGGCCCAAATCCTTTGAATAAGAAATTTCAAATTTGGCATAGGTTTGATCTGATGTACTCTGTGCCTCTCTATCTATCTATCTATCTTTTCATGTCCTAACAACAGCTGAAGCTCGGGACCACAGTCCATGTATCATCTTCATTGACGAGCTTGACGCTGTTGGTGGTCAGCGGTCACATAGTCCCAATCATCCATATGCAAGGCAGACGTTAAATCAGTTGCTTGTTGAGCTGGACGGCTTTCAGGAACGCAGCGGTATCATTGTCATTGCCGCAACCAACACACCACAAGTGCTTGACAAGGCCTTGACCAGACCGGGCCGCTTTGACACTCTCGTCAACGTGGGCTTGCCTGACGTCCGGGGGCGCGTTGCCATGCTGGAGCTGCATACCAAGGGCTTGAATCTCTCCAGCGGTATGTTCTGTGTGTTTGCTGTGAATGCCATGTTTTGCTTGGGTTCTTCATGACCTGGGTGCTTTGAAGTAGAACAGAAATACTTGACTATGTGCTTTCCATTGATGGGTTTTTTTTCGTCTAATGCAAAGACAATGTAGTTGAAGACACCACTGCAGCTGTACTTATGGTTGATAAATATGGTGGTAAAGACACACCTGGCAATATGGCGGTTAACACACGCCTGCCCACACACGCTCTCTAGGCTGCAATGTTCTGGCACAGAGCTCTCCTTCTCACCACCACCACCATCAGTTCGCGCCTGGCGCCTGGTCGATGCATGACTGGCGGTATCCGGCATAGCAGGCTGGTACATCAAGTAGCGCATGCATCGACCAGGCGCCAGGCGCGAACTGATGGTGGTGGTGGTGAGAAGGAGAGCTCTGTGCCAGAACTTTGCAGCCTAGAGAGCGTGTGTGGGCAGGCGTGTGTTTACCGCCATATTGCCAGGTGTGTCTTTACCACCATATTTATTAATGAAAAGACATCGCAAGTATTTGTGGGAATATTTGAAAAATGTTGCTGGTGGGAAGTGTGAAACTTGTTCTTAAACCTTCCTTGGCTCTTTGTTTTTTTTTGTCTTCAGATGTAAACCTGACCACTGTTGCACGAGGAACGCCTCAGTTCACAGGTAAGTTGCCTGGCTATGTCCACTGCAGAGCGCAGCATGCACCCATTTTACTGTGGATGTGTTGAGGTCACACACGAGGATAGATTTGGAGGGAATGAATCTTCTAGGTCACTAGGAGCGAAGAGAGTTACTGGTGAGATGACTGTGGAATTTCTCTTTCTTTCTTGTTGTGCTCCTCGATTGTGTATACCCTCAACGATCGCATTGATCTGTCTGCATTGCAACTCTACGCATGTAGGTGCCGAGCTGAAGAACGTTGTTAACCAGGCTGCCATCAAGGCGGCAATGGACAGCTCCAAGATTATTCGGCAAGTTCATTTCGACTTTGCCCGTGACAAAGTCTTGATGGGTAAGTACTGTTCTTGTTTGTGCTCGTTTGGAAGTTGCTGGCTGGTTTGGCGTTTTTCTGTGATAGGCTGTGCGTGTTCCCTTCGGTATGGTGATTTGTTTGCCCTGTGCTGCTGGTGTGTACTTCTCAAAGTACTGTAAAAGCCATTATTCTAATGAGGCGCATATATAACGATTTCCCAAAATTGACTAGTTTACGAGTACCAAAGGTAACGATTTTCACTCATTCTCAACGCTCAATAGGACAGTATATGTATCGATTTCTGTATAACGATTTCTATTTTAACGACAGATTTTTCCTCGTTAACTCGTTAGAGTTAGCACTTCGTTATATATATATGGCTTTTACAGTATCTTGACGGGCCTTGTGACACTGTGTGGACTGTGTTTTTAATGATATGTTTTGTCTGTCTTTGTGGCGCGTGCTTTGGTGTGCAGGCTCCGAGACACGGAGTCGCAAGCAGTCACAAACTGATCTCCGATGCACGGCCTATCATGAAGCCGGCCATGCGCTGGTTGGTCTTCTCTCCCCGGGTAAGTGACAGCGAGCATGTTTGTGTGGATGCCATGTTAACGCTGTGCCGTGTTTTGCTCGTGTTCTTCATGACCTGGATGCTTTGAAGTAGAACAGAAAGACTTGGCTGTGTGCTTTTCCGTCACTGATTATGATTGGACAGGCGTTGATTTACTTCTCTTTTAGTTTGTCCTGTAATGCTTGTACTTTCGGCAATTTGCTGTAGCGGAAGTTTCACTGCTGCTGGTAGTAAATCATTTAATTTTTCTCTACTTTCCTTTTCCTACTTAGACTGTGACCCGGTCTACAAAGCAACCATTGTACCACGTGGAAATATTCTCGGAATGGTATGTACCAAGTACCTGTCAGATGAATACGTTATGTATGCCACCGCTATAATATTACGGTTGTGCTGGGTGAAATCTGACCCAAACTTCACATTTGGCGCCCCAGTCTTGCACAGCCCCTGGCGCCCTGGAAGTGGTACGGGTAGTGCTGGACGTGCACATGTACAATACAGTGGTGTGTTGGGAACTGGTGCAGCTCCAGCTTGGCACTTTGGGTAGGAGATCACCTTTGCACAAGTTCCACAACTGTACATTCGAATAGTGTTAAGTTTCGTCTTCCCAGCTGCTTGGTGCTACCTGGTAAGGTGTTGTTTCTTTCTTGCCTCTCTTTTGGGATGGGGATGATCACAGGTACAAAACCTTCCAGATGAAGAGCGGGGCATGAATCAAACCAAGGACCAGATGAAGGCGAAGATGGCAATGTGCATGGGAGGCCTTGTGGGCGAGGAGATTGCTTTCGGGCCGAACGGCACCACAGGGGGTAAGTGGATCTGTCTGTCCGCGGATGTTCTTTTACCACAGCACATGCCTCCATCTGATTGATGGCCAGCTTTCGGGGAGTTGCTAGTGAAGTTAGTTATGGACACAGGGGAGGTTATGCTCTACATGACGGGAATGTAGCGCGAAGATTTGAGTACTTGCATTCTTGGCCTTCACGTATCACAACGGAGGTGTTCTGGGTCTAGTCTACCGTCACACAAAGAAATAGCGTGAAATGTGTACCAGGAATTTCCCGTTCCAAATGTAGCAGTTTTCTTACGACCTGCTCCAGTATACAAACAGATCTGTACGCATTTGTGTGGGTGCCACCAGGGATCCTAATCTCCGCGTAGAAATGTGGACCAAAAACACCAAGGTCGTAGATTCTATCCCAGACGAGACACCTGTTCTTGTTCTCTACGTTTCATGTGGAGCAGAGCCTATCTAATATCTGATTGATCGTTCCATACGACTGTCCGTGACGAAGATGTATGACTGTGTTACAGTGTATTGTATGACATGGTTCTTCTTGTTGTGCTTGTTTGTGTGTGCTTACATTTGCTGATATTAAAATTATAGTAATTTTGTTGCATTTTCATTGTTGTGTTGTAGGCGCTGGCAGTGACCTCAACACTGCAACTCGTATGGCCTATGCCATGATTACACAGATGGGCATGAGCGATAAGGTATGTGAGATGGGCATGTATTACTGTTATTCATGTCATCGTGTATTCGGATATAGGACTCAGGAGAGATTGCTCATCATTACCTTTATCGTAGCTTTCGACGGAGAGGGGTAAGGATCAAGAAGACTGAAAATCCATTCGTTGGGCGCTACCGCAAAGTGGGCACTTCCTATTTACTTTTTTGGGCGGGGTAAACAAATATTCTTGCACTTGGAGTAGTAGAGCAATTGTATTTTTTCTTAAAACCTTGTTCTGTGTGGATGTTGCTTTGTGAAGGTTGGTCGTCGGGTGGTGAATACCGGAGAAAAGGGTGTTAGCCAAGCATTACTGGAGACCGTTGATGATGAAGTGAAGGCGGCTGTTGATGTGAGTGTGATGCTTTGGAAATCTTGACAGATTGGCGAGTCCAGTGTGTTGTTTGCAGTCTTGCACTGGTGTATACAATGTGCCATTCATTCTATTGAGCTCCTATCCTATGCTATTGTCCAAATGAGCTTGCTGGGCGGTGTTTTGACCTCTTGCCAACCACCTTGCTTTACTTGATAGTCACCTGTACTGAAGTCAAGTACCAGATCGCCCTTATATTCAAACTCTATTGTCTCATATTTTCATGTTGTGCAGGAGGCTTACCAGCATGCCAAGACGGTCATTTCACAAAACCAGGCCAAGCACAAAGCTCTGGCCGAGGCCTTGCTCAAGTACGAAACACTGACCAGCGATGAGATGCGGGACATCATCGCTGGCAAGAAACTCAACAGGACTATTTGAAAATGATACTGAACTTGTCCATCGTGCCAGCTTCAGCTTGTCACACTTGTACATATTCATGCTCTTCCGATTCACAGAAACTAAACTTCACCCAAAAATAGAACCTAGCACTCGTTATCACAGGCTTATGATATGCTTTCCTTGCTGGCTTTTCTCTTCTTCTTTTCGAATTTTCCCTCGTCGGCTGGTCCAATCTGAATATAATTTTGTTTGCATGCAATTTTCCCCTGCATTTCCTAGACGCATGCACTGACATTCTTTAGTCATGCTCTCTGCCATCTTCATGCGATGTTACTGACATCACACCAAACACACATGCACAAACAGCAGATTGTTTGAGTCTATAGCTTGTTGACATTCTTGATTTGTTGGTCTGCTCCAGGTTTTTTTTTAGCTTGCTGTACGTATCACAACTTCTTCGCAAGACACATGATTGAGCGACAGAAATGCAAACATCCGAAGCAAATTATTATAAATTTTCATAATAATGATAATAATTAAGTGTGTACATGTCCAGCGTGTTTTGGAAGTACGGGCGTCATATAAAGTATGTTTCGTGATTGACCAAGTTTTCAGTTCTTGATAGAAATTAGAATGGTGCTATTAGGAGGCTAGTGGCTTGAGGCGGTTGGCTGCACGTGAAGCAGATTGGTCTTTCCTCCAGACCTCATAGAACACCCAGCTGAATGCTACAAGTCAAGGAAGAACACGTTTATCAGATGCAGGACAGAAGCCAACAGTACTGTACAACCCAAGGTAGAGAACTTACTTGACGATGACATGTTCAAAATTTATCTTACAATGCTTCCCCTCCCGCCCGTAAGAATGCTGAAGCGACGCTATGCCACCTTCCAACCCACAATCATTCTGAAAACCACTTCACGCGAAGAAACATTCGAATGTGTTCTGATATTGTCCGGATAGAAGATCCAATACATGGCACGCTGTTCAAATATGCCAAACGGAGATGCGAGCTAAAACGAGGGGACAACGAGAAGAAACTAACAGCTGCAGCACCTAAAAGAGAAACAATGTGCACCTGCATGTAGGCTAATGGGTAATGACGGTGGAATCTACATCACAGCTCCTAAAAAAGAAAGTACACAGAATTAAAAAGCAAGAATCTCAATTAATTCGAACAGGCTCTAAAGCTTATACACAGCAAGTTGGTTATATATATACGGTGACGATAACCGCATATGCTTGCGAGAAAAAACTGTACAGCCAACAGCCTAGAGTAGCAATGACGAGAGTAAGACGAAAATATCAGTAGTACACAGATGAAGAGCGTATCACAACTATTCAAGACGGCTGCAAAACGGACAGGAAAATGCTAGGTTTGTCAGGCAAAAAGGTCATGCACGCACAATGCAAACATCCACTAATGTTCAGTCGAGAGCCATCAGCATCATACAGAGGATTCGCGCTTGCGCAGCTCCTCCGGTGCCTGAACCGGGTCCTTCATGCGTTCCAATGCGTCTCTGATCTTTGCCGACTCACTGATGAGTTCGTTGTACTTCTCGACGGGGAAGTCTGATTTCTTGAACGATTTGTGCAGGTTGAGCAAGAAGTTGCGATCACGGGCCGCCGGGAAAGTATAGTCTTCCCGTGTGAGGACAAAGTAAGCGTAGCAGAAGATGGCAGTACCGTACGTTACAAAATACGTGACTGGTTCCATGATATCCCAGCTGTACTCCCACCACGTGAGCCGAGCTAGCAAGCCGAATTGAGCACCCATGAATCCCAGGCCTCCCCACACCATAACATTGTTGCGGGTGCGCGCCTTTGCTGCCAGATCTTCGTATGTGCTGTGCAATGGATTCAGCTCAGAGTCCACCTCAGACAGGCGAGTTTTCAGCGACTCCTGATGAGTCTTATCAAATTCAGCAATTTTTAGTGCTGTGTGCAGTCGAGACACTAAGGACCGTACGTCGTCCAGATGCTCAACGCAGTTACGAACTTCTTCTGGCACAGTCACAGGAAAACTGGCACCATCCAGCTGGATAACGAAATCTGACCGAAGCAGAATTCCCGTCGTTGTTCCATCAGCCAGAACCTCTCCCTCTGACGTTCGAATTGACACGACATCGATAGATTTATCCTGAGCTTTGATTTCTTGAACCAAGTCGGAGACTTTATGCGTCAACGGAGGGCAGGCAAACATGCACGCATCATCCGAGCCTGGAAGACGTATTGTTACTGACGGAACGCCAGCGCGCAGAGAAACTGTAGCCGCAGAAACAGCATGACGAGCTGCCGATGCTGAGAAACAGCGAGCAGACAAACTTGCTTGTGTCTGAACCGCACCACGGAGCACACCGGGAAACCTCAGAAGCGAGCGTGCAGCAAACATCTCCATGACCTTTCCGAAATTACACCTCGATAGGGGAGCAAAGTAATGACCAAGGAGTACCACTAGCTAGATCGTTGTTCCGTCAGCTTTACTTCTCCTCGCCACTGCCTGAAATTTCTGAAATACTAGTAGCACTGCCAATATTTCAAGAGGGTGCAGGTGGCTGAACACAGGCGATCATCGAGCATGAGATGCTTCAAAATCCTTGGATCAAAAATACATGCAAAGCAGTCCCGTCCCAATCACGAAAAAAAAGAGAAAAGATTGAAGAAAAAGTAGCGAAGCCAACGAGGCCGCGAACAGCAAGATCAAGATTTCCAAGAAGCAGGACAACAACTGAACAAGTACCGGTAAGCTGACTTGTCATGATTGTGTGAAGATGTTCTACACTGTCTAATAAAAAACAAGCCCTTGCTTGTTCAAGCATGCAGTGGAGGCTTGACCTCGCTGGTAGGAAGTGGGCAAATCAAAGCTGCCAAAACTGAGACATAGCAAAGAAGATACGTGAATGAATCAAGCCACATCAGTACACTTTATCTACTCGGATGCACATGCAGTATTGCTCAATGAAATCCGAACGCATGAGTCGAGTACACACTGGGCGCTTTGCAGCCTAGACCTAGTACCTGCGAACACGGGGATGTTCACGGGCGCAGGGCGCAAACTAGACTCACCCGACTGGATTACATTGAGCAGCACAGTACATGCACAGCCGAGGGCAGGGAGTCACTGCACGTTGGGAAACAAAAGGACGGAAAGTGCCACGGGCACGGGGACATATGATATTATCGACTATGGAAGCTGGCAAGGTGTACAATTCGGTGAGCCCTGAGTAGACCAGTCTGTGTATGGTGCAGGTATACACACCTGTCAGTCCATGAGACGGCTGAGAACTTGCCCTTCACGTCTTGTCTTATCACAGAGAAACGCGCACGGCAAATCAGCATAAATTACGGAAACAATAAGATGGTGGAAAACGCAAGCTGGTGATCGCTGGCTGGATAATCGTTGCCTACATGAAAGCAACTTTCCCGTCAAATTCATCCAGCAGGATACGCACCTATAGTGCACACAGAGGTCACTGCACCGGCAGGGACGACTCTCCAGTTGGAAAATTAGCCAGAAGGTGGTCGTGATGTCCCCAGTTACACTGAGCACTTCTATTGTTATGGTAACACGTGGATTTTGGTCCTTACTGTATTCGTAGTAGTTTTTAGGGTGCGTTTGGTTGGTACGATCTAGAACAGGATCGAACAGCTGGTGCACATGGAGCAGCCTCATGACAACCAAACGGTACTCCAGAAACAGAGCACATTTTTGTGGAAACATGTGCCAAACTTGGTGCGCGCGCGTGCATCCTTCAAAATGTGTATGGGTCACCATGGTCACTTTGTACGGTACAACGAGTCCAACCCAAAAGCGTATGCACGTGATCATTTGGGACCAAAATCGATGTTCCCGCCAGGTTTCACTGTGAAAAAGTGAAACTGCTCGGTCTGCTCCGGCCTCGAGGCTGGAGCAAGCAGAACATGTTCTGGCCGACCCAGAACAGGTGCAGTCCCAACCAAACGCGCTGTTCTGGTGAATCCTGTTCTAGTTCGTACCAACCAAACGCGCCCTTAGTGTACAGCATCCATGCTGGATTTGCTCCCTATTAGGGGTGAAACGATTAGTTCGAATATTCGAGTATTCGTTCGAAAATTTCAAACGAGCGAGTATTCGAAATTTTGCACTCGATCGTTTTTTTCTTTTTTTTTTAGTATTGGCATTGTATTTTTCAAAAACTTTTGATGTACCGCTGGTCCACTGGTATGCACGCGTTATGCATGGCTTTGAGTCAGTATTTTAAGACTTGGACGATGCGATCACCACGGCAAGTAACGTTCTGAGATATGAAAGTACTGATGAAAATCGTTACTTTATACTCTGTACAAGACGTTGGCGACTTTTGTTCTATGTTCACAGATAATTTCTTCCGAATTGGCGAGAACTCGCAAATTTAGTGCTTTTGAATTTTGATAAAATACTCGAAATAATCGGATACTCGATCGAATATTATGAACGAGTGATCGATTGGTCAAAATAGATACTCGTTTCACCCCTACTCCCTATATTTTTTAAAGAATAAGCCAGTCGCTTTACACTGGAACAAGCACACATATTGATATTTGGTTCTGTACCGCATGCATGTACTTTGCAGTACGACACTATCGAATAATGCTGAAAGAACACAGTAAACACAGCAACCCACACCAACCAAATGAAAAACACAAACCGAGGTACTAGTATTCAACTCGACCGTGAGGATACAGTTCGTTGTAGGATGGCACACACACTGTGTTTGTGGAGAACTGGACGTTGTGGGACAGTTTCGCTAGCTCACCCTCGTACATAGCCAGGGCCGACTTTGCACAGAAGCTGTTTCCCTGCAGCATGAAGAAGGCAAGTGAAAGGAGACAAAAAAGGGACAGATACTTTTAACTACTTTTACTGATACAAGAAGAAAGGTCAAGAGCAGCACTCGGCTTTCCAAATCCAATTTAATTTGAGCCACCACACACCACCCATGCGCTCTCTCGGAAATCTCACTTTGCTGGTGATGTGCTGCATTACGTATTACTATTAGGGTCGGCAGAGAAAGAGATAGATAGATAGATATGGCGTTGGAAAATTATTTTTCATTGCTATCAGGTTCGGCCTCATTTTCTCTGTGCTGCGCTGATGAGTTCACAAAGGATGAAACAGTTCTGTCCGCAGATTGAGTAGATAGATAGATAGATGGATAGATAGATAAATAGATAGATAGATAGATAGATAGATAGATAGATAGATAGAGAGAGAGAGAGAGAGAGAGAGAGAGAGAGAGAGAGAGAGAGAGAGAGAGAGAGAGAGAGAGAGAGAGAGAGAGAGAGAGAGGCCAATGGCGGTAGTGCGGTGCTTGCAGTGGAATCAACTCAAGCCCTTAGTTAAAAAAAAGGTAAGTGAATGTCTATCCAGGGCACTTTATACCGGGTTTCACTGTACAGTGTTTGTTGGTACGACCAAGTCACCCCGCAGATCTCCACTAGTAACTTGCTCAGTTAGACCAAGACATGAATAACTAAAGTAGTAGAAGGAGTACATAACCTTGGGTAGTAGTAAACCTAGGTGCTGTTGTGCACATGTCTGTACTGTTCCCCGGCCCTCAGTTACCTCAGCCTGCTCATGACTACTGTGTGTTGTGTCCTGTTGATGTCCCTATTCATAACTGCTGCATTGCCTTTCATACTACGCCCGCTGGTTTGAAGTGTTGTGCACAGTTGCATGACCTGTAGCTTCTTACTCATATTACAATAGACTAGAGATTCCATCTGCTGTGTGCTAGTGCCAGCTCCATCTGCTTAGCCATTGATATCATGCTCGATCTCACCTTTTCCCATGGTAGCTACGTAGACGTAGACGTAAGACGTAGATCCACGCACGTTCATTAGATGACCATCATCTGCAACTAGGTAGTACTGCTTCGCACAATCCGAGTGGTGGTTGTGGTTTTCTTTCTCTTTGGCTGTTTCTGTTACTACCAGGTAGTAGCTAGCCTTTTTGAAGTATTGCAATCAGTTTGCAATGGATACAGTCTTCTCCTAGTGATAATATTCTATAAACCTCAGACTCTGTGTTGTGAGTGAGAATACCGGCGCAAACATTGGTCCTTCGAGCCGGATCGCGAATGGCGGAGGAACAAAGAACGAGTGCTCGTTCAACCAAGGGAGTTGCTCCCCTGGGGTTTGAGGACGAAGAGAGTGCGACCAGTCCAAGAACCAGCTTCAACAGGCAGACACCATCGCTCGCATCAAGCCGCACGTCAGGAAGTGCGTCATCAGTGATGGAAGCAAGGTGCGCCCTGCTAGAAGCGAGAAAGAGGGTCGCAGAGGCGGAGGCTGACCTGGCCAGCTTGAATCCCGAGAGGGCGTCCAGACGCTCTGGCACCCCGAAGTCTTCATCGCCCGCGATGAGAGAGGAAGTGTTCGAGGAAGAGCGACGATCTGAAATGCAAGCGCCCACAGCTGCAAATGGCAGCGATGAGGTGAGCGTGTTGTACCCTGCTAAATCTGTACAGTCAGGGCAAACTAGTCACCCGGACTTGATAGACCTGAGTGCAGATAGTGTCCGTGACCCACGTACACTCAAGTCCCGTTCTACAAGCGGTAGGACAGTAGAGCGACTTCAAGGAGTTGGCAAAAACTCAGTTTAGTGTCAGACTCAGTAAGTACCGGTACACAGCGCATGGAGCAGGTAGAGCAAGGTACTAGTGCCTCTTCACAGAGTCTTCACACATTCCGTACAGCGTGGCAGAACACGCAGATGACACACCGCTAGCTCTAGCGCCACCAGCGCTCCAAACACTGCACGGTAGTCCTGAACCTGTGAATCTCCCTGAGCAGTCAGCTGTAACCTCACACAATGCACAGTCACAGGCCAACGAAGACGCACTCAGTCACGCATACCGGATGATTGATTGCCTGCAGCAAAGTTTACAACAGTCCGCTGACGAAAGTCATGAGAAGGATCTTGTCGTGCAACACCTTCAGTCTGAATTGCGGCGAACACGTCGCGAGCTAGACCTCCACAAGAGCACAGTTCAAGCTGAGAACAGCGACTTGTATGATTGCAACACCGAACTGCGGGCTGAACTCGACAAGATGAAGCGCGTATCGGAGCAGCGCAAGGTAGAGTTCGAGGCGATGGCCTGCCAGAGACAGCGGTCACGTGAAGAACTCCAGGAGATCAAGGAGCAGGCTGCGCGCGCGGAGGGTGACAAGGATCACCTACGTGAACTCCTGAGTGAAGCCAGGCAATCTGCGGAGCAGCAGCAAAGGACAGCTGACCAGTGGCGCCAGCTGTTCCTAGAGGAATGCGCAGCGCGAGGTAGCCCTGCAGACCGGGCAGTCAAACAGAGACGTGATACCGTGACTGACACGAGTAGGGCTCCTGGTAACGATGCTCGATTCCACGCCGTCCACGAGTACGAGCCTCGACCTGCAGAACTCCGAGGAGCGAAGTCTGTGGACAAGCCACCGTCATACCACCGCCGGACCCCAGCTGAGCACCACCAACCCGTCCCGAAAGATACTGAGGATGTGGAGTCCCTTGGCGACAAGGCTGAGCCGACACAACACCTGCCGCCCGCAGCACGCGCTAGGGACCAGCCAATCGCAGATGAAGAGCACACCCCGGCCCAGGCCGCCCAGACTTCAGTGGTGACAGCTGTCAGTCAGCTCGCGGAAGCCTTGGCCGGACACCTGACGACAGCCACGCAGAGACATGGCTCCCAAGATACTGGCAGCGACCTTCACAAGATAGTCGCCCGACAGTCCACCGCAAAGGACCTCCCAGAGTTTAACGGCGACCCGGCGTCCTGGCCGATGTTCCGCCATATGTTCACGTCATCGACGAGCGAATGCAAATTCTCCAATGCGGAGAATATGGCCAGGCTACAGAAAGCCCTCAAAGGGAAGGCTAAGGACACCGTCAAAGCCATGCTCATTGTACCTGATAACGTCGATCGTGTCATGCAGACTCTGGAAATGCGGTTCGGGCAGCCAGAGCAGGTGATACAGACCATAATTGATGGCGTCAAGAAACTGAAGCCAGCTGGAGAAGAGGACTTTGAGGCCCTCATCGACACGGCAAATGCGGTCGGCAACCTCGTCGCAACAATGCAGCTCATGAACGATACCGGACATCTCACAAATCCCACCCTGCGGCAGGAAGTGATCATGAAACTTCCCAACAGCCTGAAGCGGCAATGGGGGGGAGTTCGTCCATACCCAACAGACCGGAGTGACCCTGGCAACACTCTCCGAATGGCTATCACAACGAGCGGACGCTATCAGCCACATCAGAAGACTCACCGCCACTGACAGAGCTGAAAAGCCGCCATCTGGCAAGCGATCAGGCGGCCTCCGTGGGAACACCTTCACCGCACGAGAAGAACAATGTGGTTTCTGCAAGAAAGCCGGGCACTCCGCTGCCAACTGCAACACCTTGAAGAAGGCCCTAGTCAAGGACAGGTGGAAGTGGATCAAGAATGAGAACCGCTGCTTCGTCTGTTTTGGCTGTGGACACCAAGTCAGGGACTGCCCGAAGAAAGCACGGTGCGGACGTGACGGGTGCGAAAGGCTACACCACCGACTCCTCCATCTGCCGCAACCGATCACGCAGGAGAGGACGGGGGACCAGCCAGCGCCGTGCAACGCAACTCGACGACCTAACAGTGGGAGGGTGATGCTGCGCACAGTACCCATCAACGTCACAGGCACGAAGGGGATGGTCCACACGTTCACTCTGCTCGACGAAGCATCTACAGTCACGTTGCTTGACGCTAGCCTAGCCAAGGGGACGCACTGCCCGCTGACACTGACCTGGACGGACGACACCAGCCAGACTGACAACAACTCCAGGAAGGTGGAGGTTTCGGTGTTCGGAAGCGGGCAGGAGTTCTACCTGAATGATGTACGAACCGTTACACTGGATCTACCCAAGCAAGACCTCGACGTCAACAGCACCTGCCAGCACTGGAAACACCTCCGAGACGCTGATCTGACAGTGGAGGATATGCAGAAGCCCAGAGTGCTCATCGGGCAGGACAATTGTGACCTGATCATGCCCCGAGAGTGGGTCGAGGGACCGCCCGGATCGCCGGTAGCCAAGCGGTGCAAGCTAGGCTGGGCAATCCACGGCAGAGTCGATGACCTCAGCACCGAAAACGCCCACAGCAGCCTGTCAGCGCAAATCAAAGATGGCTGCTTCGATGACGACCTACATCTGCTCGTCAAGTCTTTCTTCACCACAGGCTCGTTTGGTGTCAAGGTCACCAGCACTAAGATCCGGTCCCGACAGGAAGCGCGAGCTGAGAGGATCATGGAATCGACCACCAGACGAGTCGGAGACCGCTGGGAAACCGGACTCCTGTGGAGAGAAAGTGGCATACTCCTACCAGAGAGCAAGTCCATGGCCCTCCGGCGGCTGTTCTCCATCAAGCGAAAGATGGACAGGGATCAAGTCTTCGCTGACGCGTACTGCAGTAAGATCGAACAGTACCTGGCTGCCGGTTATGCCTTCAAGCTGACACCAGAAGAGGAGACAGCATTCCACGAGCGCAAGTGGTACCAGCCGCACTTTGGTGTCACGAACCCGAACAAACCAGGGAAGCTGCGACTAGTCTTCGACGCGGCAGCCTCAAGCAACGGCATGACCCTAAACGACGCCCTGGTTCCAGGTCCGGATCTGCTGAATTCTCTCACCGGCGTTCTATTCAAGTTCAGGGAGCACCGTATTGCCTTCGGCGGCGATATACAGCAGATGTTCCACCAGGTTCAGATTCGGGAAGGAGATCAACCATCCCAACGCTTCCTTTGGCGAGGCATGAAACGTGACAGAGAGCGGGACGCGTACCAACTGAAGGCGATGACGTTCGGAGCGGTATGCTCGCCTGCCTCAGCCCAGTTCGTGATGCGGAGGAATGCTGAGGAGTTCAGGGACAACCACGAAGAAGCTGTCTACGCAATCAACCATCAAGCACCTGGCGAATTTGATGAGGCTGAGCTGTGCATGAGGAAGCAGTGGCGGATTGTGCAAGTGCTAGCCGATCACTTCTGGAGGAGGTGGCTGCGTGAATACCTGCCGACGTTGACGAAGAGGACGAAGTGGCATCAGCGACAACAGAAAGAAGTCAAGGTCAATGACATAGTCGTGATTGCCGACAGAGACCTACCCAGAGGCAGCTGGCCGAAAGGTACCATTACGGCCGTCTATCCCGGCGCCGATGGACATGTCAGAGTGGCCGACGACAAGACAGCGTCCGGGACATACCGCAGGCCGGTGTCAAAGATCTGTGTGCTGGACGTTCTGAATGAGGGTGACGCTTGAAGACGTCACCGGGGGGAGGATGTTGGTACGACCAAGTCACCCCGCAGATCTCCACTAGTAACTTGCTCAGTTAGACCAAGACATGAATAACTAAAGTAGTAGAAGGAGTACATAACCTTGGGTAGTAGTAAACCTAGGTGCTGTTGTGCACATGTCTGTACTGTTCCCCGGCCCTCAGTTACCTCAGCCTGCTCATGACTACTGTGTGTTGTGTCCTGTTGATGTCCCTATTCATAACTGCTGCATTGCCTTTCATACTACGCCCGCTGGTTTGAAGTGTTGTGCACAGTTGCATGACCTGTAGCTTCTTACTCATATTACAATAGACTAGAGATTCCATCTGCTGTGTGCTAGTGCCAGCTCCATCTGCTTAGCCATTGATATCATGCTCGATCTCACCTTTTCCCATGGTAGCTACGTAGACGTAGACGTAAGACGTAGATCCACGCACGTTCATTAGATGACCATCATCTGCAACTAGGTAGTACTGCTTCGCACAATCCGAGTGGTGGTTGTGGCTTTCTTTCTCTTTGGCTGTTTCTGTTACTACCAGGTAGTAGCTAGCCTTTTTGAAGTATTGCAATCAGTTTGCAATGGGTACAGTCTTCTCCTAGTGATAATATTCTATAAACCTCAGACTCTGTGTTGTGAGTGAGAATACCGGCGCAAACAGTGTTACTAGAGAATACATCCAGGGCTGTTGAGCAGTAATGCAATACTGGAAACATCAGTACAGTGTAGCGCTACTATACTGGTGACACAGCTAAACGTAGTGCACTGACCTGTGTGTAGTACACACCATCAGGCTTCAATGCTTGGAAGGACAAGTCCAAGATGAGGCGCATGAAATCCCAGAAGTCACCTGTGCACGGAACGACGCAACAAGAGAAGACATGGAACCGAACCATATACGGTAAGTCTCCTATCGTTGCAAACACACAAGACCATGTACAACATTCCCTTCCCTGACCTGGGCTGTACAACCTTGCTGAGGCAGCCCCTGAGCCATCACAGCACTACAGAAGAATATGTGCAGTGTACACAAACAAGATATGAGAGGCTGTTTCCGCTGTCCCTTCAAATCCCATGTACCAAGCGAAAGTCACGCAGCATCAGTGTGTGTGTGTGCATGTGCGTGCATGCGCATGTGTGTGCATGTGTGTGTGTGCACAAGCAGAAGAACACATGCATGCCTATGTCACAAAGTATGTGCTGTGCTCCTTGTGAACAAGCTGAACAAGTGCCAACACGCTGTTTGAAGGCATGCCTGTAATGTCAAGACTGAGAATAGGAAGTACCACAGCTACCACTACATAGAGCCAAACAGTTCCGCTCATTGTTTTGCCCCCTACCATTGGGTGACGTGGAAATGGGTATAGCCGTTAAATCATTGATTACAAAGTCAAAATGGTTGCCGCTTTCAATGTGCTGCTTCAGCGCTGGAATACAATCTTCTACGCGCACCTGGACACCAACACAACAATAACGAGCCATATGCAGTTCTTTTAAAACGACGACATTCTTCTAAATGAAAACACTAAAACCAGTTAATACTATGTCTGTGTGGACATGAACACTTGCAGTGCGGTGATCAGAAAAAGAATCCAAAGAGGCGAGAGCAATACAACAGTTCTGAATAATGAAGGATACGCGTAACCACTGCAATCCAAACCCTGCGTTCGCCGACGGCCACAGAAAGCTGCATCACCCGTTTGTGCACACTCAAAACACAGCACCACACGCCGTGTATTAACATACCTTGTAGTTGCTGCCCTCTAGCGAGTCCATGGCAGTACCACAGATGCCACGCAGGTGCTTGATAGCACCATCGATTACTACCTGATCGATGTAAACACCGCTGGTCAAGTCAGTAACGTGAAAGTACACAATACGATTTGCCAAGCCTCAACAGAAAGTAGCGTAACGACAGCGCAACGTGAACACCATTCCTGCGGAGCAGCTGCACTCCTGCAATCAGCTGAAAGCCTACTGCAGAGATGATGTATGCCGTGCATGTTGTACTGCAAGCTGTACATGCACTATCCCAACGTGCGTCGCTAACATGGAGAATTTTTCACTTCAATATCCAGTTTACGAGGACTAATGTTGGCCGAATGTAGTAAACTCACTATGCCTAAGAACGAGACCAGAACACCAGAAGACCCGCAGTTTGGGTAGGACCAAAGGCTGCGGTTCCAGAGGCAATCACACTGAATGCTCATGCAAACAAAGAAACCACACATAGGAAAAAGGCTGCCTCGGTCAACCCTGAACATTTCCCTACATCTTCTCGAACCATTCCCATCAGTAGATACATGGGAGTGAAGTACAGCAAGTCAAAACCAAGCATTATTATACAATTTAAAAAATTATCGTTTCCCAAATCCTTGGTACATTTGTACAGTTCCGACCCAAAGTGCAAAGCTGGCGCCCTGGACCAGTTCCGATTACATCATTGTATGTGTACATGTGTACGCTCAGCCGCATTCATTCCATTTCGAGGGCGTCAAGGGCCGTGGAAGTTGAGGGCGCCAGCTTTGCACGTTGGGTCGGATTTCAGTGAGCGCAACTGTACATATGTACATGTACTGGTGAACTATGAAGAGGATATCTCGACCATTTCTACGTAGGCTGGCTCGTATTTCAACAGCTGATTGAGAATTCCACCATCGCCACCACCTGGATTACACATGAAGAACAAACAAGGCAGCATTCCCTGATGAAGACCCAAGGGCGAACATTAGGAGACAATCATATTTACGATGGCAGTGTAAGACTGTGGTGGTGAAGGAGATTGAGACATGATTGATTGGTTGCAGTGGAGCCGCCGCATATTGAAGAAGACAGCAGTAGCCTCTAGCAAAGTTCTACGGAGCAAAGCCAGCAGGAAACAGCACAGACAGTTATTTCAAGCATACGCAGCAAAGCCAGCCGCAGCACACACCAAAGACAGAAGCAGCATTTGAGCAGTTCACCTACCGAGAATCAGGACCCGTTTTCCTTTGTAGGACTCGACACCTTCGCCGATGATGGCCTGGGTGTAGGCCAAGTCGGACTCAGCCAAGTCTACGCACAAAAGCACATTTCGCATTAACAACAAGCTGTCAAGTGATGTAGCACAAACATGATCAAGCTGGGCTATTGTGTACATAGGCGCATTGTCCCTGTTATCTTAGTTAGTGGCGGGTCATACTTCTCGATCAAGAATACATGCACATTTATGTGCTGCAGTAAGATAAGCCAGGGGGGGGGGGGGGGGGGGGACGAGAGAACCACTCAAAGACATGAAACATAACTATGATGCAGTAAGTGCTTACTCGACCACAGCAACATAACATGCAAATGGGCAGCTGGAATAAGCTTGAGCACACCTAGAGATGCAGCTGTCCTCATCTATGCATATACAGTACAACTTGGGTGCTCATACATGCACATACACACACACGCAAAAGGTAAACACAGTGACACACACACACACGTGTGCACCTGCACATACATACACATGCGCACCTTCACACACACACACACACACACACACACACACACGTGCACACCCACGTGCACACGCAGACACACACACACACACACACACACAAACACACATACACGTGCACACCCAGGCGCAGACACACACACACACATGCACGCGCGCACACACGCGCGCACGCACACACACACACACACACACACTTTATCAGTCCCTTACTCATATCACCATCAAGTACAAGACAGTTGCCATACTGGCCAGACTTGTAGATTTTTACATTCTGGAACGCAGAGTCTTGCTCAAATACCAGCCTAAACAGAACCAAAATGAAACACCACACAGACACACCCACATAGACACACAGACCCACACAGAAAACAGACAGACACACGAACACACACACACACACACACACACAACACACACACCCATGTCCATGAATGTACAAACACAATACAGCTGTTCGGCTATCATCGCCTCTGGCGATGGGCGTGAAATGGTTAATTAAATGGTGGGTGGGGGGAGTGCTGTGCTGACGCCATTACACCGACACTTTCTGCCCTGCACGTACCGAAGCCATTGTGCATGGCTAATGGCCCATTCTGCATAGCACGCACTAAGAGATGAGAACATACCGCGAGGCTGTGCAATCACAAGCATCCACTGACACGCCCTAACTGCCACCACTTACTCCGAATAGTCGTATTCAATCCAGCGCTTATCGACTGTGGGCATGTATGCACCATCACTGGCCCCACCGTCACCGTGACGAATCACAGGGAATCTGCACAATCACAGTATGCATACAAACAAAACAGGTACAACATCATGTGTGGCAGATAGACATTGATTAATCTCACGCAGTTATTTTTCCAAACACAGTATCCGGACATTGTGAACAAAGAAAGTTCAACGAATGTCAAAAATTCCGTGACAGCACACATTCTAACCACGTGTGACCGGGAAACGTGATGGTGATGATACAGTGTACATTCACTCAACAACAACTGGTTTTGCCACATAACAGGGAAGATCCCGTCGTCAATACCCGCACAGGGTCGATTCCATGTACTGTGCAGGCAGCCCACCACATGTTTGGTGACAAGGACGCTTACCGACTTCTGTTGAACTGTGTGCAGCTCAGAGTTTGACCAAGTTCCTCTGCCAGTGCATCTAAAGCCTGGAGGACAAGACGCACCAACACCATACCAACACATCAGAACGTGTTGAATTCACAGCAGTACAAATCTACAATCACGTGTAAGATCACAGGCATGTTCCAGACGTGTCAGCCTCGCTCTGCACGTCAAGGATGTACAAGTACATAGCCAGCTAGCAGAAACAACGCTGAATAGATACCTAACACTACTGGTGCCAGGTACAGCAGCACATCTCTTGCATTGTCAATTGACTGTGGTGCTGTCATACATGTATTCGTTAGGCTCTACATGTATTTCTCTTGCCAAACTGTTCAGCATGCTATTGTCACGTCCCTGGAAGTGAAACTGCTGCCTGATAGTCCTGTGACAGCAGGATCTACGTAGTGAGCAGCTCTGCGCTGAGCTGTCACGTCCTTTTTTGATACAGCGTGGTTTGGCCAGTGTCTTGTCCCACGTGCTTAGCGTGTAAGTTGAGCGACACGCGCTTTCCCACGTAGGTGCCATCCCTTCTTGGCATGGCACATCATGTGACCCAATGCCGGAATCTTGTCAGGTAGGTTCTCGCATTGTACGTTTCCTGGAACTGTTTCACTTCCTGGAAATGTGACTCCAGGCTTTGTGCAAAACCACGTCACTACGACGTTCTACAGGTCTCCACGATGCCTCGGCGCTTCGTGCAAAGAGTCAAGACTAACATGACAAGAGCTAAGTGCAAGAGAGGAGACGTGTGCGAGAACCAAAACCGTCACCGCGCAAGAGGTCAGAGTATCACGCAAGCAAGACCAAGAATGCTGCAGAACTTACCCATAAGAAGCCGCTGAACAATGGCACGTTGGGTGAGCGGTCTCCCCAACGTGACCCTCATATATGCACATTTTACGCATGGCGTATGTGAGCGGGCTCCTCACGTCCCTTTTGGTCTTTCTTCTCTCCGTGTCTTTCTTTCTCTTTCTTCTCGAATGATTACCGTGCGTGTATTCTGCTTTCCTGCTGACTGGCGGCGCATATTCCGGTTTTACCTGTTCTACTATTTCCTGGAATTACCTTGCACCATTGTAAGCAATAATCACGCCATATCTCTAAAATACCCTATAAAAGAAGCTCTCAATCTCTCTTTTACTTCAGTCGAGACTCGGTCTCAGCTCTCAGTCTTGGTTTTACTTTGAGCTTGGATTTGAATTACTACTGTAAAACCCATATATATAACGAAGTGCTAACTCTAACGAGTTAACGAGGAGCAATCTGTCGTTAAAATATAAATCGTTATACAGAAATCGATACATATACTGTCCTATTGAGCGTTGAGGATGAGACAGAATCGTTACCTTTGGCACACGTAAACCAGTCAATTGTGGGAAATCGTTATATATGCGCCTGGTTAGAATAATGGCGTTTACAGTACTCACAACGTGAAAACTAACAGCCTTTGTCTGTTGATCGTGTGGGGTTGAACTTGGACCAAGCCAGCTATACTGGTTGGCCCCTGGGTTGTGCTAGGTTCGTCGTGAGACGACACGTCTATTTGTTCGCCGCTTGCAGTGTTTTCTGGGTCCGGTCACTGAGCGCAGGGATGCGACATTATCACCAGTGGGAACTTGTCACCTACCAAGCATAGTCGAAAAACGTGACAACGTGCCTACATGTACTTGCAAGTCGGCTGCGCTCAGCAGAAAGCTGATCTGCATGTGAACAAATACTACAGTCGTGCTCAATGAAATCTAATCTCGTGACTACAAACAAAATTAATCATAGGTTTGATAGTGCAAGGCGCTAGTGCATGGCCCAGCGTCTGCAGGTCTCAGGCTGCACATTGCCCAGTGCTAGATGACTCATACAACTGGATTTCACTGAGCAGCAGTGTACTACTGTTGTGGACTTTGAAATCCGGTAGAATGACCGGGGCCGGCGCCGTTAGTACACACACACACACACACGCACGCACACACGCACACACACACACACGCACACACACACACACGCACACACACACGTACACACGCACACGCACACACACACACGCACGCACACACACACACGCACGCACACACACGCACACACACGCGCACACACGCACACACACGCACACACACACACACGCACACACACACGCACACACACACACGCACACACACACACGCACACACACGCACACGCACGCACACACGCACACACACACACACACACACACGCACACACACACACACACACACACACGCACACACGCACACACACACACACACACACACACACACGCGCGCGCGCGCGCGCACACACGCACGCACACACACACACACGCACACACACACACACACGCACACACACACACACACACACACACACACACACGCATACACACACACACACACACACACACACACACACATACACACACACACATACACCCACACGCACACACGCACACGCACACGCACACACACACACACACACACACACACACACACGCACACACTTGTACTTGTTGCACACTGCCAAAACTGGTCACGTGGGTCTCCCCGGGAGAGGGGAGAGAGACTCAAAAGGAATCTTGGAAAGATGACTCAATTGGCTATTGAACCGCCCAACGGCCGACACCCCCTGAAATCCCCAAAACTCTGGGTGGACTTGAAAATGATCCCACTTATGGGCTCACCACACCTCAGTAAGTGGGTGAGGACAAGGTGCAGAAAAAGGATTGACGGCATCAGGGTATCCGTCCTGGGATCCAACTGCAGTTACCCCTGCCCCTAGTGAAGGTAATACGTGCTACTAGTGTGGGTGGCTAAATCAGAGTGGATCTGATATTAGCTTCACTAGCACCATTGATTACACAAGAGTTAATCTAGCCAGAAGCAGTCCATGGTTAACAGGTATGTATACTTCAAATAGAAAGTATATGAACCCTGGAACCAACAAAGGTGGCAGGTACAACATTACACCTTCAAGTAGCCGAGACAGTTGGCAACAGACTCAACACAATCAGGCATAAGTGTACCCACCAACCGAACTAGCTGACGCACACACACACACACACACACACACACACACACACACACACACACTGTAGTTAACGTACACACTGCAAACATGGATCAGCAGTTTAGCACGCAACAGAGTCACATGACAGTGTACCGTATGCGTACCCACGGCGGCAAGGCCAGCGCCCTGTGACCGCTTGACTTCCCATCGGATTTCAATGTCCACAACAGCAGTGCTAACAGCTAACGGTGAAGTTCACTGCTGCTCAATGAAATTCAATCGCGCTAGTCAAGTGCGCACCGGGCGCTGTGCAGCCCTAGCTAGACCTGCAAACACTGGGATTTTCACTCGTGCAGGGCGCAAAGCAGACTCACTCGTGCAGGGCGCAAAGCAGACTCACTCGTGCAGGGCGCAAAGCAGACTCACTCGTGCAGGGCGCAAAGCAGACTCACTCGTGCAGGGCGCAAAGCAGACTGACTCGAGCGGATTTCATCGAGCAGTACTGTGCCTAGAGGTGATGACAACAATCCCATTTCACTTACCTTCTCCAATTCAGCCTGTGGAGGATAGACAATGTCAACGTGTAGAGTGCACTTGCCATCAGCCACGTTTGAGCGGAGTGTCGCATGGCTACAAATATACACATGCACGTACACACACACATACAAAGATGCACACACATGCATGCGTGCACACACACACACACACACACACGAAGATGCACACAGCACGCATGCACACATACGTACACATACATACACACACACGGACGCACGTACACACACACGCACACACGCATACATGGAATGTGCAGAACCATCGCACAGTATGTGTACAAGTGATTTACTAACTTACTAAGTAATTCAAAAGTAATTACAGTACATGTACATGTAAGTTACATGTATGTGTATGTGTACGTGTATCATCACTACTTTGTCTATCTATCCCAAGGCTGGTTGGCTCTAGCACTAGACCACTGAAACTGGCAAACGATTTCGAATGGACCCGCCACACGGGTGATGGAACTAACCTCTGCTGCTGTGCGTTGATCACAAACGACACTCTTCCATTGCTAAATTCACTGTCTGTCTGAGTCACTGATCCATCACCCAGCAGAGCTCCCACCCTCTCAGCTATCGTCTTCCATACGCTCTGGTCTTGCAAAACGCTTGACGTTCCACATCTGAAGTTCATCAACTTCTGTCGCAAAGCCATACTTGCCGAAGAAACGGAAGAAATAGTAAGAAACTGCTACAGCAGGTATCTATCAACCACCATCTACAATTCCATTTTCATAATTATCGGTATTGAACCAAGGTGAAAAAATCAGTTGCTTCCAGTTCCATGCGCGCAACGGATTTAGCACACGTGGCGTGCAGCGTCGTGTCGCGTGCACATAATGACATTATGATTATGTCAGGTCAGTGCACATGCATGCAGTGACTGCACTTGTACCGTACTTTTCGATTTTGACAGCATGTTACAAGTAACTTAGTTGACATACAAGGCGAGGACGCGTAGTGCTCCTGACTACAACCATAACCGGTCTTGCGACCATTTGAACCGTATTGGGTAAACCCAGGTTCGGACCCTCGTTACTCTACGGGTTGGTAGGATCACTACGCGTCCTCGCCTTGTAACAATAGGGAGGTTTAGTTCCCACGTAACGGAAACGCGTACGTGGGTGATCCACGTAAAGTGGATGAAGGGCACCCACGTTGCAATGTTGTGTTTAGTCACAAGGAACAAACAAAAGCATAAAGCGAAAGGCCCAAACCTGATAAAAGACGAAGCTACCCGGGCCTGAGAAGCTCATCGAATATTTTGATTTCGTGCTTCGGAAACTTCTTCAGCTGAGCACCCTTACAGCTCGCACAATGCGCTCGATTCTGATTTTCACCCACGTTATGGCGGAACGTGGGTGAGCCTCCATACACGGTATGTCGTGAATCAGAAAACGTCTGTACGTGGGTCACTGAGTATCACGTGGTACACACACGTAAAGTACCCACGGATTACGTGGGACTAAACCTCCCTAATACTAACATGCTGTCAAGGCTTCTGTATATACCTTGTAAGTTGTACCGTACTTGTAGACATAGCCCGATTTTGTTAGCAATTCTGCTGCTAGCAAAATATCGAAGAATTTTGAAAGGGAAATTGCTGGCAAAACGGAGCAAAATATCGGTGTGTTCACTGGAAATGGGGAGATTTTACACTTACTGTATACGGTGCGCGTGACTCATTTTCGCACAGTTTTACCAACACGTGACTCACTTTTTCTCATTTTTGCCAACACGTGACCCACTTTCGGTCAGTTTTCCCACGCGTGACACAAATTTTGGAGCAAAATATCGAGTGGTCTGGCAAAATGAAAGCAAAATATCGACGATGAGCCTGCAAAATTTTGCAGCAAAATATCGAAGCTTTACTGGCAAAATCGGGCTTTGTCTAGACTGCACTGCCTTCCAATCCGGCCGGAAATCCCCGCATCTAATCGGCCTGAAATCCCAGGATGCGTGGGGGGGGGGGGGCGGGGCAGGAGTTGTACGCTCCTAAAATTGTAGATCCTGGACCTGGCCCATGCGCCGAAATTGAAAGCCGCCGATGCACTTGACCATGCGGATATACATGTATGTGCGTCGATCGATCGAGTACGCGAGTGCAACAAACTCACATCACGAAGCCACGCTTGTTGCATGTTATTGTTGGCAAGGCGTGTTGGCAAGGCGTGTTGGCAAGATCAAGAGTAGATCTATATCTAGATCTACCGCCGGTGCACCATGCACCAGACTACACCAGTTGTACATGCAAGAGTTCAAAACCCCCATGAACTCTTGGTTGTACACATACCGGTACAACAAATCAAAGATATCGGTAATCTCATACAATGTCAATAGCATCATCAATAGCATCATCCATCAACCAAATCCAGAGGCCTCATGTTTCAAAGATTATTGTTCCCATGACAATGTTATACTGATTGTTGCACTGTCTCTGCTGATAATACAATGATTTGAAATTTTGAACACAAGAACTGCTAGAAGACGCACGCACGCACGCACCCACATACACACACACACGCATGCATGCACCCAACCACACGCGCACACAGGTAACATACAATGTACAACACAATAATAGAAAAGCTGACAGGATCGCTTTTCTAAATAACATTTTATAGAACAGTGAGGCAAGAACATAACTGAGTGCAGTGAATCATAATCATACTGAGTGACTCGGCACTAAAAAAACAGATAGCAAGATGATAATGCTTGGCACATAGAAAACAACACACAGACATGCAGGTACTATCGTGAGCATGAGAATTTTCATGGGGATGATTGATAAAAGTAAGAAAATATTGAATGTGCATGGGTTCCAACAGTGGGTACATGGTTCGAGGGAAGATCCCCTAAATTCCTATGGAAACTAAAGTGAATGTAATGGGAAAGAGACCGAGCCACTCTATGCTAGTGGACGTGCGGCATGAGGAATATGATCGCATAGACGCGCGAGAAGTTTCGTTACGAGGATTTGGTGACAGTGTGGAGCTCCTTCATCTTGCCCAGGTCCAAATTGACTCGTTGACGGAGGTGCACCGGCTGTGAGCCTTTCTGGACCGCACTGGTGTACTTGAAGCACAGCAAGAAGGACACCTGTACACAATCACAAGTGATAGGGAGACACCAGAAGCAAAACAATGCTAAAAAAACACGCCGCTCCAGCTCCACTGCACTCAGTATCCCAGTCAAGACCTGCACTCCAGTCGAGCCGATGAGCGTGTGGCGATAAGAAGCCACCTGTGCTTAGAGACTGGTGATTTCAGACACACACCCAGAGCCTACATAGATTTAGAAAGGCCATCTCGATATAACTTATAATGGCCAGTTCTCTGGGCACAATGGGTACGGTCGCCACAACCAGGTAGCACTAGAGAGACCGTGCACAATGACATCACCACAAGAACTTCGTACTGAGTGGCAAACAAAAGAATGTGACGGCACAATTTCCCACCACATACAAAGTATAGCACGTAAAGTCCAGTCTCAAACGACGATGACGTAATCGCGTAACCTCCATTCCAGAGAAACAATCCCTACGTACCTGAACCGGGCCTACGGCCTTCATCGGGCGGATCTTAACGTAAAATGATAGCCTATTGGCCTTGCGCCGGTGTACCACGCTGCAGCACAGAACAAGACAAACAAGCAGCAAGTACACTTTCAAGCTGATGTGCATCAACTGCGGTCATACGCTTCGAAAGTAGATAGCTCGGGTACCTGTGCATCGCCGAGCAGCAGTTAGAGAGACAAATCTGTTGCTTGATACCGGTGATTGCTCACACCATGTTTTCTCAAAAATCAAAAAATTACTTTCAACCTCCCTCCAAACCATCCGTGCTATCCATGTTCGATATTTTCAATTATTTTGCACATGTCTGAAGTACAATTTCCTACTGTCAAGTAAAGTTCATAAGAAAAATACAGCCGTGCGTTTATTGGAGACTGCCGCCATCATTATTTTCTCAATGCATGCAGTGTCTGCGTGCCCTAAAATAGAGACCATGTCTATGATAGAGAACACACAACATACTAGGATGAAGCTTTGAGCACCAGTGTACAATAACAAATCACAGACAGTAAAACCTGTTAAGGCACCACCTGTCCTAGAAGACCACTGCAGCCAGGACCAAGGGATGCTATTTCCAGTCAAATGGCACTGGATAAGGAGACCACCTGGTTACAGAGACCACATTTTGAAGGTGCCTTGAGCAGTCGCCTTAGACAGGTTTCACATAGTTAGACTGTAGGGCTCAGGCACTCTTCACCACCGTACTGCACATGGCACTGACCTTGCGTCGTCCTGAAACTGCTCCGCGTCCGTGTCATCATATTCACTCGTGTCATCACGTGCCAGCACTGTAAGCTGGCTGGTCGGAAGTTCGATCTGCAGCACAAACGCATTTTTAAAACCACATGCTGTGTGATGCCTCGTACTTACGTATGAGCGCACAAATCAAGGACGGTCGCACTTCATCTGCGAAGCAGATTCTGCATCTCAATCAGCTTTCAAGTACATGTATGTAAAATGTTAATTTTAGTAGGTGACCTCTTTCCCTATCAATACATTGCATTGATAAGGAAAGGGGTCACCTACAAAAATAACAAGATAGAGGACAGTACCAACTAGGGGTGAAGCGAGTGCCAAAATTGGGGACTCGAGTACTCTTTGAAAAAACGAGCGAGTATCCGAGCGAGTACAAGTATTTTACTGACAACATAAAACGATGCACTGCATACACTCTCGCACCACTGAACGTGCTACACCTAATACACATGTAGTCTTGCATGCAGCCTAGTGCAGGAAATAGTCTGAACTACTGTCTTTTGCTGGTAAGTAGGGACATGCAATAATTTCGCGCTTGCATGGACCATCAGTACCAGTCAGAGTAACAGAAATGCTCGATGTACATGCATACAATACACTGTACATAGGATACTTCGAGTATTTTGCGAAACGAGCACTCGCTCGTTTCAAATATTCGAGCGAGTGCTCGAGTATTCGATACTCGTTTCACCCCTAGACTACTAACACATGCATCATCACCCCTGCTCACAGGAAGTGCAAAATAAACGCCTGCATACATGCATGGATGCTCCTAATGCTGGCATCATCTCATACATGCATGAAGTACATGTACCAGCACAGAGGTGCCCAATCTCCCGATCAGCACCAGCACAGAGGTGCCCAATCTCCCGATCAGCCGGGAGATCTACCGATTCGAATGTGGACCAAGAGTGCAGTGTGGAGAGGTGGACAGTTTCAAATCATTTACAGTACACTAACTTAAACGGTTGCACTACAAACCATCACCACTCACATCCGCGGTTATTGATGGTTCTTCACTAGCATCTGCTTCAGGAAGGTTGGATAATGTGAACGCTACATTGTCGTTCAGCGGATTGACGATGGTGAGAACAGCCTTGGACCACTGCTGACACTTGAACTCTGGCAGGACAGCTATCCGAAAATTGGGCATATAATGTCTATGGCACCAAGGCACCACCCAATGGGACACAACACAAAGCACATGACACCGTCAGGGATGTATGTCATGAAAGGTGGCGATCTGGAAGGCGGGTTTCAATCATACTGAAAACGTCTACAGTTGGTATCCAAGCCCGATTTTATTCGTTCTGGTTAAAAAAGTTTAAAAAAAGGTAAAACGGCTAATTCTAGCGCCTGTGATATTTTAGCAATTTTAGCGAAAGGAGTGTTTTCGCTAAAGTTTTGCTATGCCAATCGAAATTTTGCATGTACAATAAAGTACTGCTCATCTTTTTTTAAACTCTGAAGCTTGGATCACGTAACTATTTCATCGCGAATTGATTCAGATCCAGAAAACGCTAATATTTCTCCCCGCTAAAATTAGCCGTTCTACTGTATGCTTGAAGACCAGTTGGTCCATTCATTCGACACAGTTTATTATCACTCCACACAGGCTTCAATTCCAAACTTTACTGCCTGCCAACCGGAGATTGCTCCTCTGTATTGGCGATCTCTGGTCTGTACCGTGGCAATGTTTGTGATCCAGCCTAGCTCAGGCTGTGATCGTTTCGTCGGATCCGGATCAAGATCCAGATCCCACATCCACTGGATCCCTCAGAATCAACCGATCAGATTTGGAACACACTGCTACCTTCACCATGCCGAGGCAGAAAACGACAATCAAAATGTTACTCCAGGTTTGTACTATTCGTACTCATCTGCATGGTGCACCG